ACCAAGCCAGACCACTGGTCCACCTAGCTCAGCATTGTCTATGCTGACTGGTAGCAGCTCTCCAGGTTTCAGATGGGGGCATTTCCTCAGCTCTACCTAGAGGTATGGGACGTGGGTGGCTCTGTGGGTTAAGCCACAGAACCTAGGACTTGCTGATCAGAAGGTCAGCGGTTCGAATCCCCGCGACGGGGTGAGCTCCCATTGCTCAGTCCCTGCTCCTGCCAACCTAGCAGTTCGAAAGCACGTCAAGTGCAAGTAGATAAATAGGTACCACTCCAGCGGGAAGGTAAACGGCATTTCCGTGCGCTGCTCTGGTTTGCCAGAAGCGGCTTAGTCATGCTGGCCACATGACCCAGAAGCTGTACGCCAGCTCCCTTGGCCAGTAAGCCGAGATGAGCGCCGCAACCCCAGAGTCGGCCACGACTGGACCTAATGGTCAGGGGTCCCTTTACCTTTACCTGGAGGTATTCCACCAGTGAGGTAAGGAGGGTTCTTTCCAGTAAGATCCTGTCTTCATGGCTCTGAACAAAGGGCTGAGTTAAAATAGAAATGTAGAGATGTCTTAACCTGGATCAGAGCACCAGTCCATATGGCCCAGGATTGTCTACACTGACCAGCAGAGGCTCTTGAATATTTCAGACAAGGATGCTTTCCCAGCTCTACCGGGAGACCAAGAATTGAACCCATGACCTTTTGCACAAGCAGCATGCATTCTACCATTGAAAATCTAGGGAGGAGAGGGCCTTTTCAAGGGTGGCACCCTGGCTTTGGAATACCCCCTCCCCCACAAAGTGGTACCTCAGGTTAAGAATGGTTTCAGGTTAAGAATGGACCTCCAGACGCCAGTGTGGTGTAGTGGTTAAGAGCGGTGGACTCGTAATCTGGTGAACCGGGTTTGCTTTCCCGCTCCTCCACATGCGGCTGCTGGGTGACCTTGGGCTAGTCACACTTCTTTGAAGTCTCTCAGCCCCACTCACCTCACAGAGTGTTTGTTGTGGGGGAGGAAGGGAAAGGAGAATGTTAGCCACTTTGAGACTCCTTCGGGTAGTGATAAAGCGGGATATCAAATCCAAACTTCTTCTTCTTCTTTAGCTAATGGGACCTCCTGCTGCCACTGCACGATTTCTGTTCTCATCCTGAGGTAAAGTTCTTAACCTGAGGTACTACTTCTGGGTTAGCGGAGTCCGTAAGCTTTTGCAACCCAAGGTGTTTGTAACCTGAGGTACCACTGTACTATCAGTTTATTACTTCAAACATGTTATTGTTTTGCCTTGATTGCTTTTTTTTTAGTAGCAAACCAGCTCTGGATGAAGGCAGAGGTCTGAAGCTTTGGGAGGTGGTGGGGGGCTATGCAAAGCTGGGATCTGTGAGGGGGGGGGAACATTGGCAGAAAATCAACTCTCCCAAATGCACTTCAGTTCCCAATTTCAGTTTGACTTCTTTTCAGATAACTGTCTGCTCTCAGCCCCAACCTTTCAAAGCTGCTACCAAAGAAACAGGAAAGCCACATAAAGGGGGAGGGAAACTGAGACATTTGGTATTTGAGGAGCAGGTTCCCAAGTCATTTATTGATTCATACAAAGGGAAAAGGCAGACCAATCATGAGTTGCAACAGGCTGGGGCCATAACTCTGCAGATGGGACTTTTAAAAAATCAGTGATGGGGAGGGCAGGAGTGACACCCTCTGCAAACAGGAATGGGTAACCCACAGTCCCTCCAGGAGTTGGGGACTCCAAAGATCCCAGCCAGCATGGCCAGAGATGATGGGACCTGTAGTCTGCAACATCTGGAAGGCACTGGGTTCCCTGTACCTGCTTTAAAAGCCCACCTGGCAAAACCTATCCCACTTTTTAATGTTGTGTTTAATCGGGGGGGGGGGGAGAGAGACAACCTAGAGACTGAGGCCCACGCAAGACTTCCCAGCAAATGTGCCCCTACTCACCACCCCCAAGTACTACAAGATAGCTTCTGATAAAGCAAGACAGTGTGATGTCAAGATGCTCAGAATTCCCTATCCCACCTCACTGACTGCTGCTTGCAAAGGGAGGGGACAACCTTGGCAGCTGTGACATCAAGCCAGGCATCCCTCATCATGTTTGGGTTGGGCCGAAACAAAAGTCACCCCCATGAACACAGGAAGCTGCCTGGTCCAAAGTCCAGCTGAGGGATGTTGGCAATTTTGGTGTCTTCTCAATTTCTAACTTTTTTCTTAAGTTCACTTCTCCACAATCATACATCAGTTTGTGATTTGTTGTTAAATAAGCTCTCACAAAAACACATCAGAATTTTAGTGTGGAACTCACCTTTTACAACGCACTCTCATTTTGTATATTTTCACTAATATACAGTGGTACCTTGGTTCTCAAGCACCTTGGTACTCAAACAACTTTGGAACCCAAACACTGCAAACCTGGACGTAGGTGTTCCAGTTTGCAAACTTTCTTTGGAAGCCAAACGTGCTCCATTTTGAGTGTTACACTTTCAATTAGAGTGCCACACTTCCATTTTGAGTGTGACGCTGATGTCTGTCTGTTTTTGCTATTTATTTTGCGTTTTTGTTTTTGCAGCTTTTTTTGTTCAGCTAGTGATTGATAGTGTGACTGCAGTACATTGTTTATTGCTTTCATTTTATGGATCTATCTCGTTATATAGTAAAATTCATGTTAAATTGCTGTTTCAGGGGTTATTTTTAAAAGTCTGGAACGGATTAATCCCTTTAGCATTACTTTCTATGTGAAAGCACGCCTAACACCTTGGTTTTTGGAATGGACTTCTGGAACGGATTAAGTTTGAGAACCAAGGTACCACTGTGTGTGCATTTATATGCACGCTATGCCCCAGCACTGCAACATTCAGAGAGCTGCGAATTTCATAGGGTGAGTGAGTTTCGGTTTGCAGATTGTTTTGGATAATTAGGTAGGTTTGCCTATAAATGCAAACTGAATTGCTTCTCTCCAGCATAAAATAAATGCAAACTGACAGCTGCTTCTCCAGGGTCTCAAGCAGAAAAGGGTCTTTCCTTCATATCCTTTTGAAAAAACTAGGGATGCCAAGGGTTGATTCCGGGGCCTTTGCTGAGCTACAGCCCATCATACTTTGCACACCTCTTTTTATGCCACACTCCCCATCTTGAACTTCCACCCTTCTCATCACATGCCCATGGTGACTTGTAAACAGGGAGCCCCTCAAGAAGTCACACCCATTTCCAGGAACAGTACAGTGGTGCCTCGCAAGACGAAATTAATTCGTTCTGTGAGTTTTTTCATCTTGCGAATTTTTCGTCTTGCGAAGCACTGCACCTCTTCAAGCAACTGCACCTCTTCAAGCAATGCACCCTGGGTATTAACGGTTTTAAGAAAAAGGAAACAAACTTGCAAGACGTTTTCGTCTTGCAAAGCAAGCCCATAGGGAAATTCGTCTTGCGAAGCAACTCAAAAAACGAAAAACTCTTTCGTCTTGCGAGTTTTTCGTCTTGCGAGGCATTCGTCTTGTGAGGTACCACTGTACTGATGCTGCAGGAATAAATGTGAGATGTGCCCTTGGCAGGGACACCTCAAAATATGGACCATTTCTAGGAAGAGGTGGAACGATGGATGCCAGAGCACTGGTCATGCAGGCTGAGGCTGATGGGGGCAGTGAGGGTGGAGTTCAAAGCCCCATGGAGAGCCACAGGCTCCCCCCATGCCTGACTTAGGGAGAAACAAGGTCTGGCAAGAGGAGAAAGTCTTCTGCTGAAAAATGGGGACTTCTCAGGGCTAGATATGGAAACAAAGACTGTTTTGCTGAAGTCTGACCTCTAGCCTAGTATACTGCTTCCAAGCATAGGACAGCCAGGAGGCTCCATGAAGTGGCACGAAGGCTGCATCTCTCACCTGCTGTTTGCCCCACCACCAGCAGCTTATTCAGAGCTACACTGCTTCTGTTTGGCCATCATGGTGAACAGGCAACTTCTGGGCCCACCCCGTTGTTGCAGGAGTTGGGAGGGGGTGACTTAGAGGTCATCTTGTCATTAATGCCCTACTTGCTGCAATCCCTGAATCGCACGTTGCAAAAGATGGGCTGCAAGGATGGAGGAGCTCCAACGAAGCATAGATCTATTGTGCCCAGCCTCCCATTCCCCACAACATCCTAGCAGATGCCCATTTTTGGAAGCCCACAAACGGGCATTTGCCTTTCCCAGTGGATGATTTATTTGCACAGAGATCCCACTATCAGCCACCACAGCTCCTAGCTAACTCCACTTTGATGAATTTTGTCTAAGCCCCCAGCGTCATTCTATGGCACAGCGTTCTATGTGTTAATTAAACTTAGCATTGAGAAAAAGTGCTCGCTCTCTCGCTCTCGCTCTCTCTCTCACACACACACACACACACACACTGTGTGCATGGTTGTCTCTCATTTGGCCTGATCCTGGCACCAGTTAAGAAGCAGATACAGCCAAGAAGTAACAGCAAGACGGCCAGGGAATGGGGTGGGGGAGGCTTGAGGAACAGATTTTTCTTTTCTTTTTTTGTACCTACAGTTTTTGTATACAAATAAAAATTCAATAAAATGTTGTGGGGGGAGGGCAGAACAGACCAGAAAAGGGTTTTGGGCTGGTATTGCAGTGGATTTGCTGCCTTTTCCATGCACTTTGGGCTCACTGGCTAGAGCTACCTAAAGCCCATTTCTTCAGCAGGCACTGGTCTGGAGAGGTGGGTAGCCTTTCCACCCCGCTTGTGTGGTACACCTTGCTTGCTCTGCAAACAACAGGACCTTGGTAGGACCATCTTTTCTTAAAAGTTGTTCTATAAGAGAGGCTCTGCAGTGGACAGATCCAGGGGCTAGCCAGGCACAAACAGAACCCCCTCTTCCTCTATATAAGTCGCAGATCTGTCCTGAAATGGGTGAGCAGGGCAAGGCACCCCTTTAATATTTTGCCATGAGGCCCTTTCCCCTCCTGCTCACCGCTGTCCGTTTCAAGATATACAAGTACATTCGCAGCTCAGGTCCCCGGTGCTTCAGCCGGGGGTCTGCTTGCCCACTGTAGACTCCAGCCTCTCCGCAGTGTCTTCCAGCTCCTCCAAGATCTCTGAGAATGATGGACGCTTGAACGCTTCCACCTAGAAGGAGCAGGAAGGGGTTGCGGGGAGAAGCAGCAAGAGAAAAATCAATGCCAGGAAGAAGAAGGAGGAGGAGGAGGAGGAGGAGGAGGAGGAGGAGGAGGAGGAGGATAGTTTGGATTTGATATCCCACTTTATCACTACCTGAAGGAGTCTCAAAGCGGCCTACAATCTCCTTTCCCTTCCTCCCCCACGACAAACACTCTGTGAGGTGAGTGAGGCTGAGAGACTTCAGAGAAGTGTGACTGGCCCAAGGTCACCCAGCAGCTGCATCTGGAGGAGCGGGGAAGCGAATCCAGTTCACCAGATTACGAGTCCACCGCTCTGAACCACTACACCACACTGGCTCTCTTTGGAAGCCAAATGAAGCAGAAGGTTGGAAGATTAAAAGAAGATTGGACAAATTCATGGAGGCTGTCGATGGCTGCTGGCTATGATGGCCAGACTCTGCCCCCACAGCCAGAGGCAGCGACGCTTCTGGATAACAGTTGCTGGACGTGCAGGAGGGAAGAGGGCTCTTGTGCTTAAATCCTGCTTCAGTTTCCCACAGACCTTTTGTTGGCCACTGCGAGAACAGGATGCTGGACCAGATGGGCCAAGGGCCTCATCCAGCCAGCTCTCCTTCCTAATTATGGAATTAAGCAAGAAGGATTAAACCTCCATCAGGTCCAGCATGCTGCTCCCCATAGTGGCTAACCAGATGCCAGGGGCTAAAGTCAACAGTCCTTAGTTTCTGCCTGTTGCCTACTGTCCTGCACATAACACCGGTCTTGAAAGACCTTCACTGGCTCCCAGTACGTTTCTGAGCACAATTCAAAGTGTTGGTGCTGACCTTTAAAGCCCTAAATGGCCTTGGTCCAGTATACATGAAGGAGCGTCTCCACCCCCATCATTCTGCCCAGACACTGAGGTCCAGCACTGAGACCCTTCTGGCGGTTCCCTCAGTATGAGAAGCCAAGTTACAGGGAACCAGGCAGAGGGCCTTCTTGGTAGTGGCACCTGCCCTGTGGAACGCCCTCCCACCAGATGTCAAAGATATAAACAATTACCAAACTTTTAGAAGACATCTGAAGGCAGCCCTGTTTAGGGAAGCTTTTAATGTTTAATAGGTTATTGTATTTTAGTGTTCTGTTGGAAGCCACCCAGAGTAGCTGGGGAAACCCAGACAGATGGACGGGGTACAAATAATAATTTATTATTATTAATAATATTATTATTTAGAGCTAGACAGCCTCTGAATGGGGAGGCTCTATTCTTAGCTACCAAGAATCCTGCTGAACAGACCTGTCCTCATAAAAAAGAAAAAAAAAAGTTACTTCTTCGCTTTTGAAGTCATCCAAGCTAATTGGCTATCACGGCAACAATTTTTGTAAGTTAATGATACACTGCATGATGAGGACTTTCTTTTAACTCCTCCCAGTAACTTCCTTACCCTGCAGCAGCTGGCAGCCAGATCCAAGACCTGCTTGGGACATTCACGGATCATGTCATAGAAGGACGCCACATCCAGGCCATAATCCTAGCAGAGAAAATGATAAAAGGATTCACAGGTGACTCAGCTTTTCATCCACTTATGCAGCTAAAGAAGAGCAGAGCTTGTGCCACCACAAGTCTGTGCAGAATGCTGCCCCCTCTGTTACACTTGGGCCCCAGGGATTCCACTCCCCTTCCACAAAAGAGGACCCCTTAAAATGAGTGGGGAACACCTGTGGCCAGAGGCCCCTGCCAGTTTGGTCAACGTCTCAGAAGCCTATTTTGGCATGAAGATTATTCAAATGATATACCGTATTTTTCGCACTATAAGACGTACTTTTCCCCTCCTAAAAAGTAAGGGGAAATGTGTGTGCGTCTTATGGAGCGAATGCAGGCGGGAGGCTCTGTCAGCGCTGCCTTTAAAGAGCTGCGTGGAGTGTGTATGCGACTCTTGGGGGCTTTTCCCTGAGGAGGGAGAAGGGCAGCCCCCAAGGGGAAAAGCCCCCAAGAGCCGCACACATACTCCACGCGCTCTTTAAAGGCAGCGCGGCTCTTGGGGGAGCCTTAGCCGCACGCAGCCTCTCCTGGGCAGGGGATGAAGACTTCCCTTGCCCAGTAGAGGTTGCGCGCAGCTAAAGAGGAAGCCAGGAGAGTGAGCGGGATGCATCCCGCTGGCTGTCTTGGCTTATGCCATAGCCGCGCGCAGCCTCTCCCGGCCGGAGAGGTTGCGCGTGGCTAAAGAGGAAGCCAGGACAGCGAGCGGGATCCTGCTGGCTGTTCTAGCTTCTGGCTTTGCCATGGGAAGCCTCCGCACGCGAAGCCTTCATCCCGCTCCCCTGCGGAGGCTGTGGGAGAAAAGCCCCCAAGAGCCGCGCTCTCTTTAAAGAGTGTGCGGCTCTTGCGGGAGGAACGCCAGTAGGCTTGCTTTTGCTGAAGCCAGGAGGGCAAGAGGGATTGGTGCGCTCCAATCCCACTTGCTCTCCTGGCTTCAGGGATAGCCCCACAAAGCCACAAAGATGGAGGAGCGCTCCCTCTTAGCTCAGGATGCTTTGCGTTCCTTTCTTATTTCTTGTTTTCCTCCCCTAAAAACTAGGTGCGTCCAATCGTCTGGTGCGTCTAATAGAGCGAAAAATACGGGTATGTGCTAAAACATTTTCTTCTGTATTTGAGAAAGATAATCAAATATTATCTTGCAATTCAAAATAAATTTAGCAGTTTCAAGTTTTGTGATTTTATTTTATTTTGGTTTTGTCTACAAGACAACAAGACAGTTTTTGAAAACTGAAGTTAGCAATTTTTTTTGGTGGGGAGTGCAAGTAGATAGCCTTGCGTAGGGAGCAAAACAGCCTGGCACCTGCACTGATCTCCTGAGAACAAACAGGCAAACAAGGCTTCTTGGCTTCTCCAAATACTTAGTTAGCATAGACTACAGAACCCTTTCCTTTCAAGAAATGTACTTCCCTTAAGCTTTCTTATTTTATCCCAAGTCTTAGTCTGAGCATCTTCCAATTAAAAGTTTCCTCTAAGCAAGGATTCAGTTCACTGAAGTTAACTTCTCCTGCAACATACAAACTCCACCTGCTGACACAGATGGTGCTGTACAAAACCATCACTGTCACTAGGCAGAGTCCCCAATGCATGTGCTTTTAAACAGAGCATAGCATCTTGTGGGCCCTGCATGGACGGTACATGATGCAACATGCCAAAGCCTTGCTGTCAGCCAATGTTACAGGTGAAACTTGAAAAATTAGAATATCGTGGAAAAGTTCCTTTATTTCACTAATTCAACTTCAAAGGTGAAACTAATATATGAGATTGACTCGTGACATGCCAAGCGAGATATGTCAAGCCTTGATTTATTATCATTGCGATGATCATGGCGTACAGCTGATGAAAACCCCAAATTAACCATCTCAGAAAATTAGAATATTCAAGGAAATCAGCAAAACAAGGATTGCTAATTGAGCAAGATTGGACCTCTGAGAAGTAGAAGCAGATCTCGCTTTGCATGTCATGAGTTTTACCTTTTAAGTTGAATTACTGAAATAAACAGACTTTTCCACGATATTCTAATTTTTCGAGTTTCACCTGTACTTGAGATGGAAAAGCAGATAAAAGCACCATAATGACCTGGGTCCGAGGCAGCACCTCAGGGTCAGCTGGGATTCTCCCTAGTATTTCGCACAGGACAATGCCAAAAGAGAAGACGTCCACCTACAGGAGGGAGCAAGGGGTCAGTGGGAGGAGGCAGTGGGAGATGGTCTCTGGAGGCCACACAGGCAGTGAGCAGAGGGACTAACAATCCAGCCTTTCACAGAAGTTGGAGGCGACATCATAAAGGGTTGGAAGACAGGAACCCTGAGGTTACTAGTCCACAAACAGAGGTGCCTTGCTAATAAAAGACTGCTTTTAACATTCCTGTGAGACTGGGAGCTTGGAGGAGAGCCAGTGCTGGATAATTAAGTCCTTAATGAGCCTGGCAAAGTTGCCAAGTGCCTCTTTTGTCGGGGAGGTTGGCTAAATGCCATCAGTGGGTGGATCCGCTGAAGTCTTCTGAATGGCTTGGAAATACCTGAAAGCAGGCAGACTTCTCCACCCACCACAGCTAAGGATGATGCTGTCTAGATCTCTGCATAAAAGCAAACAACATACACTGTTGTCTGAGTCAGAGATTGATGGCTCATCTGCATTGTTGTTTAATGTGGAGAGGAAGCTTTCTGCACCTCCATCACTTCTCCACTACCCATATGACTCTCTCCTCTTAAATCACTCTCTGCCTACACTTCCCTTTCCTCCAATCTGGATTGTTTCATGCCCTCGCCTTTTTCAAGTATCCCTGGTATGAGAAAATCCAGATCGATAGAGAAGAATGTGTGGGAAGTGAGTGATTTAAGAGAAGAATGCTGGCGAGACAACATAGAATGAACGGAAGTACAAGAAATTTACTACCCACATTACACAATGGTACAGGTGAGCTTGTACAAGGGGTTTCTGTAAAATGCTTTTCGGTTTTAGTCGTACCTTGGATCCCAAATGCCTTGCGAGATGAACCTTTTGGCTCCTGAATGCCACAAACCTGGAAGTAAGTGTTCTGGTTTGCAAACTTTCTTTGGAACCCAAACGTCCAACACGGGTTCCACGGGTTCCGATTGGCTGCAGGAGCTTCCTGCAGCCAATCAGAAGCTGCGCTTTGGTTTCCGAACATTTTGGAAGTCGAATGGACCTCCGGAACAGATTCCATTCAACTTCCGAGGTACGACTGTATAGTGATCAAGCATTATATAAATGTTGCAAAATAAATTAAATAGACAAGGATGGTACCCAGGGGGGTGAGGGGTAGATTCTCTCCAGTTCACATTTTTATGCAAACCTACCCAATTAATACTTCCTGAAACTAGATATTAACCCAAATACAGCTAACCTTGAAATTCACACGTCTCCAAATTTTGCCATGCACTTCTCCAATCCAAGAAAAATGTGTGTGTGTGCGCGCGCGCGTGCGTGCGTGCTCTCTCACTCACTCACTCACTCACACACACAAACACTTGGGGGAAGTGTGTATGAAAATGCATATTCATTAAAATGGCATTAAAGGCAAATAATATTAGGGGAAATTGCATATAAAATGGGAAAATGTGCTAAGTTGTCAACTAATTATTTTGAGGACTTTAAAAAAAATACAAATAGATGTAAGCTGAACATAAGATTGGGGGGAAACAGAGAAACTGAAATTCATAGGCTCATCCATCACTATTAACAAGGCACACTACTCTAGTACCCTGGGGATAAGGGCCAGATTGGGTCCCACAAAGAACAGCCCTCAAACTAATGGGGGTGTGTGTGTGTGGACAACATGGTACCTTCCGGTCATAAGGTTCCCCTCGCAACATCTCAGGGGCCATCCAGAAAGCCGAGCCCACCAAAGAAAGCTTTCTCTCAGGGTCCTTCGCAGAAAGCTCCGCCACTTCCTTGGCTAGACCGAAATCCGTCACCAGGGCCTCACGCCCCCGCTGGGTCACCCGAATGAGGCAGTTCTGAAATCCATTTCAAGGCACACTTTACAAGGTTGCACATTCTCTCTTCCTGTCCTGCTCTAAGTGGCAACTTTGAACACATACGGGAATCATTGAGTTGTAGAGCTGGAAGGGACCCGACGGTCATCTAGCCCAACCCCCTGAAATTCAGGAATCTCAACATGTGTTCCCTCATCCCATTTGAAATCATACTGGAACCTGCTTAGTTTTGCAAGTGTCCCAGCAGTTTTATTGCTGCACCACTAGGAGGTGTGTGAGAATTCTTATAAGGTAAAGGTAAAGGGACCCCTGACTGACTGTTAGGTCCAGCCGCAGACGACTCTGGGGTTGCGGCGTTTATCTCGTTTTACTGGCAGAGGGAGCCTTCAATCAGAAGGTCGGTGAATTCTTGTACAGTCATACCTCATGTTACATTTGCTTCATGTTACGTTCTTTCAGGTTGCGCCCCGCAGTGACCCAGAAGTACCGGAAAGGGTTACTTCCGGGTTTTGCCACTCGTGCATGCGCAGAAGCGCAAAATGGTGTCACGCGCATGCGCAGAAGCGGTGGATCGCAACCTGTGTGTGTGCAGACACACCGCTGCAGGTTGGGCTCTTTTCATGTTGCGAACGGGTCTCCGGAACGGATCCCATTCGCAACCACAGGTACCACTGTACTAGCCCCAAAAGATGCTACAGATCTGAAGGCACCATAAGAACATAAAATGAGCCCTGCTAGATTTGGCCAAAGGGGGCCCCTTTAGTCCAGCACCCTCTTCTCGCAGTGGCCAATCAGGTGCCTGTGGGGAGCCAGAAAGCAGGACCTGAGCACAAGAGCACCCTCCCCACCATGGTTCCCACCCCAGTTTCATCCAGCAGCATCACCAGATTAGCTTACTGAAGTGGTTTTCAACCAGTGTGCTGCAGTACCCTCTGCAACCCTGGCCCTCTTTCCTTCCCTCCCTCCTCTGATGTCCTCTCGTGCATCTGCCTCTCAAAAGCTTGCACAGCTGTTTGTTGCAGCAGCCCTGGCTACAAATTCCATGAGTGAGTGGTGCCTCTGGGGCTGGCCACATGGGGTGCTGGTTGCAGGAGCTGAGGCCGTCTCGGAGTAAGCAAGCAAGTGGTTGAGGGAGCCCATCTAGCCAGTCCACCAGCCCTTGCTGTTGGGAATGGACAGATAAGTCCCAGGCCCCTGTGGGGCAGTTTGAGGCTGGGGGGCAGCTCAGAGGCCAGGGATGGCAGCAGCAGCTGCCCAGAGGACTCTGAAGGAGAGGGGAGAGGAGAGGAGGCTGAGGAAACACTCCACAAGTGAGGGTGTTCGAAAAAGGGCGAGAGGCTGCCAGCTCTGCAGGCAAGGGGTGACCTAATTGGGCTCCTGAGCCCCCCAGAGGAGCCGCACAAAGAATGGAGTTGGTCAATGTACCGTATTTTTTGCTCCATAAGATGCACTTTCTCCTCCTAAAAAGTAAAGGGAAATGTCTGTGCGTCTCGCTGGCGCCCTTTCCGGCCCAGGCCCCTATAAAAACAGGGTTTTTCCCCTTTGCAAAAGACTGGCGTACTGGATCAGGCCTGTTGCCCTTAGAGTAGACAACTAGTTCCTCGGTCTCCCCTTATGCCTCTGACACCCTGATAAACAGACACAGACCCACTTTATTCCCCACCACAGATGGGTGCTATCGCTAGGAGTGAGGCAGAAATTCAGTTCAGTCTTCATTTTAATATAAACCTACCAGACCTACATCTCCCCAAACAATATATGAACGGAAATGCAACTATGCTTCGAAATTTGCACTTCTCCAAATATTTGGCTATTCTCCAACTAAAAAAACGAGTACAAAAAATTATGATTTTGGGGAAAGTGTCACCGGTGTTTGCTCCTTCAGGGCGGTTCCCCTTGGGCAACTGTGGATATGAGCTAACTTGGCTTCTAAGTAAGAGGTGGAACGCAAGGGAGCTGTATCTGTGGTGAGATAATGAACCCAGCTCACAAACACATACAATGGGATTGATGGAGCATCTAGTGACTTCGCTATTTTATAATTTTATTGAAGTGTTGTATTTATTCATTGTACTTCTATACATACTGTATATTTCTTTCTGTATTAATCTGTTCACTGCTTTGGAGGCCTTTGGGCCAAAAAGCAGGATAGAAACAAACTTATGGTAACAAATGCATATATTAGTGTAAACAACATATGAATTATATTTGGGGAAATTGCTTGCAAAAGTGTTTGTGTGTGGCCAAAGTAAGGACCTTCTCGTGAGAATTTTTTAAACACACAAATTAAGACCGTGAAGGAAATTAGAAAGAGAAAGTGGTGGATTTGTTCATCCCTAGTTGACATCCCTTTTGTAGAAGGAGCCTTCCTAGATCAACACACACATACACACATTGCTTCCCACAATTATCAGCAGAATACCTCTAAGAAATCCACACGCAGGACATGAAGCTCTCCAAAGAACTGCATCCTGTTGTCCCCCCCCCCAGCCCCCCGATTGCAGCTGTTACAGGTAGACTTGACTTCAACATGGAAGTTCCATTAATTTAATAGTCACTGACAGACCTTCTTATCCAATAATTTGCCTGACCACCTTTTAATCATAGCTATTGCTGCATCACTGTGCAAACAAGTACACTCTTCCAGGAATCTCCTGCCCACTTGTTTCCCTTGGGGTGACCCCAAATTCCAATCTCACACAAACCTCTACCCACACCACCAACAGCTCTGCAAATTTGGAGGCTTCTGGAAAAGGCCCAAGAAATGCAGAAGCCAAAATCCCATTAAGCGATGATGCCATTAACCAGCAGATGATCTGCCTCTCCTCTAAGTAGATTGGCAATGACCTCACTGTTCAAGCTAGGAGAGCTTTGGCTCTGAGAGGCAGGCAGCAAAAAAGATGTGTCTCTCCCCTACTCAGCCAGTTTTCTTTAGGTTCATGTGGAAGATTTCCTGCAAGGGCTCTTTGTTAATGTGTGTTGAATTTGTAAGCCACTCTGAGGTTACTTTGTTCTTTTTAACAATCAAGCTGTGTATAAATTTTATGAAATGAATACGAAATTTGCAAAATCTCCAAAGAGCATAAAGAACTGCCTTTGCTTAGAGACCAAAGGCTCGTCTAATCAGGAAGGGCCAGAGGTTCAGTAGCCGATCATCTGCTTTGCATGCAGAAGGTCTCAGATTCAATGCCTAGGTTCTCCAGGCAGGGCTGGGAAAGATTCCCTCTCTGAAATCCTGGAGAACTGCTGCCAGTTGGTATAGACCATGGGTAGGTGCTGTGGGTTAAACCATAGAGCCTAGGACTTGCCAATCAGGAGGTCGGCAGTTCGAATCCCCACGACGGGGTGAGCTCCCGTTGCTTGGTCCCTGCTCCTGCCAACCTAGCAGTTCAAAAGCACGTCAAAGTGCAAGTAGATAAATAGGTACCGCTCCGGCGGGAAGGTAAACGGCGTTTCCGTGTGCTGCTCTGGTTCACCAGAAGTGGCTTAGTCCTGCTGGCCACATGACCCGGAAGCTGTACGCCGGCTTCCTTGGCCAATAAAGCGAGATGAGCGCCGCAACCCCAGAGTCGACCATGACTGGACCTAATGGTCAGGGGTCCCTTTACCTTTAGGCAAACTAAGGCCCGGGGGCTGGATCTGGCCCAATCGCCTTCTAAATCCGGCCTGCGGACGGTCCAGGAATCAGCTTTTTTTTACATGAGTAGAATGTGTCCTTTTATTTAGAATGCATCTCTGGGTTGTTTGTGGGGCCTGCCTGGTGTTTTCACATGATTAGAATGTGTGCTTTTATTTAAAATGCATCTCGGTTATTTGTGGGGCATAGGAATTCGTTCATTTTTTCCTTCAAAATATAGTCTGGCCTCCCACAAGGTCTGAGAGACAGTGGACCGGCCCCCTGCTGAAAAAGTTTGCTGACCCCTGGTATAGACAGTACTCCTGATGCAAGAACTTGTGGACACCCAACAAAGCTGAACGTTGGGAGATTCAGGAGAGATAAAGGAAAGTCCTTCTTCTCGCAGCGCAGTGTTGAACTATGGAACACCCTCCCTCCCACACAGACGGCTTTAAAAGAGGACTGGGCAAATACATGGAGGTTGAGGCTATTAGGGGCTCCTGGCCACGGTGGCTGCACTCTAGGCTCCATGGTCAGGGGCAGCAATGCGTCTGAATCCCAGTTTCTGGGAAACACAGAAAAGGCAGAGCGCTCTGGTGCTCAAGTTCTGCTTGCTGGTTTCCCACAGGTTGGCCACTGTGAGAACAGGGTGCTGGACTAGACGGGCCATGGGCCTGATCCAGCAGGGCTTTTCTTCCATCCTTGGTACTGAGCTAGATGGGTGAATATTCTGATTTGGAGTAAGTTCCCAGTTTAGCATCCTGTTTTCCACAGTGGCCAACCAAACGCCCTGGCAAGTCCACAAGCAGGGCGTAAGGACCATAACCCTCCCTTGCTATCGCTGCCCAGCAACCAGTGGAGCCTAGTCCGTTAGGATGCAACAGGCACTGCCAACCCCCACCTACCTGCTCTGGTTCTGGTTCTGACAACCTGCTTGTCTTCTGCCCTAACAGTGCCAGTGGGCACCAACCATCACAGCCAGCAACTGGTCCTTAAGAGGTAGACTGCCCCTGCCCAGGGAGGATCTCCAGTTAGCTTACCTTGGAGTTGAGATCCCGGTGGTAGATGTTCTTGGAGTGCAAATAGACCATCCCCCGGGTGATGTCTGAAGCCAGGTCCACTTTCTCCTTCCAGCTGAGAGAGACGTCTTTGCAGGCCAACAGCTCTTCCAGGCACCCGCCATTCACATACTACCAGCGGAGGATTGAAGAGGGACACCCATTATCATTTCCATAAGAGGCTGGAAGGGACACTGATCCCAGCACCAGCCAAACAGAGCAGGGTGTTCACAGACCAAGGTTAAATTGCCGCCAACAGCAACCCGTGCCCGGAGTGTTCCTCTTCAGTTTGCCTGCAAGGGTTCCCATGGCAGAACACTCCACTAGTCCAAAAAGGAAACAAATACTCGCACACAGAAAGCTAGTAAATCGGAAATGCTCTACTTGCTAGTTTTCTTTGTGCAGGGATTTGTTGTTTGCTGGTGCTCTAGTGGAATCTTCTGTCACATTAGTCCTAAAAGAACGAGATGACTCTTGGGTGGGAATGACAGTATTATCTGGAGCCCACCACTGAAAGAATAAGTGGATCCCTCAGCCAGCACTCACTGGAAAGGGTTCAAATCTTGAGGGCTGCCTAACAATCTGTACCATCATGGGGAAACAATTGGTTATGTTATGGTTACTGCTTGTATATTTATAGGCATAATAACAGTGAAGAGGAATCACTGGGGGAATTGTTCCTTACCTCCAGAATGGGATACAGCTTCTCCCCCTTCACACAGATCCCAAGATACCTTTATTAGGGAATATAATGTACAAAAATCATAGTCACGGACATGCCTTAGACCTGGTAGATCTGACACTCAGTAAAAGTGAAACAAAAGAAATGCCATAGTCAGATCACTTCCTGGTGCAACTGGACTTCTCTGTGACCCTTCCCCTCTGCAGGGACGTAGGACCATTTGGATGGTTCGCCCCCACCACTTAATGGATCCAAATGGTTTCCAGAAAGTGGTAGGGGATGTTTTATCCCATGTTGACGGCCTTTCATCTGATTCCCTGGTGGCCTGCTGAAATGAGGAGTTAACCAGTGCTATCTACTGTCTGGCTCCGGTGAACTCTCCAATTGAATGGAGCCCGGACAGCCATGTGGTTTTCCCAGGAGCTGAGGGCGATGAAACAATCGCTGAAACGGCTAAAGCGCCAGTGGCAGATAACTCATTCTGAATCAGACCGGGCACGGGTTAGAGCTCAAAGTCGAGCCTACCAAGTGGCGATAGTGGCGGCAAAGAGGACCTTCTTCACTGCCTCTATTGCATCTGCAGAAAACAGCAGCAGGATACTCTTTCAGGTGATTTGCAATTTAACAGAACCACCTGTGTCATCTGGGCCTGGTAAGGACCCCAAGATCTCCTGCAACGATTTTGCCAAGTTTTTGCAGATAAAGTCGCTCAGATCCGGAAAGAGGTAGACTCCACCGTGGGAGCAGGGCCGGGGTGGGAGAGTGCTAGAGTCCTGTCTGGTTAAGTTGCATGGGATCATTTCTAATCTGTTACCTCCAAGGATGTGGGCAGGCTGCTTGGACGAGTGAAACTGACCACCTGTCTCCTTGATCTTTGGCCCATCCTGGCTCGTAAAAGCGAGCTGGGAAGGGCTAGGTGATGGGCTCTGTGGAGTGGTGAATGCTTCCCTCTGTGAGGGAGCCTTCCCAGACCCACTGAAAGAGGTGGTCATTAAATCGCTTCTTAAATAAACATATTTGGACGCGGCCAATATGGCCAACTATCGCCATGTCCCACTCTTGGGCAAGGTGATTGAGCAGGTGGTTGCTGAACAACTCCAGGCACACCTGGAAGAAGCGGGCCATTTGGATCCCTTCCAGTCAGGATTCAGGCCTCATCATGGGACTGAAACTGCCTTGGTCTCACTGGCTGATGATCTCCTGAAGGCTAGGGACAAAGGTGAAAGCTGTTTTCTAGTTCTGCTGGATCTCTCAGCGGCCTTTGATACCACCGACCATGACATCCTTCTGGACCACCTAGAGGGGCTGGGAGCACTTTTATACAGTGATTCCGCTTTTTCCTCCTGGGCTGTGTGTCCAGAAAGTGGTGTTGGGGGATGAGTGTTCAGACCCCTGGGGTCTCACTTGTGGGGTCCCTCAGGGTTCCATCCTCTTCCCCATGCTTTTTAACATCTATATGAAGCCGCTGGGAGAGATCATCAGGGGGTTTGGGCTGGGTGTTCATCAGTATGTGGATGATACACAGCTCTACCTCTCTTTCAAATCAGAATCTGTGAAGGCAGTGTAGGTCCTGTGTGAGTGACTGGAGGCAGTTGGAGGATGGATGGGGTGTAACAGATTGAGGTTGAATCCTGACAAGACAGAAGTACTGTTTGGGGGGGACAGGGGGCGAGCAGGTATGGGTGACTCCCTGGTTCTGAATGGGGCAATTGTGCCCCTGAAGGACCAGGTGCGCAGCCTGGGAGTCATTCTGAACTCACAGCTGTCCATGGAGGCGCAGGTCAATTCTGTGTCCAGGGCAGCTGTTTATCAGCTCCATCTGGTACGCAGGCTGAGACCCACCTGCCCGTGGACTGTCTCGCCAGAGTGGTGCATGCTCTGGTTATCTCCTGCTTGGACTATTGCCATGCACTCTACATGGGGCTACCTTTGAAGGTGACCCGGAAACTACAACTAATCCAGAATGCGGCAGCCAGACTGGTGACTGAGAGTGGCCACCGAGACCATATAACACCAGTTCTAAAGAATCTGCATTGGCTCCTAGTGCATTTCTGAGCACAATTCAAAGTGTTTAGGGAAGTTTTTAATGTTTGAAGTTTTATTCTGTTTTCAGTGTTCTGTTGGAAGCGCCTAGAGTAGCTGGGGAAACCTAGCCAGATGGGCAGGGTACAAATAATAAAATTATTATTATTATTATTATTATTATTATTATTATTATTATTATTACATCATGACATTTCCCTTTTTGTTGTCTAGCACAAGGTCATTTAAACCAAGAACAAGAATGATGATACTTCAGTCGGGAGAAAGCCACACTCGCAGAGCTCAGGCAATGCTGGATTTCAACATCAATGTTGACCCTTGTGGGAAGATAACTGCCCAGGTAGGAGAAGTGATCGACATTTCCCAACATTACATCATTGAGTTGGATTTGTGGTGCTGCCAGAAGGGTTATTTTGTACTTGCTGGTGCAGCACTTTGGTTTTTTGAATGTTGAGTGATGGGCCAAGCTTTTCATAAGCTTCTGCAAAGATACTTAGGATGGTTTGGAGTTCATCCTCTGAACGCGCCAACACTAAATTGTCATCAGCCTACTGAAGCTCCATGATGGACGTTACGGTAACCTTACTCTTTGCTTTCAGCCTGAGACAGCTAGAGGTCACTCAGGGAAGAACCAACATCCTGGAAGCAGCAAGGGAGAAAAAAGGAAGCCAGAGGGGAGCAGGTGGACAAATAATTTCTCCCACTCTTTCTAGACCATGGCCATGGGAGACAAGTGCAGAAGGTAGTGTGAGGCATGCTTCTTGGGGCCCTGGATCTGCCGCCCCTTCCAGTTGTCTCCAGCCTGCTGCCTGAGGCGACTGCCTCACCGAGGGCAGTGGCGGAGCCACCCCTGGTCACCTGCCACCCAGAGACCCACCTGACAATGTTGGGATGGGAGAGCTTCTGCAGCAAGCTGATCTCGCGTACGATCCCCTCCTGGTCTGCGTCATTCTTGTAGATCTTCACCACCATTGCTTTGCCTCCAGGGCTTTGGGCAACCTGTGTGTTTTTGGAAGATTCAGAACAGGTACAAGAAAGTACTTATTCATGCAGATTGCAGGGCGTAGTCAAAGTATGGAACTTCTTCCCACTGGAGTCAGTGACAGCCAGCAACTTGGATGACTTTAAAAAAGGGGGAGACAGGTTCATGAAAGAGAGGGCAGTCAATGGCTACTACACAAAGTGGCTGTGCTCCACAGCTGGCGGCAACAATGCTTTTGAATACTAGTTCTGCATTTAATACTATTCTTCCGCATAGACTGGTGCCCAAACTATTAGACCTGGGACTTTTGTGAAGGTGGATATTAGATTTTCTATCAAACCATTCCCAACGGGTCAGGATGGGTTACCATGTCTCTGAGGATCTCATGAATACGGGGACGCCACGGGGGGGGGGGTGTTGAGCCCGCTTTTATATAAACTTATATACAGTGGTACCTCGGGTTACATACACTTCAGGTTACAGACTCCGCTAACCCAGAAATAGTACCTCAGGTTAAGAACTTTGCTTCAGGATGAGAACAGAAATCGCGCAGCAGCGGCGCAGCGGCAGCAGGAGGCCCCATTAGCTAAAGTGGTGCTCCAGGTTAAGAACAGTTTCAGGTTAAGAATGGACCTCCAAAACGAATTAAGTACATAACCAGAGGTACCACTGTATAGGACTAGCCGCCTGAGAAACAGCTTCTATTCAAATGCGATTTTAGTTCTAAACGCAGTGTAAGGTAGTCTCCGTGCGCTGCTCTGGTTCGCCAGAAGTGGCTTAGTCCTGCTGGCCACATGACCTGGAAGCTGTACGCCGGCTCCCTTGGCCAATAAAGCGAGATGAGCGCCGCAACCCCAGAGTTGTCCGCGACTGGACCTAATGGTCAGCGGTCCCTTTACCTTTACCTTTAAGGTAGTCTCTGTGGGAGTATATTGTATTTAATTATGGGATATCAGAGTTTTTAGGGGGCTAACCAGGCTGGGATAGCTGGGATAGAAGGCTTGTTGGTTCTGAATGTCCTGTGTAGATTTTTGGTTTCGTTGTTCTGTATGGGACAATGACAATAAATATTATCGTATCGTAGTTTCTGGAAGCCACAGGAGGGAAAGTGCTCTAGTGCTTGAATCCTGCTTGCTGGTCTCCCTCTGAGGTATCTGGGTGAGCTACTGTGGGAACAGGATGCTAGACTAGCTGGGCCATTGGCCTGATCCAGCAGAATCTCCTCATGTTCCTAGTACTGAGCTTGATGTGGTCTCACTCAGTATAAGGCAGCCTCCCACGTCCCTACCTTAGCATCCTGCAGTTGGTATGGGCATGTGCTGAGAAAACCAAAGTTGCAGGTTCAGTCCCCATACAGCTGCATAATCCTTCATTGCAGGGGTTTGGCTAGATGATTCTCAGGTTCACTTCCAACTGTACGATTCTATGATTCTGTTTCCTACACTGGCCGACCAGGTGCCTCTGATAGGCCCACAAGCAGGATGTAAAGCATGGGTGGGCAACCTAAGGCCCAGGGGCCGGATCTAGCCCAATCGCCTTCTCAATCCGGCCCGAGGACGGTCCGGGAATCAGTGTGTTTTTACATGAGTAGAATGTGTGATTTATTTTAAATGCATCTCTGGGTTATTTGTGCGGCATAGGAATTCGTTCTCCCCCCCCCCCCCAAAAAAAAATATAGTCCTGCCCCCCACAAGGTCTGAGGGACAGTGGACCAGCCCCCTGCTGAAAAAGTTTGCTGACCCCTGATATAAAGGGTTGTATTTAAATTCTGTTTTTAAATAATGTTGTGCAATTGTTTTTCTGTTCTGCTTAGAAGCCACCTAGGCATTAAGCAGTATGTAAATTAAATTGCCACTTATTATTATCTGACTTGGCAGGATTAATAATAATAATAGGAATAGTAATAGTAATAGTAATAGTAACAATACCTCCAAGTCAGACTGCTGACCCATCTACCTTAGTATTATACCCCGGGAAGGGCAGGGTATAAATAAATTATTATTATTATTATTATTATTATTATTATTATTATTATTATTAGTCTTTGTCTTTGCCTATCTCTGGGCAACCCTGCAGAGCAAACAAAATTTGAAACAACCATACTAGGATCTCCTTGGTATAATGTCACATCACCTTGATGGCTCCTTTAAAACCCTGGCACTTGGAGGTGAACCTAAATTAAGCTGGTACCTGCTGGATCATTCTGATCAAGCTATCAGACCAAACAGAGGCCCTTTGTTGACACTTTCCCCTCCCTATCGTATTAGTGATTTGCTCAGTAAGATGGAAACAGCTTAAACAAAGTTTGGGAGAGCTCACAGGCTTAAGGTACCAAAGCACATGCAAAGGACACGACGTAGAAACTAAGGATAACAGAATCATAGAATTATAGAGCTCAAAGGGAACCCCAAGGGTCATCTAGTCCAACCCTGACAATGCAGGGATCACAACTAAAGAATACCCGACAGATGGCCATCCAAACTCCACTTAAAAACCTTTGCAGCAACCTCATAAGGCTTGGTTTCCAGACCTTCAATCATCTTGGTCACCCGCCTCTCCACACCTTCCAGCTCGTCAATATCCTTCTTAAACTGGACACAGGACTTCAGGTGAGGTTTGACCAAGGCAGAAGGGAGTAGTGCTATCACATCCCTTTATCTGGACACTTTAAACAGATTAAAGGCTCCAAATGACACCTGCCAAAGAGGTTGCCACATCTCTGCACTTCTCCCACAGCAAATTTATAAACAGCCACTCCTTGCACGTGGCACCCATGGGATGTGAATTTTCCAGCTGGGGCAGTGAGGAGGTGCTCTGGTTAATTGGAAGAGACCTTTATACACAAGGCCTGCTGAAATCTACCAAAAACGCTTCCAGGTGGGGGCTTCTATACATATATTTTCTTTATAGTATTATAAAGAATTTTATTAAGATGCACAATCAAGCATAAAACAAAACCATACCAGCAGAAAACTAGTAAGAAATATTGAAGCAGAGACAAAAACAGGGGATGGGGACTTCAGTGATACATTCCAGACTTTCTGTAAAATAGAAATTAGAACCAAGGCTATAAAAACAAAAACACCACTGACATGGATACACCTTATTTTCTAGAAAGACAGACTGCATTTCCAGTGAACCTTAGTTTGTGAGGCTCTGCACATATTCCTTTTTTCCTGTATTATCCGCAGCCATTCATAGGCCGGGGTGAATGGTTCTGTTTTACATTATTTAACATTTTAAAAACCTAACTAAAGAAAGAAAATTGTCCTTACATTTTTTTACCTCTAGAGGATTTCATGTTTACATATTGATTTTTCTAGTGGGCCTGATTCCTTTATCTTCAGCAGGTAATATCTGCTGCAGCTAAATTTTCATTTGTCTTTTAGTGCCAGAGCTGCAATTTCAGAAAGTGGGAGTGTTAGATTAAATCAACTAAAGCTTTATTTATTGGCCGAGAGTAATTCTACACTCAGTGCAGCTGTGTGCAAAGGGTACACTAATGTGAATTCTGAAGCATTACAGGGCTAGGGAATGAAAACAAAAACAAAAAAAAATGTTAAAAGCATATCTCTCTTTCCAATAATTAGTGCCAGAATCTGTCCTCTTACTGAAACTGACATACGCAAATTTCAGATTCATCCAAAGCCACACTTTAAAAGGGTTCCTTGTTGATTTGTGAAGGCCTTTTAATTAACTAATAGCCCTGCTTAGCACTTCCATCGCAGGTCTGACCTTTATCGCCTCCCGCATCCCTCTTTGTGCACTACCTTGGCTGTTCCACATTCCCAGCTTCTAAACAAGATTGATGGGGGCAGCTCAGCTGTTCAGCTCCATAAAACAGTCACTATGCCGCCTCTAATGGATGCAAAATTGTGGAGTGACCTTTGCAAACAGGCAATGCAGGAAATCTTCACTCAGCTCCATACGCCTCTTCCTAATAAAATATGTTTTGCTGAGGACAGTGCTGCCATTTGCTAATGTCCACCATGCCTTGCCTCCTCTTAATCACTTTCAAGGCATGTCTAATCTAGACCAACAGTTCAGGGTATTTGGCACCCACAATCGGAAGCCTTCCAGATTCTCTCACCCACCATCTGCTTCTCTCTGTGCTCAGTGGAATATCAGTGCTCCCACACTGTGCTACCCTGAGTCGGAAGTCATCAGGAATTCAATCAATTTGGCATTAAGATTCAGGAAAGAAAAGGTTGCAATGGAAGCTGTTGCCTCACTCCACAGGTAACCCCACCAACTGGCCCCCAGAGCACGGATACTGACTACTTTGGGAGCAACTGCTTTAGGTGCCCTCCAGCTTTTGGACTCAAACTCCTATCAGCTCCAGCCAGCAGGGCCAATGGTCAGGATGACTGAAAGCAACTGTGGGGTCACTGGGCTTCCCCCACAATGGCCTATTACAAACCTCAGGGCCTGAAGAAAACAACAACTTTCTCTACTGTCCTCTCCCCCATATAACAGTTATCCAGAGGCGCACTGCCTCTGAGCATGAAGGTTTTATTTTTAGCAGTTGTGAAAGGCAACCCCCCCCCCAACTCTCTACAGGAACTTCTTGATATATCTAGGCAGACCCATTAGAAGCTTTTACACTTACCTGGGAGAAGGGCCTAGAGCTGAAAATAGATGACTCTTAAGTGGAATGCAGTATCAGTGGAATCCAAGCCCTATAAATCAATCTCAGCTTAGAGAAGGGAATGTTTTCCCTTTAAAATTTTGCACTGCTATCCCCAGAATAGTGAGAAATTGTTTAACTAGCCACCCTATTTGTTTAACAAAAGGGTGAAAGACTTGTAATAGTTATCTGAACCTAGGCATCCCTAGGTATCTGAAGAAGTGTGCATGCACACGAAAGCTCATACCAATAACAAATTTAGTTGCTCTCTAAGGTGCTACTGGAAGGATTTTTAAATTTTTGTTTCAACTACAGCAGACCAACATGGCTGTTGTTGTTGTTTAGTCGTTCAATCGTGTCCGACTCTTCGTGACCCCCTGGACCAGAGCACACCAGGCACTCCTGTCTTCCACTGCCTCCCACAGTTTGGTCAAACTCATGCTGGTAGCTTCGAGAACACTGTCCCACCATCTTGTCCTCTGTCGTCCCCTTCTCCTGGTGCCCTCCATCTTTCCCAACATCAGGGTCTTTTCCAGGGAGTCTTCTCTTCTCATGAGGTGGCCAAAGTATTGGAGCCTCAACTTCACGATCTGTCCTTCCAGTGAGCACTCAGGGCTGATTTCCTTAAGAATGGATACGTTTGATCTTCTTGCAGTCCATGGGACTCTCAAGAGTCTCCTCCAGCACCATAATTCAAAAGCATCAATTCTTCGGCGATCAGCCTTCTTGATGGTCCAGCTCTCACTTCCATACATCACTACTGGGAAAACCATAGCTTTAACTATACGGACCTTTGTTGGCAAGGTGATGTCTCTGCTTTTTAAGATGCTTTTTAAGACCAACACGGCTACCTACCTGTAACTAGGCATCCCTGTCTGCTATCTGCCTTCAAATCACCTCACCATTATGCAAATAGATCCTACTGAGGAGTTGAATATCCTACACTTAGCCACACGGGAGGTGCTGTGGTCTAAACCACTGAGCCTCTTGGGCTTGCCAATCAGAAGGTCAGAGGTTCAAATCCCCGAGATGGGGTGACCTCCCATTGCTCGGTCCCAGCTCCTGCCAACCTAGCAGTTCGAAAGCACGCCAAAAAGTACAAGTAGATAAATAGGTACCGCTCCGGCGGGAAGGTAAACGGCGTTTCCGTGTGCTGCTCTGGTTTCGGCAGAAGCGGCTTAGTCATACTGGCCACATGACCCGGAAGCTGTACGCCGGCTCCCTCGGCCAATAAAGCAAGATGAGTGCTGCAACCCCAGACTTGTTCACGACTGGACTTAACTGTCAGGGGTCTTTTACCTTTACCTTTTTACGGGTGAACTCAGGATGCCCAAATGCCTTTCAGCAGGCAGTCGAAATCCGGCTTGTTCCAGGGTCACCAAAGCTCATCGGGGGAGGGGGTGTCTCATGCCACATTAGAGCTATGTCTATCTTATACTTATGCCATGATCTAAAGATATAAACCATATCATAAGTTCAGATTCACACACACCTCCTCACAACTTGTGGAGGGAAATATATATATATAATATTTACCCATCCACAAATATAACCAATCTATCAAATAAAACTCATACGATATCTCCTTGGAATTCTGTGAATTAGAGAGCAGCAGTTTGCATCTTCAAGATCTTCAGGTTTTCCCCTGGAACATCTGGGTGTAAAAGACCAGCCAGCCTTAAAATAGAGAGCTGCAGGCTCCAGGCAATTGCAGGGAATTGGCAAACATCTTAAGAGACTTAGTTTGCTTTGTAACTGGGTAAACAACTATCAAAAACCCCTCATTTGCTTTGGCTATTAACCAGCCTGGCAGCATTGTGGCTCAGCAGTTGTTTTTAGTGAAGAATAAAAGGGATTTACACACTCACAGCTCTCAGAGGAAGAGGCAGCCAGCTCAAAACAAGGCTGATGCTTTAACCAGGCTGGCAGAATAGCGGGGTCAGTGGCATATTGCACCAAGTATTCAGCGTTTAAAGACCTGCTATAACCACCTGGCAAGTGTCTGCGTACTGTGCTCGGATGAGGGCTTTATGAGCAGAAACTGGGCGAGGTGGTGCAACAACATAGACAGAAGTGACATTAATGTCCGGCCTCCACCACGCATGCTCTGCTGTGGATAGTTGAAGCCTTGGTACTGTACTCAATGATACCATTATTTGGCCGTGTCCTTGGTCAATGACATCTTACTATAAATTCAATAAAACATTCGGAAACACAACACAACCACCTCCCCTCCACCACAAACTCACTGGCAGGCTGGAGGGAAATTCCTGTCCTTTTTACTTTAGACCAGCTTCAGGCTGATCTACCAGGGCAGGGCTATTGTGAAGATATTATCTTAGTGATATAATATAAGTCAGGTGGCCAACTCCCAAGAGGCCGCAATCTACTCACAGAGTTAAAAACTGGCAGTGATCTACCCCCTTTTTTGGGGTTCAGGTCAAAGTTGTTAAGCTTTTTCGGGGGGAGCCAGTGATCTACCACAGACGTCCAGTGATCTACCGGTAGATCACGATCTATCCGTTGGATGTGCCTAATATACGTGAAGCACTTTCAACTGGGTCTGTTTGACTGGATCTGTTTGTGGTATTTTTTATGCGTTGAGCAGTTTAGAAACTCCTACAAATAGATAAATAGCTGAGCGCTTCCCCACCACCACCGCCCATGAAGGAGAGACTCCACACAAGTGGATGAGGGAGGCTGAGAATGAGGACTGCAACCTTTACTTCAGGGGTGGGGAACAAGACTCTTGCTAAGTAACCATCAGACTCTGAGAAGCTGGTGTCGCTGGATCAAATTAATCAGTTTTGTTAGCTAAACTTAAGTTTTAATTGGATTTTGAATACACGAGCACCTTACTGTTTCAAATTTTACTGTGCTGTTCTGACCAATGCTTTTTATCGGGTGAGTTTATGGAACCAAGGGGGCAGTAGCCCAAAAGAGTTTAGGAACCAATGGATTAAACCCTAGGGAACAGCTCTCCTGGATGCCATACAAACCCAAACATCAAATGCTATTTCATCACTGGGCATTATAAAACTAGAAGGACGATGCCCTCAGCATGAGAAAACACAATTTCACCTATGTCCAATAAGAGACACACACACACACCCCCATTCTAAACAAAGGCTTCATAGTAGATCTCTGGGAATCCTTCATGTTATTTAAAACGGTTTCATTCTACAGTGAAATGTCTCCAGCTTTGCTGGCTGCTGGGATTCTACAGAGAGCCAAGAAAGGAGAGAGAGAGAAAGAAATGCTGCAAGAAAATTGTGTGTGTGTGTGTGTGTGTGTGTGTGTGTGTGTGTGCAGGGAGGGGGGAGGAGATAGTAACTATCACAACAACAATTTGCAAGAGTGGGAGGAACAAGAGAGTCAGGAGGCTGCAGTGAGTAGGTGGGGATGACGGATTGGGAACCAGCTCATGGTTGCCAGTTGCCAGGGGAGGCGGTGCCTGGGATGGAGAGAATGTGCTATGCTTCCAAATCTGCTTGCATCAGGAAGGCTGGCAGGAGACTGGCAATTTTTACAGCTGACCTTCCTTGTCTGAAACACTGCACTGTGCCTTTTCTCAGGAAACCCGGCTGAGCTTCTTTGACCACTGTTAAGTTGTGGGTTTAATGCACACAGGCTTGAGTAAAGGTCTAGGACAGGGGTCAGCAAACTTTTTCAGCAGGGGGCCGGTCCACTGTCCCTCAGACCTTGTGGGGGGGGCCGGACTATATTTTGAAAAAAGAAGAGGAACGAATTCCTATGCCACACAAATAACCCAGAGGTGCATTTTAAATAAAAGCACACATTCTACTCATGTAAAAAACCACTGATTCCCGGACCGTCCGCGGGCCGGATTGAGAAGGCGATTGGGTCGCATCCGGGCCCCTGGGCCTTAGGTTGCCTCCCCCATTCTAGGAACACAAGAAGCTGTGTTATCCGTGTCAGGCCACCAGACTGTCTTGTTCACTGCTGTGTCCTCTCACCGGCAGCAGCTCTGTGGGGCTTCAGGCAGGGGGTCTCTCTCTCAGCCTTACAGGGAGATGCAGGGAATTAAACCTGGGACCGCACCACATAGACCAGAGGTCCCCAAACTAAGGCCCATGGGCTGGATAAGGCCCGAGGGACTCATTTATCTGGCCTGCAGCGACCCCTGCCGCCTGCTGTCACTGCCCGCTCTTACCAGCGCTGCGCTGCAAGGCTGCCCATTTCTGGATCAGAGGAGCACCGGAAATAGCTTGTGCTCGTGCGCAAGCGTTATTTGCGCATACGCAGGTGTTTTTCCCAGTGCAGATCCAGGTCGGAGGAAGCCCTTGCACATGTGCACAAGCTCCTCCGACCCGGAAGTGCGCCAGAAATAGCGTATGCACACGCGTATGGGCACAAGTTCCCCCACCCTCTGGCCCGCTGTGCAATCAGAGATGGAGACACCAGCCTGAGGCGCAGTAAGTCTGCTGACCCCTGACATAGATACATAGACACCCCTGGCACACAAAACACATGCTCCACACCACCACCACAGTACAGCCTTACCCGCCCTTTCCAGGCTGCAACAGGTTTCTGTTTTACAGCAGCACAAAAAAGGCTGCCAGAGTAACACTCTCTCCCTTCTCTGACAGGGCAGCTGTACTGAAGAGGCAGCACAGGCAGGCGCAAAGGGTTGCAAGTATCCTGCACTCCTGAGGGTGAATCTGCACTAAAAGCTTAAGCCAGTGTCAAAGCATTGCAAAGGCTGCATTTCGCGTCAGTCGTACCTTGAACACTTTGGAGAAGAAGCCGCTGCCGATCAATTCCGCCTCAAAGTTCTCCCAGAATTCCAGCTTCCTGACAGCCGTGCGCAACCTCTGCCAGCGGTCGTCCTGACAATAAGCGTCCGGCATCTCCCCATAGTATGGCGTCAGGCTGGAGGGCTCAGGAGAGACCAGCCCCATTTCACACATCTCAGAGACAGGTGCTGCAAAGAGGAGGGAGAGGGAATGAACAGGTTTCATTGCCGGCTCTGCCGAATGGGTGAAGAAGCCCTTCAAGGCTGGCTGTTTTCGTGCCTGCTTTGCAAACCAGCAAATCCCTTCCAGAGGGCAGAGCTTTTAGCCCTCCTCGCCAGCTGACTGACAGCTTCCTATGTCCCAAGGTGGGGAATTATGCTGCCTGAGGGCCACATTCCCCCATGAACAAGCTTCTGAGGGGCCATATGCCAGTGACAGGCAGGGTCAGAACCAAAAGCAGGTGGAGCAATGGATGTGCCTTTCACCTTTCTACAAGATGCTACATTCCAACAAAAGTCAGGAGCTTCTGCACAAGCTTCAAGGATACGTCACCCTGCACAGGAAATGTCTCCTTTCACCATCCAGGAAAGCAAGAAGCATTACCAGAGTGCAAGGATGCATCCCAGCCAGGCTTAAGCACTGGAGGAGAGAACACAGATCAGGGCTAGTGAATGGCCAGATTCTGCCACTGAGATCTCCCCACCCTTGCCCAAAGGCCTTCAAACTTCAGGAAAACTACTTCTCTCTTGGTTCATCTACTCCAGAAAGTGGTGCACGTCTGCCAGGAGAGCCCTGCAGGCTGCAAAACTGTTCCAGAATATTCAAGATGGTTCTAGAACATTCTGGAGCGTTCTTGCGGGGCCTTCTGGGTGCCCAGAGCCACAGCCAGCTCCCTTCTTCCCTGGAGCGCTACCTGGGAAGTTGAGCAGTGGCAATGGGTCAGCTCTTCCACCATTACTGATCAGAATAACCCAGGGTGGTGGTCTGAATCATTATTATTACTAATCACCTGCCCTTCATCCTAAGATCCCGGGACAGGTTACAATGTTAAAAAACACAGTATTGGAAACAGATTTAAGCAGCTTACAACCACAAGTTGTAAGTTTTAAAAATATGTACCTCAAGCATCAACGGTCAGGGTACAGAGGCACATCTTCAGCATTTGCCAAAAGCTATGTAATGAAGGTGCCGAGCGTGTCTCTGTAGGGAGGGAGTTCCACAACTGGGGCCACCACAGAGAAGGCCTTCTCCTGGCTCACTGCCACTCTGAATCTCTGAGGGCAGAAGAACTACCAATCTTAGCACCCAAAGGGTTCTGCAGCGAAGGAGGTAGGCTTTCAGATATTTGGGGCCCAAGTCATTTAGGATTTTAAACACTAAGTGAACACCTTTGATTGGGCCCAGAAACAAACTGGCTGCCAGTGCAGCTTTTTAAAAACAGGGGTTATATGAAATCTAAACGGAAGCCCACTCAGCAATATGGCAGCTGCATTATGGACCAAGTTAAGTTTCCAAGTTGTCTTCAAGGGCAGTCCCACGGAGAGTGCATTGTAGTGATAGGGAGTGAGAGCTGGTTCTGGGTAGAAACATCCACTCTGAGGAAAATATCACAAGCTACAGAAAGGAGTCTCTGAGCTTAGTGTGAAGGACAGTGTGTGGTGTCCTGTAAGAGAAATAGGCCAGGAATTAACTGGGAGGCTGAGGTTGAGACAGGAGAAGTAGAAGCTGTAAAGAGACAGTCTATTTAGGTGTCATTCCAGTCAGGAGGGGAGAGATTCTTCTAGTAAGAGAAGACTCCCAAACCAGTGAAACCTTGGGTCTATTACTTGGAGTACCTCAGGAGTAGGGTTAAGCCTTGGAGTAGGCTTGTTAAGAACCAAAGTATTAAGTTAAGAACCAAAGTATTAAGTGTGAAACAACTGAGAAAACCTTGAAGTGAAATAACATTGTAAACTGAAGTATCGTAAGTGTTATCTACTCGTGTCATAAACTTCCTTGTTAAATAAAACCATTATTGTTTATTAGAACAAATCCTGCCTGAGACTCCTAATTATTAAGTTTTACCTCACGCAAGTCCCCCACAAGATAATCTGAGATTGTGGGAATTTGTGGGATTGGAGTTGGGTGCACACTCTATTTTTAAGTGAGAGGACAGGTCCAATGGCGCCAGGGGGAAAAGGGGCCATTGCGCCGTCACACCCCCTACCTTGGCATTTGACATTCTATGGGAAACATCTACTGTATTTCCTCAAGTTCATGGCTTTTCTCAAGATCAATCTCCTGCTGGCCCAGCCTCCTTCCCTCAAAGAGCCTTTTGTGTAGAAGTGAATTTGCATCATGCCCCTTCCCCAGGCGCTAGAGACAAGCCATTCACACCACTGTGCCCAAGCAGGAATCCCATATAAGACAAGCAGAGAGGCGCTTTTGTCTTCTCTTCAGACACAGACGCCCAGGCTCAGGGGACAGGGAGCGTAGAGAAGGAGGGAAACTTGGCTGGAAACAACCAGCTTGATGGCTGGCCTCTGGGAGGAGAGCTGGATAGCTCCGCAGTCTTTCAAAAGAGTCACTAGCTATGAAATGGGGCCTTTGTATTTTCAACCTAAATAGTTTGGATGGATTGGGGGTGGGGGGGGTCAGTCTCCAAGGCCATATCATGCAACCTAGCAAGAATTTCCTATTGCATCGCCTGCTGGCTGGCTGTTTCTATGTGGTAAACTCTTTAAGAGACCCGGTTCACATCACACATTTGAAGAAGTACAGCACCATTTTAAACAGCCACAGCTTTCCCCCCAAAGAATTCTGGGAGCTATAGTTTGATAGGGGTGTTGAGAGATACTGCACTATTCCCCCCCCCCCATGAGCTACAATTCCAAAAGTTCCCTGAGGAGACGGATTGTTACACCACTCTAGGAACTGTAGCTCCGGGAGGCGAACTGTGGCCTCCGAATGACTCTCAGGGGTGTAGGGCTATCTAGACCAGGGGTCAGCAACCTTTTTCAGCAGGGGGCCGGTCCACACTGTCCCTCAGACCATGTGGTGGGCCGGACAATATTTTTTTGTGGGGTGAACGAATTCCTGTGCCCCACAAATAACCCAAAGATGCATTTTAAATAAAAGGACACATTCTACTCATGTAAAAACACACTGATTTCCAGACTGTCCACAGGCCGGATTGAGAAGGCGATTGGGCTAGATCCGGCCCCCTATGCCTTAGGTTGCCTATCCATCAAAAGACAGATGCAATCGACATCCAGCGATGCAGTGGCACAGAGGGATGCATAATATATAATGAATACAGAGGCAGTTTGATTAGCATCAGAGTCTTTCCCCCCTCTGGGTCCAAATACGCATAAAGAAAAAACTGGCCCTTGGTTTGTTTTCTCTTAGCAGAATTAGCTAAGAGCCTGGAATTTATATTGTTCTGATAGTGGGGGGGTTTTTTGACCAGGTAAACTAAAGACTTGGATGCAGAATCAACACCAGAAATTCTCCTAATATACTGGCAAAACGATTTCCCCTAATATAATGTATTTTGCATGTGGCACTTAACCCCCGTAACATGACTTTTGTACACCTGATGAACTTGGTTGAAGAACAGCATCGCAAAACTCAGAGACATGTGAGCATTTGGTGGTGGTGGTTTTTCAGCTCTCATGTTGTTTCAGAAAGTGGCAATTAGCCAAGTTCACCTATAAATGTGAATCAAATGAAATCCTCTTTCCCCCCACCCAATCCCTTGTTCCAACTAAGTAATACATATGGCGGGGGGGGGGGAGAGGGAGGGAAATGAGCAGGGATGTGGGAGAGTGAATAGGGAATGAACAAAGGGAAAGGGAAATAACCTTTCTGTGAACTTTCAAGAAGGGGGCGGTCAGCAAACTTTTTCAGCAGGGGGCTGGTCCACTGTCCCTCAAACCTTGTGGGGGGCCAGACTATATTTTGAAGTGGGGGGATGAATGAATTCCTATGCCCCACAAATAACCCAGAGATGCATTTTAAATAAAAGGACACATTCCACTCATGTAAAAACACGCTGAGTCCCGGACCATCCGTGGGCTGGATTTAGAAGGCAATTGGGCCAGATCCGGCCCCCGGGCCTTAGGTTGCCTACCCATGTTCAAGAATCTCCATGTGCCTCTGAGGGAGAGCTCAGTGGCATAACGCCCCTGCTTTGCAGGCAGAAGGTCTCAGGTTCAAATCCTGGCATGTCCAGTGGAAATAACCTCAGGGAGCTGATGGAGGTGGCTTTTCTCTCTCTCTGCCTGAGAGCCTGGAAAGCCACTGCTGGCAGTCAAAGCAGACAACACCCAAACTCTAGCATAAGGCAGCCTCTGCTTCTACAGACTCAGTCCAGATGTTTTTGACTATGACTCCTACCAATCCCTATACCACAGATAGGGCTGTGTTGATGCGTGTTGTAGTCCAAAGCATCTGGAGGGCACTAGAGGTTGGTAAAGAAAGCAGTATGGAGAAAGATTGATGAGAATGCAACACTTTTTAGCCTCTCAGCCTTGCTAAAGAAGAAACAGAAGTCACGTCGAAACGACTGGGTAAAAAGCGTTAACACAGGAAAAATTTGGAAGCATGTTGGCAAAGACTAATTGATCTTGTGGGGCTGAGTTTGAAGCGTGTGGCCAGGGGAAAAGGCATCAATACTTTCTCTTCCCCGCCCCCCCCCCCCCCAAGAATGCATTATGGACTCTCCTCCTCCTGAAAGGAGCCAAGGCACACACATTTTCTAAATTCATAGCAGCCACAGAATTTCCATTTTCCTTGCAACAGACTCTGTACAATTATTTATGTAATTATTCTGTCTGCTATTTCTATTTCTATATCTGGCACTTCAGTCATAATGTAGTGGTACCTCGGGTTAAGAGCTTAATTCGTTCCGGAGGTTTGTTCTTAACCTGAAACTGTTCTTAACCTGAGGTACCACTTTAGCTAATGAGGCCTCCCGCTGCCGCCGCCGCATGATTTCTGTTCTCATCCTGAAGCAAAGTTCTTAACCCGAGGTACTATTTCTGGGTTAGCAGAATCTGTAACCTGAAGCGTCTGTAACCCGAGGTACCACTGTAAAAGCAAAATCATACCCAATCAAACAAGGTTCAGTAACGTGATCATCAAAATTAATAGAACACAGTGGTACCTTGGGTTAAGAACTTAATTCGCTCTGGAGGTCCGTTCTTAACCTGAAACTGTTCTTAACCTGAGGTACCACTTTAGCTAATGGGGCCTCCCGCCGTCGCCGCATGATTTCTGTTCTCATCCTGAAGCAAAGTTTTTAACCCGAGGTACTATTTCTGGGTTAGTAGAGTCTGTAACCTGAAGCATCTGTAACTGAAGGTACCACTGTAGTCTGTTCCCGTGTATGCTGAGTAGGTACGCACACACACAAACTCGCACCCTGCAAATCACATTCAAAAGGAAAAAACACCTTGTGTAGGGCCTAAGAGGACCCGCAGAGGAGGATCTGCCTGGGAAAAGTCCATCCACAGCAGAAGCTGGGTGCCAACTCCATTAGCACACAGGTCAGCGGGTGAAATTCGAGCTACCACACCTCTTTGCAAAAACAGCCGGTGGGAGACTCATCATTGCACACTGGATCTTTCCCTCCTCCCTCCCTGCACTATGAAAAAGCACAAAGAACTACCTGAGGGACAGCTTTTCTTTTCTGTTTTTAAGGAAAGAACCAAAATGTTTCCAACGCTTTCTGGAATCAGCACAGGAGGTTGTGTCTAGTTGCTAGGAAACAGTATGTATTCATGCCAGGGCTGCTATTGTTGAGTCCTAAGGCAGCAGCCCAGGGATCATATACGGTAGTTCACACTACTGACTGACAGGCAGAGATGTCTAACTACTAGTCATCACAATCCAGATCCGTGTGTGTGTATTCACACATATGCCACAATGGACATGTGGTGCAAATAACATAGCTACAGATAATAACTCACACAAGGAAGCCAAGCCACGTGACCCAGGGGGAGGCAACTTGCCCTCGGTCATGGCCAGGCTGGGGCTTTGGAGACACCTGCAGGGTGAACCCACTGTCCTGAGCTTTCCACAGTCTGGGTGGAGAGACTAGGGTCCTCCTCTGTTAACAAAAGGCCAGGATTTTCATGTACTTTTCGCAGTACATGTGAAAAGGATCTAGGAGTCTTGGTTGACCACAAACTTGACATGAGCCAACAGTGTGACACGGCAGCTAAAAAAGCCAATGCAATTCTGGGCTGCATCAATAGGAGTATAGCATCTAGATCAAGGGAAGTAATAGTGCCACTGTATTCTGCTCTGGTCAGACCTCACCTGGAGTACTGTGTCCAGTTCTGGGCACCACAGTTCAAGAAGGACACTGACAAACTGGAACGTGTCCAGAGGAGGGCAACCAAAATGGTCAAAGGCCTGGAAACGATGCCTTATGAGGAACGGCTAAGGGAGCTGGGCATGTTTAGCCTGGAGAAGAGGAGGTTAAGGGGTGATATGATAGCCATGTTCAAATATATAAAAGGATGTCACATAGAGGAGGGAGAAAGGTTGTTTTCTGCTGCTCCAGAGAAGCGGACACGGAGCAATGGATCCAAACTACAAGAAAGAAGATTCCACCTAAACATTAGGAAGAACTTCCTGACAGTAAGAGCTGTTTGACAGTGGAATTTGCTGCCAAGGAGTGTGGTGGAGTCTCCTTCTTTGGAGGTCTTTAAGCAGAGGCTTGACAACCATATGTCAGGAGTGCTCTGATGGTGTTTCCTGCTTGGCAGGGGGTTGGACTCGATGGCCCTTGTGGTCTCTTCCAACTCTATGATTCTATGATTTACACTGCCAGACAATTTTGAGGGTTGATGCTGAACCTCCCTTCTGTAGCAATATGAGGCTCCACATCCCCTTCAAAGTCCTTGAGGTTCCAGTCTGAAGTTTCATTGTTTATTTGTATTTATTTGTTGCATTTAAAGCCCACCTTTTCCCCAAGGAGCTCATGGTTCTCCCCACCTCATTTAATCCCCACAACCTTGTGAGGTGGGTTAGGCCATGGGTAGGCAAACTAAGGCCCGGGGGCTGGATCCGGCCCAATCGCCTTCTAAATCCAGCTCGCGGACGGTCTGGGAATCAGTGTGTTTTTACACGAGTAGAATGTGTCCTTTTATTTAAAATGCATCTCTGGGTTATTTGTGGGGCACAGAAATTCATTCATTTCCCCCCCCCAAAATATAGTCTGGCCCCCCACAAGGTCTGAGGGACAGTGGACCGGCCCCCTGCTGAAAAAGTTTGCTGACCCCTGGGTTAGGCTGAGAGGCTACCTGGTAACCTCCTTGGCCAAGTGGGGATTCAAATCATGGTCTCCCACATCCCAGTCCAAAGCTCTAACCACTACACCACACTGGCACCTTAGATTTGGATCCACTCTGGCTACAGCTGCTGGGATTTGTATTCCCAAAACATCTGGAGGGCACCAGGCTGAAGAAGGCTGCATTAAGAGTAAACTCCCTTCTCATTTCCCAACACAGGGGAGTGGTCAAGTCACAAGGGCATCCATCCATCCCTAGATGTGATTTACAAGTCAAGCTCTCCTCCAGTTGCCGCAGCGAAACTGAACAGGCCGCTGGCAGGCCAGGAGGAAGCTTAGCAGCCAGTGAAAACTGAATCCTGCCCCAGTCCAGAAGCATCTTTGCCAAATGCCCGGCCCCACCTCTGTGACATTTGCCAAAAAAAAGCAGCAGCAGCAGCAAATATAGGTTGGATTATATTTAGCATTTGTACCAAAAAACAGCAGAAGCCACGAAGAATAAATCACCTGGTTGCATTTTATGCAGATTTACCGGAATTCCAAAGCAAGCAAAACGAAGCACAACCGTATTTGTATAGTGCTGTGGATGTGGCATGGCACTCTGCAAGAAGTGCAAAAGGAGAGTCTCTGCCCCAAGGAGCTTACAATCCATCATTCAACACAGCGGAAGACAACTGAGGCAGGGGAGGGCAGCAGGAGGGGTAAAAGTCATGCCAACTTGTTGCTGTAACACCTCCCTAGGGTCTAGTTAACAGTAGGTAGAGGTGACGCGTTGGGTGGCAACCCTTTCATCCGGCCCACCTATTCTTGCCCAGCTATTTCACATCCCTGCTTCCATTTGTCAGACCGCTATTACCATTACAAATTACAAGTGTTTGTGTAGCGAAAACCATTACAAATCAAAATGCATAAAACGGAACACAGTTAAAATAATGATTAAAACCAGGCATCCTGTTAGATAGGAGTTCGCTGCCCTGAAGAATTTAGCTTATCATCTCCACAAACTTTTCTCCTTCAAATTGCTGCTCTAAAGGCAGAATAAGCCGCATTTTCAGAGGTGTAGGGGGTCCTGTCCCCTAATAAAAAGTTAGTTTGATACCAAATCAATCTCCCAATTGGGATATTTAAATCTTTGAACAAGGCTGTTCTTAATTCCTCATGGACTGGACAAACCAGTAAGTAGTGGGGTAAATATTCAGGCACACGAACTCCTAAGTGAGCAAACTCTCTCTTCATAAGGGATCAGGCGGTAGCGTCTTTCAACTGTGAACCGCAGAGCTATAAAGGCTTTTCTCCAACTGGCATTTGTGATGCTGGTTACATGGTGGGGGCGAGGGTGGGTAGTTTGGCATCCCAAGGGGCACATTTTGACAGACAGCCTCTTACTATTAAGAAGTGTCTCCAAACATTCAAACTATTGCTTCCCGCAACTTAAGCTTGCAAATGCGAACCCTCTGGGACAGAAGTCACTGCTCTCCTGACTGTGCACTTTCATGAGCATTAACTGATGAACTGGTGTTAGAAGAATAGAAATATAAGTAGGCTGCAAATGTAAGTATGTACACTGCATAAAATAAAAAGCATGAAGACGTATACTCTTTATCCCATGCTGTTGCATTTTAACTGCATTTTGTATAAATTTTAATGGCTGAGTTTTAACAACCAACTCGTTTTTATTGTATTTTATAATGATGTTCCTAAATGCTGTACACCACCTGGTATCCCAATTTGGGAGAAAGGCATGATTTATATACATTAAGTAATAATAATGTAATAATAATCTGTAACCTCAAGACTTGATTATTGCAAAGTGCTCTCTGTGTGGATACCCTTGAGCTGGTGCAAATTGCTGAGGCTGGACTGTTGATTGGGACAGACTACAGCCAGCACATAACTCTGGTGCTGAAAAACTTGCACAAGATGCCCATGACTAGGCCAAGGTCAAGGTCCTTGCATTAATTTACAACTTCGTCCATGTGAATAAATCTGCAGCATTTGAATAAATTGCAGTAAGACTCTTCACTTGGCTGGGGAAAGTCTAGCTCCATGACAGACCCTGGAAAGCTTCTGCCAGTCAGAACAAAGCAATATGAGACTAGATGGGTCAACATCTCTGTTGTGCTTTAAAAAGCAAGCTGTAACACATCAGCGGTTGGGGAACCAAAGGAAAATTTTAAAAAGCAGCTGAAACCACCAAGCAGGGATTTCCCCACAACACTTATAGCAACTTGTTAATTTTTTTATTTAAAAAATGGGGTGTGGGGGTTCAGACTTTGCTTGCCTCAGAACCTCAGCTCCCCAACTTGCAAGCACATGAGAATGGTGGTTATGGTTAAATGAATGCTGAATGTGCTCAAAGACACAAGGTTGTATCCAAAACACTGAAGTTAATGGACATGAGTAACTACTACTACTTCTTACATATTTATTTATACCTCACATTTTCACCTGACAGGACTCAAGGCAGCTTACAAATAAAAAGAATAATTACTATAAAAAATAAATTATAAAACAATTAAATAGAATTAAAGTTATATACATATATAACATTTGTTTAAAATATACAAATAAGTACAATAAAAACAGCAGAGCCCCACCCCATTCATTAAAAGCAGTCAGTTCCCAAAAGCCACTTGGAACAAGGTCTTCATCTGATAGCAGGCAGTCAAACTTAGGTTCAATTCTTTCAGTGGACCTACTCTGAGTAGAACTTCGCTGGCCACAACCGATCACTATTATTACTGCTATTGTTAAAGGCTGCAAACGGCCGGCAAATCCAGTTCTGGGAAAAGGATGAGTTTGAGAACGGAGTAAAAACCGTACCCAGCCCAGCCCACCCCTGGGGGTTAGGGAATTACCCCAATGGCTCTTAACGGAAGTCCCATTACAAGGCTGGGCCATTACCTGCAACTGATCTCGCTTCTGTTATGGGATACCTTCAACGAAACTGGATTTTTGTTTTAAAACGTCAGGACTTTTTCTACCTTAATAAAACCCTTCTGGATAGGAGAGAAAAATCTGTAGTGCGGCGGAGAGAGAGAGAAAGCGCGCTCAAACCCATCACTGCCGGGGTCTGCAAAGGCGGATCGGGCAGTTGCGCTGAGCACGCCCAGGAGCCTTCCTTCGTCTCTGCACTCCCAGCTCGCTGCTAGACAAGCACCGGCGCTCACCCATCGTTCTCTGCCCTTCCTCCCTAAGCCTAGACGATAAGATTAGTGTAATCCACCGAGGGAATAGAAGGCGCTTTACCCGCGCTCGGAGGAAATCGATTTAGGGGATTTCTTCACCTGCTCCACCAAACGGGTCTCGGGGCTCAGATGAAACCGCTCTTCTCCTGTCTGTAGGACAAGTCACCAGTTTGGGTCGTCTCCTCCTACGCCCTGGAGAATAAAGAACTTTACGCGCTGGCCAGAAAGAGCTAATGGGCCCGAGGCGCGCTCAGCTTCTGCTGGAAGGCGCCTTGCTGCTGCCTTCTTCTCCTCTTGCCGGTTGAAGTGCTGCCTCTTTCCGGCGAAGCGGAGGCGCGCCGTGCGTAAATGCACAGCGGGCGCCGGTTTCCGATGAGCTCTCCAAGGCGCGCTCCGCCGCGTTTAGCTCCCGGCAGCCCAAGTCTAGGGGAGAAAGGCGAGGCAGTCGGGTTCAGCGCCGCCCTCTGGACAAACAAGAGCTCGGTGCCATCGGACACTTCACAAGCGGCGGAGAATGGATTGCATCCGACGCGCTCTTTGACGGCCGCGCAGCGCTGCGCGAAAACTTTCAGTGGGTTGCGAAGAATGACGCTTACGTGGAGCCTCCAAGTTCAGCGGTATTCTGTCTTCAGTATAAACGTGTCTCATAATTGCATATAAATCATTGTACATGTGACACCAAAATCGCCATACAAGTGTTTTCGTGTTAGTTTTTAATAGATTACAAGAGATAATTCATTAGACGGTGATTTTTACATGCCTGTTATACTCGCACATTGGCAACAAAATGCTTAAAATAATAAAGAAACTAAAACACAACCCTACCCGGTTAATCAGCTGGAGCCTGAAATTTCCAAATTTATCCTTGCATGCACTTTTAAAGAAATACTGAAAAATTGCATTGTTGGCTGCCTGTATCCAACAGTGGAAGCCGCTTTTCTGGCATTCAGGTGCGATGACAGGAAAACACCGCCAATGAGATTTCCGTCTGAGGTGTTGAATAATGTTTTTACCTGTAACTGCTTTTAGAATGTTTTTGCTGCAATTCTTTTAGAAGGTTTTCACTTTTTAATATAATCCCCTTGTTTTTGTCTTTGTTTAAAAATAATATTTTAAATGTTGTTTTAAAATAATCTTTTAAAATAATCTTTTAAATGTTGCTAGACTCCTTTGAGAGAAAGGGCAGGATATGAATTCAATAAAATAAAATAATAAATATTAAACACAAAGGAGCCTAGCCAGAACAGAGCCACTGGCAGTCCTAATATCTTCCCTTAACTTCAGGAACAAGGAGTGATGGATACTGTGTTTAATTTCTAACTGTGATCCCTTGCTTGTTTACTCAGAAGTAATCATGTTTGTGCATGGGGCCTACTTCCTAGTAAGCTTGCTGATGATTCCAGGCTACATTAAATGGCTTCTTTGAATCCATAATTTTCTTTACCTAGAAAGGAATGTGGTGGTTTTTACATCATTAACCCACAAAGGTTGTGATTAATCCATGCTGAGGAAAACCACTAAAAAGCAGCATCCATCAGTCAGACACATGAACATTTATTTACTTATATTCATTACATTTATGTTCTCCAGTGATGTTTGTGGTGCCCCCACCCCATTTTATTCACACAGCAGCACTGAAAGGTAGAGTGGGATGGAGGGGCTGGGAGATGGTGATGGGTTGAGCAGAAATTTGAACCCATGTCTTGTTTCTCAGTATTCTCAGTTTCTCAGTATTAAAGACACAACAACAACAACAATAGTTACCATATGAATTGCAATGTGCTTTGGAGCATTAAACTCTCCTGCTGTTTTCTCTTGATGGGGGAGCTTGAGGACCCTGAATGTTATCTACAGTACACTGAATAACATTCACTGAATGCACATTGAACTTTCTCTCTCCCAACCTGGAACTGACCTTTTCTTGTGCAACAATCCAATTCTCTGAGATCTCCTGCCCCCAAATTGATTATTAAGACTATTTTTAGCCCTTCAAGTGGAAACTCAACTCTGCAATTACGAGTTGGCTTTCCAGCATGTCGCTGTCCACCTCTTCAAGCTACTTCAGTGCATGAAGTGGGGGGAAATAATTAACTTTAAGCTGTTTTATAGAGATCAAGTTCAGTCCTTTGCCAGAGGTTGCTTGGAAGACATTTGACCTTGACATGGCTGTGCATTAATGCTTGTTTAGGGCACCAGCCTCCATATTCCAGAACAATCTGCCTCTGAATACCTTAGGCTACAGAGCAACAAGGAGAGAAAGTTCTTATCCTCATATCTTCCTACCTGAGGATGGAACCTGCATGTCTAAAGACAGTCTATCTCTGAACATCAATTGGTAAGGCGGGCATGGCTAACCTGTGGCCCTTCAGAGATCATTAAAAGGTTGTTTTCTGCTGCTCCAGAGAAGCGGACACGGAGCAATGGATCCAAACTACAAGAAAGAAGATTCCACCTAAACATTAGGAAGAACTTCCTGACAGTAAGAGCTGTTCGACAGTGGAATTTGCTGCCAAGGAGTGTGGTGGAGTCTCCTTCTTTGGAGGCTTGACAACCATATGTCAGGAGTGCTCTGATGGTGTTTCCTGCTTGGCAGGGGGTTGGACTCGATGGCCCTTGTGGTCTCTTCCAACTCTATGATTCTATGATTCTATGATTAGACTCCAGCTGCTGTCAGCCCCAACAAGCATGGCCAGTGGGCAGAGATGGTGGAAGTTGGTGTCCAGCAACATCTGGAAGGCCCCAGGCCATTCACCTCTGGTATATATGACTGCTTCCCAGAGAGCAGCCTTCCCTTACCAGGTGCCCTCTAGATATTTAGTACTAGAACTCCCACCAGCCCTACCCAGCATGGCTGTATGAAGCAAGGCCTTATGGGAGTTGTAGACCAAAACAGACCAGGTGGGCAAATACAGTGTTTCCAGGGTATCCCACTATAAACATAGCTGTCAAGCGTCCCTTATTTGGCGGGACAGTCCCTTAGCCCAGCGCCATGTCCCACTGCTGTCCCTTATTGATGATGTCCCTTAAATAAGCTACTGAAGGTAATGGGGCCCTTTCTATGTCCAGCTGTGCTGTGTCAACAACAAATTGTTGCAGTTTTTTGTGTTGAATATATGCTATATGGTAATTTATGGACCTAATAGGTATCTAAAGCCATTTGCACGCAACAAAATATGTATTTTATCAAAGTAATTGTTGATCCCTTATTTTGGCTGCTGATCCCTTATTTTCGAGGCTGCTGGTCCCTTATTTTCAAATCTGTAAGTTGACAGCTATGACTATAAAACATCCCGTCTCTCTCATTACGTGTTGAAGAGACAACACCATTTTGAATTTCAGTTTGAAACTTGCCTCTCCAGCAGTTTGAGGCAGCTGCATGAAAAAGGAGCCCACAGCTGAGGGCTGTCGTATTCTCCCTGGCTGTGTGGCCTGTCATCCTAAATACATGCATTTTTTGTTCCATTGAGGCTTACGAGAGAAGCAAACGCAGTCCGACAGAGGCTCTCCCAGGAAGCCCATGTCAGGGACTGTTAAGTCCAGTCTGGTTGAGCAGCAGTCAGGGGTGGGGAAGGGAGACAAGACTGTGGGCAGCTGCCCATGGGCCCTGCTGTCTGGTGCCCCCTCACAGCTATAGAGGGAAAGACTGTCTCAGTGAGGAGCTAAAGGCACCGTGAGACTTCAGGGCTTGCCAGCGTGGTGTCTGAGAGTGCAAGGGGACCTTTGGAGACGTCATCTGCTGCCTGTGCAAGCCCCTGAGCACCCCTAACTCATTGCTTCTTCCATTATGAGGTGATGAAGGTGATTACTTCCTAAAGGTAAAGGTAAAGGGACCCCAGGTCCAGTCGTGGACGACTCTGGGGTTGCGGCACTCATCTCGCCTTATTGGCCAAGGAAGCCAGTGTACAGCTTCCGGGTCATGTGGCTAGCATGACTAAGCCGCTTCTGACAAACCAGAGCAGTGCATGGAAACGCCGTTTACCTTCCCACTGGAGCAGTAGCTATTTATCTACTTGCACTTTGGCGTGCTTTCAAACTGCTAGGTTGGCAGGAGCAGGGACCGAGCAACGGGAGCTCACCCCGTCGTGGGGATTCAAACCGCCGACCTTCTGATCGGCAAGTCCTAGGCTCTGTGGTTTAGCCCACAGCGCCACCTGCGTTTCTACTTCCCTTGAAAAGTACTGGTATAGGTTTGGGGCTGGGTGTCTGGGGTGTTAGGGGAGGGGCAGTACCTCTGGTGGGGGGCATGTTGTGCTCCTTCTCAGGTAGTTCATCCCCATTTGGTCCCCACCCTGCTCTCAGCTCTCACCTGTGGCTCCTAGAAGCTGCCAGCATGTGATAGCAGCCACAGTCCTGAGAACGGCTTCGAGTGGCCGGCTGCATCTGGTGAGGGTAGCCATTGGGTCACAAACCCTCAGTGAGTTTGGGACTCTGTGTGTGAAGACAGGCTCCGAAGGATTGAGCAGACAAGACCAAGAGTGGGTCCAACAGTCAAGAAGGTGGTATCTGCACATGGTGTAGAGGGGCACGTGGGACCCATCTACCTAGGAAGGTAGCCCATCTAGGAAAGCTCTGATTCTACACCTCCACTGCCTTGTGGGAAATCTTCAGGAGAAGAAAAGACTAGGGAGTAAACTCTACACAAATCCAGAGTGGAGTATGTAAGACGGGTGGATGGCGCACTCTATTGTCTCCTGAGACAAATGCCAAAAAGGTTTGAGGACTCATTCTCAATGACATTTTTGGGTCCCTTCCAAACCAGTGGCATAGCGTGGGGGGTGCAGGGGGAGCCGGCCGCACCGGGCGCAACATCTGGGGGGGGCGCACTCGCACTCGCAGCTCTCTGCCCCTACCTGGCTCGCTCACTCTCTCTCACTGCAGTGCTGGCTGTGCGAATCCGATCCGAGCCGCTGGGTCGCCGCCCACTATGGAGGGGGTGGGTGCCAGGCGTGCGGTGCGGAGAGAGAGAGAGCGAGGGACTATCTGGGGGAGGGACAGTGCAGCGGCCGCCCAACGCAGCGCTGAGCGCGGGAGAGAACCATACCAGACCAGACCAGGCAGCAGCAAGAAGAAGCTGGCAGCGGTGGCAGGTTGGGGGTTAGGGGGCGCAAATTACTTGCCTTGCCCCGGGTTAGGGGGTGCAAATTACTTGCCTTGCCCCGGGTGCTGACAACCCACGCTATGCCGCTGTTCCAAACCTTTGATCCTGTAGCTGCAAGGGTAAGGTATATAAGAGGAAACCCATCAGAACACTTCCTTAGTCTAGGATAGTGGCCTTATAGCTGAGTGGGGCTAGGTACAGTGGTACCTCTTGTTGCGGAGGGGTTCCGTTCCGGAGCTCCGGTTGGATCCCGAGCTTTCCGCAACCAGAGGTGCCTCTTCTGCGCATGCATGCGGCATGATAGAGCGCTTCTACGCATGTGCGAGTGGCGAAACCCGGCAAAATACTTCCAGGTTTGCCGCTTTCACAACCCAAAGTAAGCCGAGGTTCTACTGTACTATCATCTGTATCTTAAAAGAGTGAGCTCTGTTGCCATAGAGACAAATGGGGGAGTCTGTTCCCGTCTCACCTGGATAGATGCCGTGTTATCCTTGTTCTGTATGTGCATAGAAGTGAAGCTGGAGGAGCTTCAGTTCTATGTGATTTTCAAGATCCAGAAGGTGACCGGAAAGTGGAGTGCCTCAGAGAGTAGGAGTTAAAGGATAGTGATCTGTGTTATAAGAATTATAAGGTATCAAATACATAATAAATGTTCATAAATGTACAAGGCAAACACATACATAAGTGTCTAAAGCACATGTCTGAAATAGTAAGGAGAACAATCCTGAAGCCATTTTGACTCTCCCAAATTGACCTCAAATATTTCTCTGCAAGAAGATCAAACGTATCCATTCTTGAGGAAATCAGCCCTGAGTGCTCACTGGTAGGACAGATCGTGAAGCTGAGGCTCCAATACTTTGGCCACCTCATGAGAAGAGAAGACTCCCTGGAAAAGACCCTGATGTTGGGAAAGATGGAGGGCACAAGGAGAAGGGGACGACAGAGGACGAGATGGTTGGACAGTGTTCTCGAAGCTACCAGCATGAGTCTGACCAAACTGCAGGAGGCAGTGGAAGACAGGAGTGCCTGGTGTGCTCTGGTCCAGGGGGTCACGAAGAGGCGGACACGACTAAACAACTAAACAACAACAACAATTTCTCTGCAAGGAGGAAGAAAATGGGAAAAGCTTTCCAGTTGTCTTTGGACTATAGGAGCTTACACCTCTCTTTTCAAATGCAGTCTGGGAAGTATCTGTTAAGCTGAGCAAACTATCAATATGTGTAAGAGATTCAGAATCTAAAGCATTTACCATCTCAAAGGAATGGCCAGGCTACCCAGAAAATGCTATCAAATAAGGCATTATCAGGTATCCTGACAGACAGGAGAGTAGCAACACTCTAAAATTTCTACTGGAAACCACCTCCTTCTGTGATGTATGTATGATGTTTTGGGGGGTGGTCTTGGGCTATAGGGTGGGCAATTTCAAAAGTCTTTATAGGGGCTTGCGCATCATTGTTCTGTGTCTCTCCTACCCCCTTGCAAGGAAGGGAGGGAACTCTGCCTTGCTTTCTATGGATCTTGCCTCCATCCATTCATCTCTGACCGATCACGGACTTAGGGGACCCAGTCCCTTGGGGAGTTGGGCAGCAAAAGCCAAAACCCCTATTATTTCTATAACAACTGTAAAATGGGGGCAGAGGGTGTAGGAAGGAGAAAAAAGTGAGTTGAGAGAGAGAACATGTGCTGAAATTTGGATCCAGTAAAACAGATCCTCTTGAGATTTCAGTTTTTTCATCACCATCCCAGCTCACAACTGACTGAACGTTAAACATCATGGATCTGGTGCTTTGCAGTGAGGGCCGACTCTTCCATGAGACAAAGTGAGATAGCTGCCTTGGGTGACAAATTCTGAAGAGTGGGAAGTGGCTAGAAATGTGGGTCATGTGGCCTGCCCTAAAAGAAGACATCTGAAGGCAGCCCTCTTTAGGGAAGCTTTTAATGTTTAATGCATTACTGTATTTTAATATTTTGTTGGAAGCCACCCAGCGTGGCTGGGGAAGCCCAGCCAGTTGGGTGGGGTATAAATAATAAATTATTATTATTATTATTATTATTATTATTAGCTCTAAGCTAGCTTGCTGCCCTAGCACCCTAGGGTCTATCACCAGAGCTGAGGAAAGACTCAATTACCAGTCTAGTCAGATTTTGCACACAGAATGGGGAATGCACTCTTCTTGCCTCAAACAGCAAAATGGTCCTGTTTGCGGCACTGTCGTGCACAGAAACATGGTTCTGAGCGTAGATCTTTATGGAACCTCGTAATTTTCATCAAGAACATCCACAAAAACTACAATAAAAATCACAGGTCTTCCCTTCCAGGAGTCAGACATGTACCCAGGACACCCTTGTCAGGGGAGCACATTAGCCCTAATGGCTACATGCTGGGATTTAATAAACTGTCAAATTTATTTTTATTTATGGGTAAGTTTATTTATATACCGCTCTATACCCACAGGTCTCAGGGCAGTTCACAAGATAAAATCCCAATATAAAAACACAAAATATATAAAATATAAACAGAAACAGCCAAATACTGCCCTCCCCAAAAATAAAACACATAAAAACAGTTAATAACAAACAAAAACCATTAAAAGCAGTTTGAAAGGCTTATACATCTCCAAAATATATTTATATTATATATGAGAGCCAGTGGTGGGGTAGTGGTTAGAGTGCTGGACATGGGGGAGACCAGGGTTCGAATCCCACACTGAACCATGAAGCTTACTAGGTGTGGCCTTGGGGAATAATCAGCCTAACCTGCTTCACAGGGTTGTTGTGGGAGCTTTATTAACTATGAAATGTGGGACTCCCTCCAAACTGCTCCCAAAGTTTTGCAATCATTTTGCAGTGAAAACCCCATGCTCTGCAGTGACCTCCAACTTGAACAACTGATACTTAAATCAGGGGTCATAGCCATCAAACATGGCTGGGTTTTGGGGTGACACCCATCACCTCCAGTTTGAGTATCAGTTATTCAGTTTGTGTGCTGAAAAACCACCACAAAACTTTGGCACTGGTTTGGAGGGGAACCCAAATTTCAGGGTTCATAGTTAGTGAAGCTTGTTATGAGAATAATATGGGGAAAGGAAGAACCACACAGGCCACCATGAGCTCCTGGGAATGCAGGTGGGATATAAATTCAGAATGCTGCTGTGTTTTCAGTCTATTACTGTTCTTTGAAGTTTGTTAATGTTATTCTCTTTGCAAGCTGCTTTTGAAGTGTCTGAAGTGTTTGTGTGTGTTACAATCAAGTGGCACAAAAATTTTACAAAACAAGAAAATAAGAATAAAGATCAAGAAAAAAAAACCAAGAAAATGAAGGTAATATAAATAAACAAAACAAGTAAATTGTATTTACATAAGCAAACGATTTATTACAGGGTCCAGGAAAGCAATTTAAATACGCGTCTGGCCTTCAGGCTGCCCCTTTTTTATAAGAAAGGCGTGCCCTTGAGCATGTGCAGAGTGCAGTGCAGAGGGAGAGGGGCGGGGCGGGGCCAGTGCCCTTTGATGTCCAAGATGGCGGCAGGGCGACGAGAGGCGAGCCGCGCCCCTTTCTCCTTCCCCGCCCCTTCGGGGGAAACCACATGGCCCTCCCTTCGCCCCGCCCCTCTGCCGGCAGGGCTTTCACGTGACGCCCTGGGCTCCTCTCACGTGACACCACCGCTTTCCGTGCCCACGCTGCAGAAGAAGGGACCGCCGCGCCTGTGGTCATGGCTACGCGACCCGCGCTCTACCTGCGCCTCGTCTCTCTGGCGTTGCTGCCGGGGGTCCTTGCAGGTAAGGCGGCGGCGGGCCTCGGGTCCGCTGCTCCCAGAGAGAGGGTCAGCGGAAATCGGTGGTGGTGATCGCAGGGAAGGGATGCAACTCTGCACATGCTCAGGTGCACCAGAGGGAAGGGATGCAAGACTGAACAGGAATAAGATGCACTCTCCTTTGTGAATGTATTTATTCGTTCTTCGTTAATTCCTTATTTCAGGGTCTTCCTGGCTGGAGTTGGTTTTTGAGGCAGAAAGCGTGTGATGGAGAAGTACAGTCTTCACAGGCTCAGGAGCAATTCCTTTATAATTAATCCCCAGAACTCAGAGCCCCCGCCCCATCCCGGTCCACTTAGAGAACATATAAAGCTGCTTTGCTAGTGTTTTCTGCGGCTGTTTTGAGTAAGAGTGCTTCTGAGCATTTGTAGAGAGCACCACCCCTCTCATTCAAATCAGCTGGTTGCAATTTGTAATTCTGTCTTGCAATAGGAATATTGGAAATAAAGCAATATATCACTTGGACCATCATGCCACTTCCACAGTTTAGAGCAATATTAGCCATGGCTTGTGTGTCAAAGGGCTAGTGGACATGCTTTTTGGGAAGATTTGAGCTCCACAACTTCATGTTTTAGAAATTACACGCCACCTTTTCCTTGTTTCAGTTATCAGATTCGTTACAAAGCTATCAGTCCCTTTCTAGCAGTGTGTGGTTACTTAATGGAGGTTCTGGGGTGGAAATGTAACTTTCTGTGCTTTGTAGGTACTTTCTCCGTCTCCCCATCCCAATTCATCTCATTATACTAGTGAGGCTCACTTAGTTACTTTGCATGTTGCAGGGTTTAGCCCCACCAACAAAAAACTGTTCCAGCCCTACTTCAATCCTCCTCACCTTCCATTTACATTTCTTAATGTCCAGACCTGACCAGAAATGCCATGTTTTTTACTTTAAAAATGATTTAATTTCTGCAGCACGTGCTTTACCAAATTTGCAGCCTTGAATAATTGTTTGACAGTAGCAGAGAAATACAGCCAGCATTTTGGAGTGGCAGAGGAAAGAAAGTACAGTAGACACTCGGGTTGCGAACGTGATCTGTGTGGGATGCAAGTTTGCAACCCGCAGCGCCGTATCTGCGCACATGCGGGTTGCGATTCGGTGCTTATGCGCATACGCAAAGCGTGATTTAGTGTTTCTGTGCATGCGCGACCACCGAAACCTGGAAGTAACCCGTTCCAGTACTTCCGGGTTTCAGCAGTCCGTAACCCAAAAAAACGCAACCTGAAGCGTCTGTAACCCGAGGTATGACTGTAAAGCCTAGCTGTTCTTGTACAATAGAATCCACAGCAGAGCAGATTTCACGGAGCATATATTGGGGTAGTTGACCTCTTTTCCATGGTCAGTAGACTGACACTGCCATTTTTTATTCCCCTTCTATCCGAAAGTGACGCGGTTTGTTTCTTTTAAGGTTACAGAAACCCCCAGCTTGACTTCAAAGAGAAATATTTTGAGCAGTGGATAGATCACTTCAACTTTGAAACCTACAGCAACAAAACCTTTGCCCAGAGATACCTCATCACAGGTATGCTTTTGGTGATGAAAATATGTAAAAACATGAAAATGTCGCTTCTAGATTGGAGCAAGCATTTATCTAGTTCAGTATCCTGTCTCACCACAATGACCAGCCAGATCCTCTGGGAGGCCCACAAGCGGGACATGGGACCAATAGTCTTCTCCCACTGTTGTTCTGCAGCAACAGAGAAGGCTAGGTATATGCATCTGAACATGGAGGTTCCATATTGTAACCATGGCTCAGAGGTATTATTAGATCTCCCCTCTCCTGTGTCCTTCGCTGACCGTTCCTCAGTGGCTTGCCTGGGCCACCTGCCTCAGCCTGGGCCTGCCTCCTCTGCTTCCTTTCTACTTAAGAGTCCAACACTGCTGTGATGGCAAAGCAGCTCTTGTGGTGGCCAAGCAAATTGCACCATGACGACAGCCTTACTTTCCTATTATATGTGTATGAAATAAATTCTATGGGAATCCAAGAGCTAGTGTCACCAGCACATTCCATAAATTAATTGTGTGTTAATGACCTATTCTGTCTTATACCAAGTTAGAACTCTGACCCATCTCGTCCCATGTTGCCTCCTCTGACAGAAGCGGTTCTTCAAGGCCTCAGGCAGAGACTGGCCTTTCCTAGTCCTGCTACTTAAAATCCTTTTGTTTACTGCAGATGCCAGAGATCAAACTTGGGGCCTTCTTTTTGAAATACATGAACTTTACTGTTGAGCTATGGGGGCTTCCCTGATGTGGACAGCCCCTTAATATCAAATATGTCCATTCCTTAGTTAATTTGAACAGGTTTCCACTTATCTGGAGTGATTAACAATCTGTGAGAAAAAGCAGTGCTTCAAAGTGCCTACCTCCCCTCACAGCTGATTGCTGTGGCACACAGATGAGGGAATGCGTGGCCCCCCAGATCTTCTGGGGCTCCTGCTCTCTGCCTCAGCCAGCACAGCGGATGACAGGGATTATGGTAGTCCTAACAACATATGAAGGGCCCAGCAGCTGGGCCCCAGCTTTCCCATTTTTGCTCTGGCAGCACCCAAAGGTGCAAGTAGTGCCAATTCCATTGCTGAAGACCAGTCAGAAAGTTGAGGATTGTGCTATCCTAGAGGGGGAAAGAATATGGCAATCCTAATACAGGCACCGTCCTTCTTGAAAGTTTCTTAGAGGTATCTCTGTTCTTAAACGGGATTCTTCTTAGTTGCCTCAATGTACTTCTGCTGCCTCACACAGATAAATACTGGAAGAGGGGAGCTGGACCCATCTTCTTCTACACTGGGAATGAAGGAGATGTCTGGGCCTTTGCTCAGAACAGCGGCTTCATCCTGGAGCTAGCTGAGCAGCAGAACGCCCTGGTGGTCTTTGCGGAGCATGTGAGTGTTTTTGCAAAGATGTCCCTATTGCCTGAGGCAGTGTGCTTGATGGGGATTATGGTGACCTTGCTGTCTGAGATGTCTCTTGTGCTCCTCTGCTGGCTTTTCAGAGATACTATGGGAAGTCGCTTCCATTTGGGGCAGCGTCGCTGCAGAGGGAAAATGCTGGCCTGCTGAGTGTGGAGCAAGCCCTCGCTGACTATGCAGTTCTCGTCATGGCGCTAAAGAAGCAGTACGCAGCAAGGGACTCTCCTGTCATTGCATTTGGAGGCAGGTGGGGGCTCACTCGCTTGTTCCTCTTAGCAGTTATCTGCATCTGATGTGTGCAATATTCTTCTTTTTTTAAAAAAAAAAAATTATTACCGTATTTTTCGTTCTATAGGACGCACCGGTCCATAGGACGCACCTCGTTTTTTTGGGGGGGGGGAATGAATAAAAAAATTATTCCCCCCCCCCCCGCGGCTGCCGCCCCAAGCCTCGCATGCTTCGGGCTGCAGGCTACCGCCCCAAGCCTCGCGCGCTCGGCGGGACCTCCCACCGGGCGCGCAAGGCTTGAAGACACTCGCCCGAAGCACGGGAGCCCTCCGGAGGGCTCCCGTGCTTCGGGCGACATGCTGCAGCCCCAAGCCTTGCGCGCTCGCCGGGACCTCCTGCCGGGCGCGCAAGGCTTGCAGGCACTCGCCGAGCACGGGGAGCCCTCCGGAGGGCTCCCGTGCTTCGGGCGACAAGCTGCAGCCCCAAGCCTTGCGCGCTGGGCGGGACCTCCTGCCGGGCGCGCAAGGCTTGCAGACACTCGCCCAAGCACGGGAGCCCTCCGGAGGGCTCCCGTGCTTCGGGCGACAAGCTGCAGCCCCAAGCCTTGCGCGCTCGCCGGGACCTCCTGCCGGGCGCGCAAGGCTTGCAGACACTCGCCCGAGCACGGGAGCCCTCCGGAGGGCTCCCGTGCTTTGGGCGACAAGCTGCAGCCCCAAGCCTTGCGCGCTCGCCGGGACCTCCTGCCGGGCGCGCAAGGCTTGCAGACACTCGCCCGAAGCACGGGAGCCCTCCGGAGGGCTCCCCGTGTTTCGGGCGACAAGCTGCAGCCCCAAGCCTTGCGCGCTGGGCGGGACCTCCTGCCGGGCGCGCAAGGCTTGCAGACACTCGCCCGAAGCACGGGGAGCCCTCTGGAGGGCTCCCGTGCTTCGGGCGACAAGCTGCAGCCCCAAGCCTTGCGCGCTCGCCGGGACCTCCTGCCGGGCGCGCAAGGCTTGCAGGCACTCGCCCAAGCACGGGAGCCCTCCGGAGGGCTCCCGTGCTCGGCGACAAGCTGCAGCCCCAAGCCTTGCGCGCTGGGCGGGACCTCCTGCCGGGCGCGCAAGGCTTGCAGACACTCGCCCGAAGCACGGGAGCCCTCCGGAGGGCTCCCGTGCTCGGGCGACAAGCTGCAGCCCCAAGCCTTGCGCGCTCGCCGGGACCTCCTGCCGGGCGCGCAAGGCTTGCAGACACTCGCCCGAAGCACGGGAGCCCTCCGGAGGGCTCCCGTGCTTGGGCGACAAGCTGCAGCCCCAAGCCTTGCGCGCTCGCCGGGACCTCCTGCCGGGCGCGCAAGGCTTGCAGGCACTCGCCCGAAGCACGGGAGCCCTCCGGAGGGCTCCCGTGCTCGGGCGACAGCTGCAGCCCCAAGCCTTGCGCGCTGGGCGGGACCTCCTGCCGGGCGCGCAAGGCTTGCAGACACTCGCCCGAAGCACGGGAGCCCTCCGGAGGGCTCCCGTGCTTCGGGCGACAAGCTGCAGCCCCAAGCCTTGCGCGCTCGCCGGGACCTCCTGCCGGGCGCGCAAGGCTTGCAGACACTCGCCCGAAGCACGGGAGCCCTCCGGAGGGCTCCCGTGCTTGGGCGACAAGCTGCAGCCCCAAGCCTTGCGCGCTCGCCGGGACCTCCTGCTGGGCGCGCAAGGCTTGCAGACACTCGCCCGAAGCACGGGAGCCCTCCGGAGGGCTCCCGTGCTTCGGGCGACAGGCTGCAGCCCCAAGCCTTGCGCGCTGGGCGGGACCTCCTGCCGGGCGCGCAAGGCTTGCAGACACTCGCCCGAGCACGGGAGCCCTCCGGAGGGCTCCCGTGCTTCGGGCGACAGGCTGCCGCCCCAAGCCTTGCGCGCTGGGCGGGACCTCCTGCCGGGCGCGCAAGGCTTGCAGACACTCGCCCGAAGCACGGGAGCCCTCCGGAGGGCTCCCGTGCTTCGGGCGACAGGCTGCTGCCCCAAGCCTCGCGCGCTCGGCGGGACCTCCTGCCGGGCGCGCAAGGCTTGCGGACACTCGCCGGGGCTGCAGGCTGCTGCCTGCAAGCCTTGTGAGCCCGCGGGATCTCCCACCGGGCTTGCAAGGCTTGCGGATAGCTTCCTGAAGCCTGGAGAGCGAGAGGGGTCGGTGCGCACCGAGGCCGCTCGGGCTCCTGGCTTCCGCGAAAGCCTGCATTCGCTCCATAGGACGCACACACATTTCCCCTTCATTTTTGGAGGGGAAAAAGTGCGTCCTATGGAGCGAAAAATACGGTAAGTTTTCCATTCAACAATCCAATCATATCACATTAGTTATTCCAAATTATACCAATACATATCATAAAGCCCAAATATTTTGCCAAATTTTAAATTTTTGTTGGGGGTTCCCATGCTTCAAGTTCAGTAACGGTCCAATCATCTCATATTTCTGCTGCTTTTGATGTTCACAAGTCCCATCTTCCAATCTTCTTGTTGTTATCGTTTTTCTTCTTAATAAACTCTGCGTTGTTTCCACAGGTGAGTTAGAAGCAAGCATTATTATGTTTCTGTGTGAACTTTGTAAGTGCAATGTTCTTCTTGCAGGGCTGGCAAAATATCTCCAAGTTGCTGTTTGCCAGCTGCCTTTGGGAGGGGGCCTGTTCTGAGCAGGGAATGAGGCAGATATTTCAAATGTTTAGGCACCACCATCTAAACTTCATAGTAACCAGGATTTCTCCAAAGGGTTGACTTAACTATGGCCAAGGAAGGTGAGGAGAGTTCATGGGCCAAGAGAAGTTGAAGTATGAAAAGGTTGTACCCCACTATGTTTGGTTAAGGCAATGCTAGCTTTCCCCCCAAACTCTGGGTCGCTTGAATCGGTATTTACTCTGGGACTGTTTAGGTTGGGAGTTGAGTGCCCTGAATTGTATTCTCTCTGGGGTATGCTTCATGGCATGCTTAGTGGGCCACCCTGGACACAGTCCATGCCTTGGTGGATCTTGTCATGTGCTTGTTCTCTACAGCACTCCAACTGGAAACACCCTAAAGTCTGCAGGGAAATTATAGCCTCTCCCCTAGGATAATAGCTGCCCCTTGTCTGAAGTAAAAAGATCCTTTGCCCCAAGAACTACACTGAGCAGGGGGCACACTTTTCTTCCCCTCTTAAAGGTAAAGGGACCCCTGACCATTAGGTCCCGTTGTGACTGCCTCTGGGGTTGTGGCGCTCATCTCGCTTTATTGGCCGAGGGAGCTGGCGTACAGCTTCCGCGTCATGTGGCCAGCATGACTAAGCCGCTTCTGGCGAACCAGAGCAGTGCATGGAAACATTGTTTACCTTCCCACCGGAGCGGTACCTATTTATCTACTTGCACTTTGGCGTGCTTTCGAACTGCTAGGTTGGCAGGAGCAGGGACCGAGCAACGGGAGCTCACCCCGTCACGGGGATTCGAACTGCCGACCTTCTGATCGGCAAGCCCTAAGCTCTGTGGTTTAACCCACATCGCCACCCGCGTCCCTCTTCCCCTCTTACCTGGGGCCAATCATACCCTTTCCTTCTGAGCAATTGGATCTGAGTTTGGGGCGAGCTACTAGGGAAGGGAAGAAGCCAAAGTTCAGCCATTTTGTCCACTTCCTCTTCCCTCATACCTGTGCCTCTTGTATTCTGACTCTTTGAGGGTGGCAAATCTGCACCCGCTAATTCAGGCCAACAATTTGAAGAGACTTCTGCCCTTTCCAGTGAGCGAGCAGTCCACCTGAATGTCTCATGGTGTCAAAAAACATAACTTGCTTCTTTTTCTCTCTCTTTCCTTCCAGTTATGGAGGCATGCTGAGTGCCTACATGAGAATGAAGTATCCCAACATAGTGGCTGGCGCACTCGCTGCCAGTGCCCCTGTGTTGTCTGTGGCTGGGATTGGAGACTCCAATCAGTTCTTCAAGGATGTCACAGCGGTAAGCTTTAGGTGGAAACTTTTGAGTGGGCTCATTTCCTCTTACTAGGCAAACCTCCCAATCTTCATTGTAAAATTGTGTGCCTGAACCTGTGAAGTGGTATGAAATTCTCAGGCTCCCTCAAAGATGCAATTCACTTAAATCAGGACTTTTCCCCCAGGACTTTCAGAACTACAGTCCGGATTGTGCCAAGGCTGTACGAGAAGCATTTAGGGAAATCAAAGACCTGTACCTGGCTGGAGGTAAAGTGAGCTCATCTGTCAGACAAGAAACAGCCCCTTGGTAGAGAGGACCTTTAAGCTACAAGACCTCTGGAGCAGTTATAGAATAAACAAATTGCTTTAAAATGGTTTTAGGAAATCAGTACCCCGCCTGTCTTGAGTAAAATAAAAATAAAAATTGAGTAAAAAAAAAATAAACAATTTTTGAAGGAAATGTGCCCACTTTAATTTGGCAGCACTTCTATAGCTAATACAAATCGTTCTCTCCCCCCCCCCCCCACTGGTGTAAGCAGTCAGTTGACTAAGCACTGCAGTTTAAAACCATGAGGTCTAGGCACTTCATTTTTCTTTTGAATGAAAGCAGAAAACCTCACTCATCCAAGCAGCTGCGTAGCCCAAACACTATACTTAGGCTGCTGTCCTAAAGCATACTAGCCTCTATGAATGTGGTGAGAAGCGCTTAATCATGCAACACACTACACACCTCTCTTCTCCACATTCAGCTTACGAGAGGATCAGCCGTGGGATGTCTACATGCAATAAGCTTTCGTCTAAGGATGATATCTACCAGCTCTTCGGATTTGCCCGGAATGCCTTCACCATGATCGCCATGATGGACTACCCTTACAAGACGGACTTTATGGGCCACTTTCCAGCAAATCCTGTCAAGGTGAGGCCTGCACAGATCAGGCAACGTCATGAACCAGAGAGCACTCGACTCCTCCACCTCCACAGGTTGCCACTGGGCTGGGCTAAAGCTCTCACAGCATGTCTATATGCCAGGCTTACAAAATTAACACATACCTACATTTGAATGTTTGCTTATTTTTAAAAATCTCAAACCTCACTACCACCAGCCACCTTTTGTGGAGCTTCCCTAGAATCATAGAATCATAGAGTTGGAAGAGACCACAAGGGCCATCGAGTCCAACCCCCTGCCAAGCAGGAAACACCATCAGAGCACTCCTGACATATGGTTGTCAAGCCTCTGCTTAAAGACCTCCAAAGAAGGAGACTCCACCACACTCCTTGGCAGCAAATTCCACTGTCGAACAGCTCTTACTGTCAGGAAGTTCTTCCTAATGTTTAGGTGGAATCTTCTTTCTTGTAGTTTGGATCCATTGCTCCGTGTCCGCTTCTCTAGAGCAGCAGAAAACAACCTTTCTCCCTCCTCTATGTGACATCCTTTTATATATTTGAACATGGCTATCATATCACCCCTTAACCTCCCTGCCTGGTGCTGATTTATACCTGACACAGGTTAATGTAGTTATAAACTTTGGTTCCTCGTTCTTTCTTGCAAAGAGACCCTGGTTAATGTTGCAAGCGTTTGCAGGTGCCCCCTCAAACAAAGGCCGCACCGAAGTATTTCTGGTCTGGTCTGTCCACACTCTGCTCAACAGGGAGGAAACTGAGAGGGCATTACAGAAGAGGAGGGTGTTTGTTGCCCTGTTACAAATGATAAACATAGAATCATAGAAATGTAGAGTAGGAAGGGACCCCAAGGGTCATCTAGTTCAACCCCCTGCTAAGCAGGAATCTCAACTAAAACACCCATGACAGATAGCCATCCAACCTCTGTTTAGAAACCTCCAAGGAAGGAGAGTCCTAATATAATACAGTCATACCTTATGTTATGTTTGCTTCATGTTATGTTTTTTCAGGTTGTGTCCTGCGGTGACCCGGAAGTACTTGAAAGGGTTACTTCCGGGTTTTGCTACCCGCACATGCGCAGTAGCACTAAATCACGCTTTGCACATGCGCAGTAGTGCTAAATCATGTTTCACGCATGCGCACAAGCGTCAAATCGCACCACACATCTGCGCAGATACAGCACTTCAGGTTGCGGGCTTTTCACGTTGCAAACGGGCCTCCGGAACGGATCCCGTTCTCAACCAGAGGTACCACTGTATAGGTACATAATATAAGAAGTATACTGTTTATATAGCAATGGGATCATTTTATGACTATCTGCTAGGGTGAAACTGCAGGATGTTAATGCTGGAACTCCCCTTTGCCTCTAGGTCTGGTAGGCTGAAAATGAACTGGAAACCCAGAAGTTATTCTGTCCGTCTTTTGAACTTTCACCTTAGCCATATCTAGCCTTTGTAAGCAGCTTTTTCCATCATTGTTTTATTTATTTTGCAGTGACCAATGCACTTTGTTAGTCTCAGCTAAGATCCTGTAACATGCTTCCAATTTCTCTTTGGCTCTTGGAAAACCTAATTTGTTGTGTGTGTTTGTGTGTTTAACTCAGATTGGCTGTGAGCTGATGCTGGAGAATAAGGACCGGATCAGGGGCTTGGCAGCTCTTAGTGGTGAGTGACTGTAAGACATCTGACTTCCTTCCAAAGTGTACATGAGCACTGTGCTTTCTCTCAGGTTGTGTCAGGCCTGAAAATGTGCATGTTATCTAGGCTGCGTTCGGACAGTCCCCTAAGCCACGCTTTTGAGGGGAGCAGGGGCAAGCCTTGAGCTTATGAGCTCCCTTCTCTCTCCTCCCACCTCCCTCCAGCTTTTCTTCAGTGCACAAAGGAAGGTTAGAACATTTCTGCTTCTGGTTTGCACATAAAGCAGAATAAAAGCATGTTTCTGGATTCTGTCTTACAGGCAAACTATGGTTTGCTCAAACTATCATTTAGACAGACTGGTAAGCTACTGGGAGATTCTAATCTCCTAACATAATATGTGGAGGATGGAGTAGATGAACCTGAGGCTCATTCCCAATCGTCCAGGCCGTGGACTGGGAGGCCATCTGGATGTGGCCACAGGCTTGGAAAAAATCATGTGCCACTTCCATTCATTTCAGTGGGGCTTCTACCAGAGCTCTTCCTCCTGGATTTTGCCCAAAGCCTCTTTCTCTGCCTTAAGAGCTGGCTGGGATGAAGTCTTGCGAGTGATGAACAGGTTGTGGGTGGATTTCTTCTTGCCAGCAGCTGAAGGCCCCTCTCCATTCTGCTGCTGCTCACCTGTGACCAGGTGACGCGGCAGCTGAACAAAGAAAGAGGCATGATCCACCAAAGGCTTTGGCAAGGACCCCGCCTTTTCCCACACTTTCCCACCAGGGTTGCAGATGTAGACGCCGTCCTCTTTCCGCTTCTGTCTCACTGACCCACCACCTGTGATGTACAATTGCTGCCCATGCACAGCGAGACCAAACTGACAAAGGTCGAAGGGCGAGAGACTGAGCAGGGTCCACTGATCAGTAACCGGGCAGTAGTATTCTGTCTCGTTCACAGGAACCCATTCCTGAGCCTGTAAAGAACCAAATATCAGAGGGGTGGATCCAGTCCCTGTTCAGTGGAGGGTGAGGGACGTATGCTGTGGCTCCAGCAGACAGCATGGCCTGCCAGTTGCTCAGACAGACCTGGCACAGAAGTTGTTTTAAGGCAGCCTTTCCCTTCCTGGTGCCCCGTAGATGTTTCAGAATGCAACTCCCACCAGACCCGCCTAGCCAGTATTCCAGAAACATTGGGAATGTTGCATGTGAGCCACCCCTGGCTTTAAAGAGGTCAGAGAGCAGCTCTTGTCAGTTTGTGTAGAAGCTGTGCTGGTGTGCAGTTCCCACTAATTGCACAGGAGACCTTCGCAATGCGTTGTTCGGCTGCCACCCCCACCCCCTGTGTTAATCAGTTAGTAGGAATGCTACCAATCTGCTCTGGTTTTAGTTCAAGGGAACACCTGAGCATATGCAGAGGAATGATGATGATGATGATGATGATGATTTATATGCCCCCCATCTGACTGGGTTGCCCCAGTCACTCTGGGTGGCTTCCAACAAATTTTAAAGACCAAGATTGTAATGAAGACTTTTCTGACTTCATCGGGAGACAGACCATGTAGGTGTGTTTTCCCCAAATTATTGCATTTTCTGTCCACGTGTTAGGTTTATTATCTGCAAAACGCCAACCCTTTGGGCAAATAAAACATCTAAAACTGACAGGGATCTGTTTCTCAGTCATGGAACCCAATCTGTCTAACTCAGGGATGCTACTTGGTTAAACAAACTTTAAGAGTATGGGTCAAATAGGGAATCAGTCACATAATGGACAGGCCATCTCCCCCCCCCCCCGATATTCCTCTCTTTTAAAAACCTGCTGGCCAGTTAGTTGGCAGCACCTTTAAAAAATATATTAATCTGTTTGATTAAACTTGGCAGTCTTGTTAATTAGCAAATAAGGGGGAGCCACCTGGCCTTTCAGCCCCAGGTAGTAAAATATATTAGGCTTGCCACATGATCCAGCTACATAGAAATGAAAATTTGGAAGGGGCATGAAGAGTTTCTATTTTTTAAAGGGCTTGCTAGTTCTATGTGCCTGGGTGTGTGTGTGTGTGTGTGTGTGTGGTAAAGTAAGAAATGCTTCAATGCCCTGTCAGGAAACCTAGAATATTGTGGTGTAGAAAGCATTCTCTTCCAACCAGGTACCCTCCCCCACATATATTGGACCATGTCTCCCATCAGTCTCAGCCAAAATAACTGGTGGTCATTGGTGATGGGAGGTGGGAGTCTGAAAGATCTGGAGGTCACCAGGTTGAGGAAGGCTGCCATGGATCACAAGAAGAGCCCTGCGGCTGAGTCAGGCCAAAGGGGGTCCCTTCTGGTCCAGCATCCTGCTCTCAAAGTGGGCACCCAGACTCCTGTGGGGAACCCACAAGCAGGACCTGAGTGCAACAGCAACTCTTCCCCACGTGTGAATATCGACAGGTCAGCACCTGCCAGATGCTGCCTTAAGAGGGACACTCTGCTTTCTCTCTAGAGCAGTGGTTCTCCACCTGTGGGTCCCCAGATGTTGTTGGACTACAACTCCCATCATTCCTGAGCTCTGGCCTTGCTAGCTAGGGATGATGGGAGCTGTAGTTCAACAACATCTGAGGACCCACAGGTTGAGAAAGGCTGCTCCCATTACTCCCATTGTCAGACTGTACAGAAGGGGATGCTCCCCCTTCTGGGAAGGGAGCCTGGCCACAAGAAACCAGGAAGTGAGAAATGAGAGAACATTGTGTAGCTCAGGGCAACACCAGACACCTGGGGCTGGCGTTTGGCACCACCACAACTCATTAAATAAATGAAGCTCAACATACGTTTGCCAGGGCCCTTCCTCCTACGCAGAAGATTCTGTCTCCGGCAATTGCCATTCCGTGGTCGCACCGGGCAAAAGTCATTGGCTGGTTCCTGACCCAGCGACGCAGGCGGGAGAGATAGCTGTATGTGTCGCGTAAAGGTTTGCCAGCGGCGAATCCCCCTGGTGGAAACAGGCGATAGAAGATTGGGTTGGGTGGCTGCGGTTTTCCCTTTGGGTTGCACAGTAGCCTTTTCCTGTCCTGATCCTCTCAAGGTCCTTCCGGAGTCGAAGTGTCCCTGCGGAGCGTGTTGCCTACCACTTAGCCAAGGCCTCTCCAAAGTCTTAAGAGACTGGGTCGTAAAAGTGTGTTCACATCACTGAGAGCCTCCCTTCTGTGTCTGTAGCATCTCACTATATTGAATGCTGTTCTCCACTGGTTGGCTGCCCCATCATGGCTGTCTCCTCTTCTCTACTCTTGGCCCTCCCCTCGTGCCCCCGGCAGTCGGTTGAGCATGATAGGAAGGGAGTCTATTCAACCCTCTTCTCAGGCACTCCATTGTGGGGCCCTTCCTTTCCCTTGCTCATATACCTACTCCTGCCTCTTTTTTTCTTGTTCATGCACTGGGATGCTGCAAATTCAGTACAGTCATACCTCGGGTTAAATGTGCTTCAGGTTGAGCGTTTTCAGGTTGCGTCCCATGGCGACCCGGAAGTAACGGAGCGTGTTACTTCCGGGTTTCACCGCTCATGCATGCGCAGACGCTCAAAATGGCGTCATCCGCGGAAGCGGCGAATCGCCGCAAGCGCAGGTTGCGTTTGCTTCAAGATGCAAACGGGGCTCCAGAATGGATCCCGTTCGCATCCAGAGGTACCACTGTACAGATTTTTTTTTTTAATACCGCCCTTCAATTTTAATAAATCCCTAGGGCAGTTTCCTTAAGAAGCAGAAGATACAAAAATAATTAAAACGCAAATAATACATATCCAAACAAAATAAGGGACGTGAAGAGTAAAGAGGGAACAAGATTTTTAAAGCTAGATTGCTTTTAAGTCTAAAAAGCCTGGGAAAACATTATGGCTTTTGACTGGCACTGAAAGGCGAACAAAGTATGTGCCTGCTGGCCTTCTCTGGGGTGGGCATTCCATCATTGGGGCACCACCACTGAAAAGGACCTCTCTCTCTTCCAGCTGGCCACACAACTCAACCTCACCTGAGGAGTGGGGGAACCTGCATACAGAACAGCTTAACATACTTCAAGTATGTCGGTCTAATGTTGGAAAGGGCTTTAAAGGTCAGAACCAGCACTTTGAATTAAGCCAGTGCATCCATCTGCCATTGTTCTTGAGGTCTTTATTTTATGCTCTTAATTAATGTACAGTATACTTCAAGTGGTGGGATGCGGGTGGCGCTGTGGGTTAAACCACAGAGCCTAGGACTTGCCATTCAGAAGGTTGGCGGTTCAAATCCCCGCAATGGGGTGAGCTCCCATTGTTCGGTCCCTGCTTCTGCCAACCTAGCAGTTCGAAAGCATGTCAAAGTGCAGGTAGATAAATAGGTACCGCTCCAGCGGGAAGGTAAACGGCGTTTCCATGCACTGCTCTGGTTCACCAGAAGCGGCTTAGTCATGCTGGCCACATGACCCGGAAGCTGTACGCCTGCTCCCTTGGCCAATAAAGCGAGATGAGCGCCGCAACCCCAGAGTCGGCCACGACCGGACCTAATGGTCAGGGGTCCCTTTACCTTTACCTTATACTTCAAGTGAGATACTTTTGCACCCTGCCCTGGGTCCATTTGATAAAGGGCAAACTTAGAAGTGCAAAGGATGAATACATGAAGCTAATTTGCAACCCCAGCAGCTGCATGCTGAGCTAATGGTGGGTTCCAGATCCTCTTCAGGGGCAGCCCCTAGTAAGTAGAGCATATTACAGCAGTCTAAGCTGGAGTTTACAGGAGCATAGATCACAGCCACATCACCAGGAACCATCCTTTTATGCTTTATCTGTATGTCCCCTTAAAATCAGCAACCCTTGATAGCATAGCTGTCAACTATCCCCTTTTCTTGTGAGGAATCCTATTCGGAATAAGGGACTTTCCCTTAAAAAAAGGGAAACATTGACAGCTATGCTTGATAGTGGTCTGCATTCTAGAATGGCCAACATCCAGCCTCCCACCCCCTCCCTCCACCCTGAGCCAAGACTTCTGATGGTCAAGCCATCAGTGGTCTCTCACCTGAGACGTAGAGGATCCCCTTATGGGTGGCCCCTGCGTGGTCTGCCACAGGCATTGGGAAGGGCGTGATGAGCTGCCACTTGTTCTCAGCTGGCTGGTACTCCTCTGCCGTGTCGGTGAGCATCCCCAGCAGGGCTCCCCCGCCCACAGCCACGAGGCAGTCGTTCAGCACCCCTGCGTGGAAGCGAGTCCGCCGTCCCAGCATGCTCGCCACCTGGAGCCATCTGCCGTGTCGTGGGTCAAACCTGAACACCTGGAGCCGGAAGGAGGAAAGGGCAGTGGCAGAGGAACCCCCTCTGGCACCCGGGGCGGGGCAGCCCGTACGGAGTGCGCATGCACGGCATCCTGTATGGAGTGCACATGTGCGGCAGCTCGTATGGAGTGCACATGTGTGGCATCCCATATAGAGTGCGCATGTGCGGCAGCCCATACGATCACTGTGCAAGAGGCAGCGAAGCAGCACCCTTATGGACTGTGTGCACCCTCTGCCGCTCTACAGCTGGGGGGAGGCAGGGGCCATCTTGTCAACCCCCCCCCCAGTGGTACCCGGGGCGACCTCCCCCTCCGCCCCCCACTTCGTACGCCCCTGGGAAAGGGATTACAGGGCACTGCTGGACTTGTTCTCCAGCTAGCAGGCTAGGAAACATTCAGCATTCTGGGTGGGGGAGAGGCGTTTAAGGACTCTCCTGCAGCAGCCAGTAGCCAAGTCAGAAGCAGGCAAGGAGACCCCTTCAGTGAGAATATAATAAAAAAATATTTTTTTTATACCCCACCCTCCCCAGCCAAGACCGGGCTCAGAGTGGCTAACACCAAATATAAAAAAATTATTAGAATACAGCTTAAAAAACAACATTAAAATACAACATTAAAACGTTAAAATGCAGCCTCATTTCAGTGGAACTCAATCAAAAACTTTTGGGGGGATAAAAACGTCAAGTCTTCACCAAGGCTAACTATCCAGACTGGTCCCACATAGGCCAGAAAAAAGCCAGGGAAAGATTGGAAGAAATTTAAAGACTATTTACAGAAATATTGTAAAATTAAGGAATCTTAGAAGGATGTTGGATAGAAACTAAGGAGTTTTTTTTAGCTGTAATGGTTTAAGAGATATGAAAAAAGGTTTGCAAGTGGGTATTTTCAATGGTGAGGATTTGCTGAATCAACATATTGAAGTGGAATACAAAAAGGGAGGTATGAGGAGGTCCGGGGAAATAAGTATAAGGAAGATAGGTTATGGAAATTTAATGTCCTTTTAATTGTTTTATTTGGTATGGTTTCTTTTATTTTTTACTTCTTTGGTTATATTTTTTTTAAAAAAAAACTTTATTCTTTTTCTTTCTGTATTCTGTATTTTTTGTATTTTTTTGAAACTTTAATAAATATCATTTAAAAAAAAAGAAAAGAAAAAAGCCAGGGAAGTCCCCAAATAGGAGTTGCAACACAGAAGGAGAAAGGAAAAAAGAAATAGGGGGAGGGAATCAAGTTGATTCCAAGCCAAAGGCCAGGCGGAATAACTCTGTCTTACAGGCCATGCTCATTTTCCTCTCTGATACTTGGCAGGTTTGTATTGCTAGGGTTAATGCTGGGCTAATAGGAACAGATAAGGAACAATGATACGTATTTGGGCTATCTACCTTTGTCCTTTTCTAGACTTAAGTTGTGTGTGAATGAGCTGCTGTAGGCTTCCCTTCGTTTTAAGCTTTGTGCTTACCTGGTTCGAAGGACATTGTCCTGTAGGGTCAAACCTGTCCTGGCCCCCCATCACAAAGACAAAGCCTTGGATCACAGCAACACAGTGGTTGTACAGGGGCCTGTGAAGCTCCCCAACCTTTTTCCACAAAAGGCAGTTCCGATCAGCAGCCCACATGCTGCCACAGATGGTGTTGTCCACAGATCTGCCACCAAGGACAACCAGCATGTCAACGCCGGCACGGACCTTGGTTCGCTCACTCTGCAGAGTCGGCTGAGCATGCAGCCGGGAGTGATAATCCAAGGCCTCCTGGAGGTACTGGCGGCAGGTGGGTTCTGTCTTCATGAAGGGCACGTCCTGGACGAACGTATGCAGGTCGTGGAGAGGTATGAGGGGCAACCGAATGTGCTGCAAAACCTCCGCTGCATCTTCCAGGTGTGTGTTGTTGTGGCGCAGCCAGCATTCCGCTGCATGGAACAGTTCCAGCTCACTGAGGTCCTCTGTGTCTGCAGTGTCTAAGATCTCACACAGAGTAGCTGCATCCAGCTCCTGCAGCTGCGCCGGGTCTGCCAAAATGTTGCTGCAGTGCCGGCTCACGCAGCTCATGGCTTTCTGCCTCAACTCTTTCGGGCCAAGCCTCTTTGCGATCTCGAGGACTGCTAGGCAGGTGTTCTGATCCAAGCCCTCATCCAGAAACCGGAAGCACAAGCACATCACATCGCGCACCAGCAGCACCTCCGCTGCCTGGAAGGTCTCCTCGACGTTATGGAGCGTCAGCTCCAGCTTGTTGGAGTAGACAAAGGACAGGATGTTTTGCAGGCCCTGGGCAGTGACGCGCGGCAGCTTGATGTGGCTGTTGTGACTTGCAGCATCTCTGGAAAAATGCATCTTGCAGTAGTTGCTGGCTGCAGCCAGAATGACTTTGTGCGCAGAGAAAGAGACTCCCTCTGCCTCCAGTGTGACATCGCACAAGATGTTCTTCGTGCGCAGATTCCTGAGGCCCTCTAGAAGTTTGGACAGGTAGGTGTCTGAGCAAAGACTCTGGCTCTTGGCCCTGACTGGGCTGGCAAGATACATCCCTCCCAAAGCTGCAGTCTGGTAATCCACTGGCGGTAGCCTTAGAAGATCTCCCCAGGCACCCTCTAATGGAAAGAGAGTTCAGGGCCTGTCCTTAAAATCTAAAGGCATGCCTCTTGAACAGAGAACTCCAACTGGTGCTTACTCTAGAAGTGGGGCTGCCTGAAGTTTTTGTTTGGGCTACTATGAGAGCAGGTCAGCTGACATGTCATTTCCAAGAACACCATTTCCTTACCCCCACCTCCACGAGCCTATTCATGTCCACAAAGGTGCAGTATCTACTCAGCTTCCTGGTCATGCCTCAAGTGGCTTGCAGCGGGCCAGGCAAGCAAGTCCAGACCTGCCTGCAGCTTTTTTTGAGTCCTTGCCTAGGATCAGGCTGCTGCACCCACTGGCCTTGCATGTGAATGTTTGCTAGATGGCAGCATAGGTAGAGAAAAGCTCTGCTTCCAGCTGTTTCTCTAGCATCAACCAGTTAGATACCTGGCTAAGTTCAAGGTGTTGGTTTTGATGTATAGCTTGGGACCAGGCAGTGTTTTTTTCTAAAAGAAATGTTTAGGAGTACTCTCATTTTCCTACTCACATTGAAATAAAAAGGTAAAGGGACCCCTGACCATTAGGTCCAGTTGTGGCCGACTCTGGAGTTGTGGCGCTCATCTCGCGTTATTGGCCAAGGGAGCCAGCGTACAACTTCCAGGTCGTGTGGCCAGCATGACTAAGCCGCTTCTGGCGAACCAGAGCAGCACACGGAAACGCCATTTACCTTCCCACCGGAGTGGTACCTATTGTTCTATTTGCACTTTGACGTGCTTTTGAACTGCTAGGTTGGCAGGAGCAGGGACTGAGCAACGGGAGCTCACTCCGTCACGGGGATTCAAACCGCCAACCTTCTGATCGGCAAGTCCTAGGCTCTGTGGTTTAACCCACAGCGCCACCCGCATCCCATATTGAAATACTGCCCCTCAATAAGGCCAAATTGAGATTCACAAAATGTTTAGGGGTATGCGTGCCCCTGCGTCCCCCCAGAAACAAAGCACTGGGACCAGGACACCTGAGAGATTGTCTCACCCCTTGTATACTGTGTTCTGCAGGTCCTAATTTAACAGGTCCTTTCTGTGCAATCCTCTTGGGTTGTGGCACCTACCCTTTTGGAATCTCCCCTGCCCTGGAAAGAATATTCAATAGAATTCTTCTTTTTTTTTGACACCAACTGAAGACTTCTGACTTCCCACAAGTTCAGATCTTTCCCAGATGGTATCTATATTAGAATTGCTTTCAAAATGTTTTTAATATGAAGGGGGTGGAGAGATTCCCCTACAAAGAAAAGATGCAGCATTTGGGACTATTTTGTTTGGAGGAAAGGCAACTAAGAGGTGACATAATAGAAGTTTATAAAATGACGCATGACATGGACAGAGGGGACAGAAAAGTCCCTCCCCCGCCCCCGTCAGCACAAGACCTCATGGGAATCCAGTGAAGCTGAATGTTGGAAGATTCAGGACAGAGAAAAGAAAGGACTTCTTATTGCAGGGCAAAGTTAAACTATGGGATTCACTCCCAGAGGAAGTAGCGATGTCTGCTGATTTGGATGGCCTTAAAAGAGGATTGGATGAATTCATGGAGGAGGGCAATGCTATGAATGACTACTAGCCACAGTGGCCCTCCTCTGCTTCCATGGTCTGAGGCAATAAATACTTCTGAATCCCAGTTTCTGGAAACCACATGAGGGGAGGGAGAAGGTTCTTGTGCTCATGTTTTGCTCGCGGGTTTCCCATTGAAGAATCTGCTTGACCACCATGAAAACAGGATGCTGGACTAGATGTGCCACTGGCCAGATCCAACAGGCTATTCTTACATTCTCAAGTGTTCTTATTGTTAGTTTATTGTTGTCTGATGTCCTGGGCTCCATTGGGGAGGAAGGGCAGGATGTAAATTTAATTATTACTGTTGAATGACTATGATTTTACTAAATTGTATTAAGGGTTTCAATGATTTATTGTTGTGGTTTGCTTTGTTTGACGCCCAGAATGGCTTGGTCAACCCAGTCAGATGGGTGGCATATAACAACAAAAACAGCAGCAGCAGCAACAACAACAACAAATTAATTGCTGCTATTATTATTATTATTATTATTAATGTTACTGTATTTGTTATTATAGTGTTTACAATGGGGTTCCCCCCTTCCCCTCACTGTGCTATTGTGATTATTGCCAACCACTTTGATCTCAATTTATGTTGCTGGAAAAAGCAAAATGCAGTCATACCTTGGGTTATGAACGCTGCGGGTTGTGCGTTTTCAGGTTGCGGACCGCGCCAAACCCGGAAGTACTGGAACGATTTACTTCCAGGTTTCGGCACTCGCGCATGCACAGAAGCACAAAATGATGTCACGCGCATGCGCAGAAGCGCCGAACCGCGTCACGCTCGTGCACAGACGTGGCACTTCAGGCTACGAGCGCTGCTGGTTGTGAACGTGCCTCCTGCACGGGTGGATCACATTCACAATCGGAGGTACGACTGTACACATATTAAATAAATCAAACATCATCATCATCATCATTATTATAATTAAACATACTGATGTTATTGATGATAATAAGCCATCTAATCTGGCCCCTTGAAATGAGCAGCGTCATAACCTCCTTTCCTTTACTCACTAGGGCTGCTCTATAACTCCACTGGGATAGTTCCATGTTTCGATATTTACAAGCTGTACCAGAAATGCGCTGACCCCACGGGTTGTGGAACAGGATCAGATGCCGCTGCATGGGACTATCAGGTATGCCTGGGGGAAGAGGAGTGAAATTTAACAAGAGCGTCACCTTCACCAATGTGGTGCCCGCCAGATGCTGTGTGGACTCTGACTACCACCAGCCTCAGCCCTGCTGGATGATGGGCTTCTCCCAGATTTTGGAATCCCCTCCCTAGAGAAGCCAGACTGGCTCCCTCCTTGTCCTTCCGCCAGCAGGTGAAGATTTTTTATTTATTTTTTCCCCAGCAGGCTTTTGGGGAACTCCCTGCTCTTAATGAAAGGCTTGGTGCTGCGCTGTATGGTTTTAACAGATTGTGTGTTTTAATTATATCAGCGTTTGTTTTTTAATGGAAACCCCCTCCCCCACGTTTTTAATTGTTCTTATTTTTATCAGCAAGCTGCTTTGAGTCCCTGTGAGGGAGGGACTCAATATAAATGAATATAGTTTAACGAAGATGGGGATTTAGTCCCAAAGTCTGAAGCACATTAGGTTGGCAAAGGTCACTCTGCATGCTTTATGGCAGGGGTCAGCAAACTTTTTCAGCAGGGGGCCAGTCCACTGTCCCACAGACCTTGTGGGGGGCCGGACTATATTTTTTTGCGGGGGGGGGGGGGGGGACGGACAAATTCCTGTGCCCCACAAATAACCCAGAGATGCATTTTAAATAAAAGGACACATTCTACTCATGTAAAAACACACTGATTCCCGGACTGTCCGTGGGCCAAATTGAGACGGCGATTGGGCCGGATCCGCCCCCCGGGCCTTAGTTTGCCTACCCATGCTTTATGGCAATGAGTTCCATAAGCTAAGTATTGAGAGGAGGACCTTTCTTTCTTTCTTTTTCTTTCTTTCGCTATCTCAGATCTTCTGCCCAGTGATACTAATTGTATCATTAAATACAATTAGTTGTATTTAATGATTCTTAAACTGCCTTCCAGGGACGCGGGTGGCGCTGTGGGTTAAACCACAGAGCCTAGGACTTGCCAATCAGAAGGTCGGCGGTTCAAATCCCCACAACGGGGTGAGCTCCCGTTGCTCGGTCCCTGCTCCTGCCAACCTAGCAGTTTGAAAGCACGCCAAAGTGCAAGTAGATAAATAGGTACCACTCCGGCGGGAAGGTAAAAGGTGTTTCTATGTGCTGCTATGGTTCGCCAGAAGCGGCTTAGTCATGCTGGCCACATGACCTGGAAGCTGCACGCCGGCTCCCTCGGCCAGTAAAGCGAGGTGAGCACCGCAACCCCAGAGTCGGCCCCAACTGGACCTAATGGTCAGGGTTCCCTTTACCTTTACCTTTAAACTGCCTTCCAATATAAAATTATTGCCCCTCTCCCCAAACTGGTTTGCAGTAGCCAATAAAACAGTAGAATCAGATTATATGAAAACATTGCAGCTGGTTGGACTAGATGACGCTTTGGGGCTCCTCCCTCACTACAGTTCTAGAATACTAATATAACAACAGCAAATGAACAAGTCTGATAAAACAATCGGAGGGAGAAGAACTTCCCTTTGTTCAGGATATCCACACCATACAGTCATACCTCAGGTTAAATATGCTTCAGGTTGAGCGTTTTCAGGTTACGCTCCGCAGCGACCCGGAAGTAAAGGAACGCGTTACTTCTGGGTTTTGCCGCTCGCGCATGCGCAGATGCTCAAAATGATGTCACGTACATGCGCAGAAGTGGCAAATTGCAACACATGCAGACGCGCAAACGCAGGTTGCATTCTACTCAGGATGCGAATGAGGCTCCGGAACGGATCCTGTTCGCATCCAGAGGTACCACTGTATGTAGTTTTACAATCCTCCATCCTATTTTCCCTTCTACACTTAATGAGCCCCCCCCCCCCCCAATTTAAGCATCCAAAACACTTCAGCTGCTGCCCATAGGGAAAGATGCTCTAGACCAGGGGCTGGCAAGGCTTACTGGGCATGGGCCACTCCTGCAGAGATCCTCTGTGGGCTGGACCAGTGCAGCGCGACTCCCGAAATCACATCTGTGCATGTCTGCGACGCTGGAAATCTCTTCTGCACATGCCCAGACGCCAAAAATCGCGCCTGCGCAGAAGCAATTTCTGGCGTCTGTGCAGAAGCAATTTCCGGAGCTGTGGAAGAGAGTCCCTGCGTCGTGCTGTGCTGGTTTAGCACCGCACGCAGGAAATTACCTATTAGTATTTCACTCCTCCCATTGCAAGGATCATCTGATCCTATTGTTTACTTTCTGTTCTGTGAGCAAGTTTTCTTTCTGCTCTGTTTGCGATGAGACAGGGCGTCTGTATGAGGGTATGCTCTCATACATGTTTGTTCTTTAATCTGTAATTAGTAGAAATAAAGTAGGTATGCCCAGATACCTCCTCACCTCCCAATGGCGCTGCTTTACTCTGCTAAGACCGGGTGCTTACAAGAGAGCAGCTGTGAGTTCCAGAACACCAGGACCCCTTCCCGGGAATTCTGCGCAGCTGTTCCAGTTGCTGGAGGCGGCCATGGGGCCTACAGGAGTATTCCATTATTGCTGAGTGGGCAGCTCGGTTCGGGGGCAGCTTGGGGGTCGGTTAAACGGCCTCCGTGGGCTGCTTCCAGCCCATGGGCCACAGGTTGGGGACCCCTGCTCTAGGCTGATTATTTTGGTTGCCCTTTCCTGTGCTTTCCCAAGATCTACGCTAATTCTTTTTGAGATGGCGTAGCCAGACCATCACAGAGCCTCCCAAATGCAGCTCCACCAGAGATTATACAAAAGCATTTACAGTCTGCAGATGGGAGTGTGTCTAAACAGCTGTTCAATCCATAGCCCTTTCCACTTTGCTACTTTGAGCAAGTCTTCTTAATCCCCGCCCCTTTAATTGCAGTGTAGACCAGTGTCTCTGTTCAGTATGTTTGCATCTTATGCAGGGGTTTGGTTCAAAGGGTTCTGAATATATGCAAAAACGCAGGTACTCAAACCCCTGGTAAATAGGGAACGGGGAGGGAGGCCGATGCCGGCTTGGGGAGGTAGTGCCAGGAGGTGGGCATGCAGTGTGCTCGGAACTGAGTACCGCCACCCCTCCCCCTGTTCAGGGGGGTAGAGCCCACAAATAAGTCTTCAATCTTAAAGGTGCAGCTTATTTGCAGGTGCAGCTTATATTTGGGCCAATACGGTCCCTCTCCCATAACACCACATAACACCCCTTGTATATGATTGCATTTCACGTACGATACCACGGAATTATGATTTCATGAATCATGACACCACACAATCATGGAATCATGATATCTTGATCTTGCGCTATGATTTCATGAAATCATAGCGCAGTCATGAAATCATGATACCTTGATCTCACGCTATGATTTCATGAAATCATAGCGCACAATCATGGAATCATGATATCTTGATCTTGCGCTATGATTTCATGAAATCAGCGCAATCATGGAATCACGATACCTTGATCTCACGCTATGATTTCATGAAATCATAGCGCAGTCATGAAATCATGATACCTTGATCTCACGCTATGATTTCATGAAATCATAGCGCACAATCATGGAATCATATCTTGATCCTGCGCTATGATCTCATGAAATCAGCGCAATCATGGAATCACGATACCTTGATCTCACGCTATGATTTCATGAAATCATAGCGCAGTCATGAAATCATGATACCTTGATCTCACGCTATGATTTCATGAAATCATAGCGCACAATCATGGAATCATATCTTGATCCTGCGCTATGATTTCATGAAATCAGCGCAATCATGGAATCACGATACCTTGATCTCACGCTATGATTTCATGAAATCATAGCGCAGTCATGAAATCATGATACCTTGATCTCACGCTATGATTTCATGAAATCATAGCGTACAATCATGGAATCAGATCTTGATCCTGCGCTATGATCTCATGAAATCAGTGCAATCATGGAATCACGATACCTTGATCTCACGCTATGATTTCATGATATGAAATTTCATGAAATCATAGCGCACAATCATGAAATCACATTGCGCAATCATGAAATGGTATCACACAATCATGAAATCATGATATCTTCATTTCACACTGATTTTACACAAGCATATGATTGCGTGATACCGTATTGGCCCAAATATAAGCTGCACTCCCCCAAAAAATTCTGACTGTGGGGGGGGGCCACCAGGTGGCGCATTGGAAGATGGCCGACAATAACATCTCTCTGACCCATACGAGGTAATTAAGAGGCTGCTTTGGGAAGTATGCAGTCTTCCCCCCCCCAAGGATATGGGGGGGACTGCCTTGCCAGCGGTGGCCACAATGCACCCCCAGATTCGAGAGAAGGGGGTGCACCGGTCACTTGGCTAAGCCCTCGGTGTGGTCGGCTCTTCCCGGACGCCGTCTCCAATTCACGCGTGCTGGCTTGCTTTAACACGAAAATATAATTGGAAATATATAATTGGAAGATGTTAAAGCACATACGTCAAGCAAAGGTCGGGAGATAAGACTGCTGATTAATGGATTTCTGGTATCAGAGCGGCAGGCAAAGACAAATAAATCAAGAGACGAAGCGCCATTAAGAGATGGGTATGTTTGGAGCTAAGAAGGTGGGGTGGAGGAAAAAACTTTTCTTTCTTTATATTATATGAGTATAAATAACCCTCCACCCCAAAGAAAAAAGAACCGCCGTATTTTACTACACAAGCAGGAATCTAAAAACTGTGTGGGATGAATTAATGATGAATGAAGAGAGGATTGGTAAAGATCGGAGAATGGAAAAATTTTATGACGCGGTTTTACAATGGCGTCTCGCAAGACAGGCTTGTTTAAGAAAGACGGGGGGAGGAGAACCAGGAATATTTGAAAGTGAACGATGTTTGGAATTTGATCTTTAACCTGGCAGAGCCCTCTAGGAGATATTTTACAAGCCTGGGACAACTAAAGGGCAGACCAAAGATAAATTTTTGAATGAGGAGTGGAATGGCGGCTGTCCCTATGAAATATGACTTATGGAGTGCGTAAAACCCACGCAGACGATGTTTGTTCTTAACCTGCCTGTGAAGATTATCAGAGATCGCAAAGAAAGGAATATATGACAACAACAAGAAGATGAAGAAAGTAAAAAAGAGACTATCTGGATAGAACTGGATAGAACTGTTTAATTAAAGCAGTAATAGAAGTGATGTTTGGATTCTCGTCCGGAGCTTGATGTATGGGTACCCCCAACAAAATTGAAAAATTCGGCTGTATAATTTGGAATTAATGTGATTTGAAATAATGTGATATGATTGGCCTGTTAATAAAAATTATGTTCAAAAAAAAAAAATTCCGACTGTGAAAAGTTAAAGTGCAGCTTATATTCAGAACCGAGCACTGCACGACCACCTCCCAACACTACCACCCTGAACGGGGTGCTGGGAGGCACTACCTCCCCAAGCTGGCGCCCCCCATTCAGGGTGGTAGTGTTGTGAGGCGTTAGTACCGGGAGGTACTTTCCAAGGCTTCAGAGCCAAGGCATGGATAGGGGTTTGCCTCCCCTCTCCCAAACAAGTTTTTCCCAGCGCAAAAAAAGGGGCTTTTAAGAGCTTTGCCTTGCTTAGGGAACAAGGTTCTCTCTGTGTACCAGGCTCTGAATGCTCTTTTTCATGGGGCCTTACGAGTTCCCACAAAATCTTGTGGGAGCTTCCCAGACGCAACACATGGAGAGGGCCTTGCAAGGCAGAGAGCTTAAAAGCTATTTTGCGCTAGGTCTTCCCAGTGCAAAAAGAGCCACCTTGCTTGCATTTAACTTTTGGGATTCCATCCAGTGCCCTTCAGCAGCATATGGCTGAAATTGCGCAAGTTCAATGCAGTTAATATGTGATCATACTGCACTGAGAATCGCAAGCATCCTCACTAAGGGAAGCCACCTTCTGGCCCAGCACCTCTGGTGCAGAATGAAACACACATGCCCATACTTCATTGCCATTTTTGCCCTCTTTGGGACCAGTATGGCTGCTGAAATATCAGTTCTTTCTTCAGGCCTGCACTGAAATCAACTTAACCTTCAACAGCAACAACGTGACCGACATGTTCCCAGAGATCCCCTTCACGGATGCTGCCAGGGAACAGTACTGCTTTCAGAAATGGGGGGTCCGCCCTCGGCCGTCATGGCTACGGACCAGCTTCTGGGGTGGTGGTAAGCAGACAGTTTTTTCTTCATTCCCCCTCCCTTTGGCTTGGGATTGTACCTCACTGGTGAGATCGGCAACTAGAGACCCTTTTCGGCAGACCTTGTCTCCTCCCAATGGGTGCCCTGATGGGAGAGCTGCTGCCAGCCAGAGTAGCCAATATTGGTTTGAGGTACAGATGGTCTGTAACAAGGCAGCTCCCTCCCCTCCCCAGTCTAGAGCATGTCCTTTTCTTCGACTGCCTTCAATGCAGAGCTCCCCTTGAATTTTAGCTAGCCCATGAAAGACTTCAAGCATTACATTTGGGAGTCTATTTCATGAGTTGTCACCATACTGCTTTCTACTGGGTCAGAGTATTGCCTCATCTAGCTCAGTATTTTTCCATACTGACTGGCAGGGGCTCTCCAGGGTTTCCAGCTGGGGCTTCTCCCAGCTGTACCAGGGGTTGAACCTGGAACCTTCTGCATGCAAAGCAGGAGCTCTGCCACTGGGCCTCAGCTCATCATGCAGCTTCTTCGGTGCAATTTAAAGAGTTTCTACCAGACAAGCGAATAGTCTTATTTAGTATCTTGCTTAATACCCTCAGATCTGACTGCTGCAAGCAACATCATCTTCTCAAACGGAGACTTGGATCCCTGGGCCAGTGGCGGAGTAAGTTATCACCCTCTCCAAATTCTGCCTGCTCTTTTATAGCTGTCAGCTTGAACGCTTTGCCGGCCCCAGAAAGGTCTGACTTCCATTCATTGTCATTGCAGGTTAGAAAGAACCTGAGCTCCTCATTGATAGCGATATTTATCAAGGGAGGTGCCCATCATCTAGATCTCAGGTATGTATTTGCAGAAATTGTCAGGAGCTGTGTAACCCACATGGGTGCCACCACTGAAGGTTTAATGAATCCTTCAAGATCCTCCTTCAGACAGGAAGTCCTTTTAAAAACCTTTAAGTACCATATTTGTGGCTCCATAAGACGCACCTAGTTTTTAGAGGAAAACAAGAAAAAAAAAATTCTGAATGAAACAGTGGATGTATGATTTTTATGGTTCATGCTGTGCCCACAGACATGTGATTTGATGGTGAGTTTGGGGTAGCCCAATGCAAAAATCCTGAGAATCCATGTGGATCCGTGCTTTGTAACCACGCTTTTGCGCCATTGCGGCCCCACGAAACAGTGGGTGTGGGGGGGGGTTTTGGTGCAGGCTGTAGCCATGGACATGCTATGTGATCTGATGGTGAATTTGGGGTGACCCAATGCAAAAATCCTGAGGATCTATGGGCTTTTACCTCCCCCCTCCCAGGTAGCCTCCTTAGCGTCCCTTATCTCACTTACCAATCAGCTGCTTCCTTTCAACACTCCCTTCCCTCGTTTGCCTTAGTGTCGTTTCCTTAGCTGGAGCAGTTTTTTGCTCCTCCTTTTCTTCCAATTTCTCTCCTCATTGCTTTAGTCTTCCTGTCTCCTCTCCTTGCAAGTTCGCTGTCTTTACCTCCCCCCTCCCAGGCAGCCTCCTTTATTGCTAGCGTCCCTTATGTCCCTCCCTGATCGCTTGCCAATCAGCAGCTTTGTTTCAATACCCATTTCCCTTTTTCAAAAAAATGAGCATGATCTGCTTTTCTCCCCGGTGCAGTTCAGCTCCAGGGACCACGCATTCGCTCCATATGACGCACAGACATTTCCCCTTACTTTTTAGGAAGAAAAAAGTGCGTCTTATGGAGCGAAAAATGTGGTAAATACATTTTTAACTCTTCACTTATTTTATGCCATTCAGCCAGCCTTTGCCAACTGGGCACCCTCCAGATGTTTTGAACTACAACAGCCATTAACATCCAAAACATCAGGAGGGCACCAGGTTAGTAGATTGCATTAAGCAATTCAATCTGGGCTATTTCAGTGCAGGTATGTTAAGATGCCCAGTTCCTCATTCTCTCTTCTCCAGTGCAAGACTAGCCCTTGCTAGTATCTTAGCAGCCACTTGAATAAATTCACAGAAGATAGGACCAAAACCTGTGATAAATAGAGTCTCTGTGTTTAGAGGCAGTTTACCCCAGAGGAGCAGGCGTAAACCAGAGGGGTCATTTCATCCCCAAAAGAGCTCCAAAATACCCAAATTGAAAAACTGCCAGCTGTGGTTCCCTGGATTTGGCATCTGCTTCCTGTGGGCTTTGTGTGTTCCAACAGGGGTTCCAACCCAGCCGATCCACCTTCAGCCAGAGAGGCTCGTCTCCAAGAAGCAAACATCATCTGTGACTGGGTCAAGGCAGCAGCTGGGGCCTCGAAGCAGCTCACTCCCGACCACTATCCAGCCAGACTTTAGCAGGAGTCGTCAAGGCAACATTTGGGTACCAAAACCTGCCTGCGGTTTGCCAGTTCGTTGTTGGGCTGCTGAGTCAATGACACTTCTCTGCAACAGGATTGTAAAAACAAGAATAAAACTGGAGATTCCCTCAGGAGCTCTATCCTGCTTTGTGTTTACTGAACACTGGATCGGGTCCAGGTATACATGACACGCATTATTTCCTATAGTGAGACAGCCAGCTCTCTCCGGAGAAAGGAAAAGAGACTTCTGCCATTAACTGATCTCGCTAGCTGAGGCTTTCAAGCTCACTCGTCTCCTGTGTTGTTTCAAAGCAGGCAAATTGCCATTGCTGAGAACAAGAAGAACAGCCCGTGTTTTAATGGAGCTTATAACCGATCCCAAGTGTTGGAGGCAAGTATGTTGATTACTCTACCCTCTCATTGAAATCACTTGGAATAAGCTCAGGCTCCCGCACACCAAGTCAGAGCGTTGGCCTGTCTAGCCCAGTACTCAGTTGTTCCCCCCCATCTCGGGCCCGTTACCTGCCCCCTGCTCCTTTTAACAGGAGACACCAAGGGCTGCACCTGGCGACTTCTGCATGTAAAGCAGGTGTCCTGCGACAGAGCTGTGCCCCCCCCAAGGGTGTTCCCAGTCAGCCTTAAAGGAACATGCAGAAGTCGCCAGGTGCAGCCCTTGGTGTCTCCAGTTAAAAGGAGCAGGGGGCAGGTAACGGGCCCGAGATGGGGGGGGAACAACTGAGTACTGGGCTAGACAGGCCAACACTTTAAGGATGGGTTTTCAGCTTGACTGAAATGTGGCAGACGTGCCCTATTTAGTTCAGTGCAAGATCAAGCAAAGTCAGGAGCTGAGCAGCCCGGAGGGTGAGAGGATGCATAAGCAGTAAACCAGAACACAGAAAAAAACAGCGTCTCAAAATAAATTACAAGTTTATTAAAGTGGAATAGAATTCTGTGGATTAGCTTGACTAAATACAATGGGATTTTTTATTTAAATCTTATTTAAGATATATTTCTTCCACCTCTTAAAAAGGTGAAGTACACCAAAAATCATTTGCACATTCACAATGGGATGGGCTCATCTATGTAACAAATATGGTGGACCAGATAACAAACACAGCAAGGCTTCGTTCTTTTTTCTTCTTTGGCAGGGGAAGAGAAGGAAGGCAGTCAGCTTTAGAGCAGCTGCATGGGGAAAGGGAATAGGCTAAGTCTTGGAAGCTCCTCCACCCTGCAGCTCCTGTACCAAACGGAGGAGTAAACGCAGCAGCAACTCAGCATCTAGGCATGAGGTTTGGTGGTTGGAAGATCTGGCCTTCGCTTCCTATCAGTTTGCAGCAAGTTGCCAACTAGACTCCTGGTTGTTGTTTCTGTTGCTCGGAGGAAGAGGATGGGAAACTCCTGTTTCCCCTCCTTTAAGACATTGGAGAAAGAACTGGCAATCTTCATAGGCAGCATTTCACAGTAAGACATGTTCCTATTCACAACACTGTACCCATAACCCACCTGCCTACACATAACCATGGAAGATTAAACACGGAATGTCTGCAGACCTGTGGCACTGCAGAGCAAGAAAAATGACAATACAGTTTTTTTTTTCTTTTTTGGAAGTGCTTTGAAAGAAGAGAGAATGAAGAGGATTTGGCTTTTGTGGGGAGCTGTGAATATTCTGCATGTGAGGGGAGTGAGAATTCAGGATTCTGCACCAACAAAAGCCACATTCTGCAGGTGCAGCTCATTTCTTCTGCTGTTAGTCTCTGGGTGGGGGCCCAGGAGTTGGAGAGCGTGTTCCAGCACGGTAGGTTGCTCAGTGCCAAAAAGACTCCACCTTGTGCCTGGCTAGCTGCATGTTACCAAGGGATACATCATCACCTGTCTACCAGCTTCTGCCTCCTTCCTAGGGAAAGCACTCGCCTCCAGCTCCTACACCCACTCATCCCCCCTTTACCCTTGGGTGTAGAAGGCCCCAGTGCAAAGTTTAAGCGTTGGCCTTCCCAAGATGGGGCAACTGTTCAGCTTTAGAGTATGGCTTTTAAATTCCAGGGTGCACTTGGGTGAGGAGAGTGGGGAACAGGAACACCACAGTCTTCTAAATGACACACACAAACACACACACATAAATCTTTCTCGGATGAATGTTCCAGTACTGCCCAGGGCAGGCAGGGTCATGCGGCTTGTGACCGCTTTTCTGCTGCCACTCAGGAGACACTGCCCTACAACGGGGAAGACAGGCTTCGTGTAAAACAACTGGCATCCAGTGCCTTCCTCTGAAAATCCATGGTTACAGCAGCAAAATTTGGAATTATTAATCCTTAGCAATTATATTGCACTTTTTATCTCTGAGAGCCTAACCACCATCCTGCAAGGTTGGGCTGCTGCAATCCATGCACTTTTGCAGGGAAGCTTGAGGCTGAGACTATACCTAGCAGTGGTGAGACTTGAACTGGATCACCACCCGCAGGGTCTTGTCCACTGCGCTGCTCCAGCTATTAAGTCAGCACCCAAACCTCAGTCTCTGAAAACTTGCTTTTCGATTGGAAAGTCTTATGACAAGTTGTTGTTGTTCAGCTCTTGTTCTGGGCAAAGAGAGTCCACCACCAACACCATATGTGCCAGATTTGATACAGCTCGCAAAATACACTCTGAAATTCTGTCACAATTCTAAAAAAATAAAAGACAAGTAGGATCTACCAAGAACATAATTCATTGCAGGAAATTCTCGTGCCAGTCCAAGCTCTGCTCTCTTATTCATTCTGATGTGGAAGCCACAGGGCATCTTCCCACTAATTTGTTACCCTTGATATTTAAATAATTTGTTCCAGCTCAAAAACAGCGACTAAGCGGTTACAAGACAGTCCTGACAGAAGGTACTACTGAGAAAAGCAGGAAGCAACAGAGGCTGGGAATTCCACGGCAGGCAATGAAAATTGCTGGGTGACTGGTCAGCCCCCAAACTAGAGAGGATGGTCTCCAGCACCCTCTCCACCCCTCCAATCTGGGATTCCTCTTCTGGAGTTTGGGATTCAGTGGAAGCAGGAGGAGATGGAAGAAATAATGGCTAACAAACTATAAGGGAGAGGTGGTGCTGTGCAAGCATAAGCAAAAAGAAAAAAAGAGAACTACAGACAAGACATTTCCGAAACATATACCCTGAATTCCACATGAAGCCATAGGAAGGGCAAATGAAAGGGTAGCACATGCAACAGACCCAGGAAAAGGAGAAATGCCCCCGCTCCTTAGTTGACCCAAACTCAGGTTATTGCACAAGGCCCTTCACCACCCTGAGCTAACCCTGGAGGTGGCCAGCAAGACGAAGAACAGGAAGCAGGAGCATCAGAGCCAGAATACTGCCAAAGAGCCCCCTACTGCCTCAAACTAAGCTTTCCCCTTAGCAAGAGCTTTCAAGACCTCAAAACCCCATTAGGTTATTTAATACATTTGCACTTAATACATTAGGTTTACTCCTTGACCTGTATTTAAAAAGCCACCACAGCATTTTCTTATCAAGCCTACTGTTTCAGGAGAATCAATACAAATCAATACACCCTCTGTGCTAACCCATTTCCTAACAGTCACAATCATTACCATTCTCTTTGACTTCACCATAGAAACTGGACCCTGGAAGCAACTGCTTCCTAGCTGTGTACACCAAACAAGAACCCTCTTTTCCAGCAAAGGCCCAGCTGAGCCAGCACACAGCGAAGGAGAGAACAGCAAGCCTGCTTATTTCAGGCATGGGTTCCAATCCACGGGAGGAAATGGCAACGACCTCACACATTTATTCAGGACTCCTGGAGCTTCAGGAAGCAGCTTTCAGTTGGAATACCTGAGCTGAAACATTAACTATACATATATAAACTTCTGCACAGATAACCCTTTTTTTTTAGAATGTAAAATTTCTTTTTCACATTGTCTTCCTGCATTTATGCAGATAAGTTAAGAAATATATAGAGTGACACACCTAGAAGTGTACACAACCCTCCACCCAAACCAGCAGCCTCTGCGCTTAAACTGCCCCACAGTTCACAACGGTACGAGCATCACAAGATTATTCAGAGTGCCATGAAGATGTCGCCACTGGTAACACTGCTAAAAAGGGTCAGCTTTTTTTTGTGTGGCCAGCGGTAGAGCCCTCTGGCTTGGAATGTAAGTGGAAAATCAGCAAACTGCACCAGCAACAAGGATTCTAAATCTGGGATGAGGATGCCTCTCTCTTTCTGTTCCCTCTACCATACAGACATGGCGCAGGCTCATACAGTGGAACGATGCTGTAAAGTGAGAGCAGCTTGGCGTTCCCAAATGAGTCTCCTCTCACCAGGACGTTCATTCGGACACCAATACGAAATCTAAGGCTTGGTGGATCTCACCAGGTCAAATAAATGTGATCCCTGTTTCTCCTCTCAAATGTCTCGTGCTCCAGGCAGGATTCAGCATTGCACTTCATTGCTTGCCCAACCAAGTCTTTGTGGACGGAGAGATAAGACGCAAGGGTAGTGTGGTGGGGGGAGGGGGTGTATGTCTGGAGCTTCCCTTCCGTAAACCTTTCTGACGTGCTGCCAGCAAAAAAATGAACCCACAAAACTCTGCACACCTCCCTTCAGGCCCCAACAAGCTGGGACACGATCAAGACCGGGAATGGTTGGTGCCTCATCTTTCATTTTATGCTGATGGCCAAATCGGAAGAGGGTGAGCTTCTGTGTTGAAGACATACTTATCGAGGTTTATCAAGTCCACATCGTCAGAGAAGAGCAAGAAAAGATACTTGAGTGTTTCCCCGAGGAAAAAGCTTTCCATCTTGTCTCTTGGCTCCGGGTTGCTGGTGCTCTGGACGTTGTTGATGGACGTGTAGCCACCAGTGGGGACCTGGGCAGAAGGATCCCAAGAAAACAAACCTCAGCATGGGACTGCTCCCTGCCTAGAGCCATTTGGTTATTGCTTGGCAAGTGTAATGACACACACATCTGCACCAGCCATTCCCCACCCCCTCCACGTTAGGTTTCCAAATCCCATGTTTTCTACGTCATGAGGAACAGTGGGGGAGGGTTGTGCACAGGAGGACAGCCTCCAAGAATGTCGTCTTTCCTGCATTGCCTGGTGTCATGCATATGACTGCCTTGAATGTTCTAAGCCAGCCTTCTTCAACCTGGCGTCCTCCAGGTGTTCCAAACTACAACTCATTGTGCTGGAGGCTGATGGGAGTCGCAGCCCAAAACGTCTGAAGGACACCAGGTTGGCAGAGGCTGGCCTGGACAGCTAACACAAGCTGGAAAAGTGAGATGATAATCTTTAAAAACAAGCACCTTAAGAGCATCCCTACTGGATCATACCAGAGAACACACCAAGGCCAGCCACTTGCTTCCAACAGGGGTCAGCCAGTTGCCTCTAGGTAAAGTCCTCAAGCAGGGCATAAAGACAACGGGTTTCCCCTGCTGTTGCTCCTCAGCAAGTGGTCTTCAGAGCTATGCTGCTTCTGAACATGGAGGCTTCATTTAGCCACTAGGACTAATAGCCACTGGATTTCTCATGCACACACACACACCCTCTAAAGTTAATTAAGCTCAAGGCCTTCACATTTTGTGGCAGCAAATTCCACAAATCAGCTGTGCATCATGTGAAGATATGGACCAAGGCTGCCCAAGAGCTTCCAAAGCGCACCCCAGAGATCCGCTTTACCCGTGTGTATTTATTGAAGCTCTGCAGTATCTCCCAGCCCCAATCCTGGTACTTCTTATCACCAGTGAATCGATACAGGTAGAAAAGGCTCTCCACTGTCTCAGGGCGCAGAAGATTGTGCCTGTCCGCTGCCTGGGGTAGGGGAAACAAATAAAGAATTACAGAAGAAGAAAGAGGCCCTTTGTAGCCCCATATCCCTCAGCCCTGAGGGGTGTGTGTATGTGTGTGTGTGTACTGGCCTCTCCTTCCTCCATTTTACCATAATCCTTACTTTTCTTGATCCAAAATGTTTGCAATATACCCACTGAGCACGTCTGTTTTTAAAATGTATATATGCATGCCAGAGTATACATCCCTAATAGGTGCTTGCAGCACACAAAAGCTAGTAGCTTGCTTATTTATTTTCTTAAGTTATTCATTTTATTGCATTTGTTGTCTCATAACATTGTTCTCTTAGCTGGTCTTTTAATAAATAAGAAAACAACATGAATGCAAAGAAGTCAGGAAACCACAAAAGCAAAACTCAGTTACACCCGACATGGAGCCAAGAATCACAAGGCCCGGGTGACACCAGCTAGCCGTTTAATAGGCCCCAGTTGAACAGAAAGTTTCTCATGGTGTTAAAACACCACAAAGGTGGTGCCAGGCAAGCTGCACAGGGAAGAGTCTTCCAAAGGTCCTCTCACTGGTACTTACCATGAAGTTGCACAGTTGCTAAGAGACCCAAAGCTACAAACTGGGACTCTCATGTCACTGGCAGAGGAAGAGGAGTGCGTGGAGAGCGCACCGCCCCCGGCAGCGTGATCCCGGTGGGGTGCCATCACGGCTGCCCCCCCCCCCTTACAAGCAGTGTGCCACGCCCCCAGGACGCACGCCAGCCTCGCCCCCGCCTGCTCTCCCCCCCCCCCCCCCAGTGCTGGAGCATGACACTCCGCCACTGTCTCATGTACAGGCATCCCTCGGGTTACAGGCGCTTTAGGTTGCGCGTTTTCGGGTTGCGCACGGAGCTGAACCTGGAAGTACCAGAACAGGTTACTTTGGGGTTTCGGCGCATGCGCAGAAGCACCGAATTGCAACCTGTGCATGCGCAGACGCGGCACTGCTGTTGTGAACACTGCAGGTTGCGAATGCGCCTCCCACACAGATCACGTTTGCAACCCGAGCGTCCACTGTATCATCTCTCTAGATGGTCTTTAATAAAGCAGAACCTCTCAGTTTTAGACACACACCCCCCCAAAAAAAACCCAATATCGGAGTAATACAGTTGTAAGAAGGACAGATGGAACACCCCGCACCTGCTGAGTTGCTCACCTTTATCTCCACATCCTTCCGGTCCTTTTGTGCATGCATGTTGAAGTGGACAATCTCTGGGCTCAGGCCCGTCTCCACTTGCGCATACATCTGGTAGCAGGTTTCTGCCAGCTCCACTGCCAAGGCCATGTGGTCCGCGGGGAGCCCATTGTGGGCACCAAGAGCCAGGGCTCCGGGCAAGAAGCAGACCAGGTGATCCTGCTCAGGAAACATGGCAAGAGTTAAGGAAGAACCAAATCTCTCTATGAGTTTTCAAAGTCTATGCTGGGGCGGGGAGACTTCTCTGGCACTCTATCTGCAAGGAGCCCTGATACAGAACCAGAGGGTGTTGAAAAGGGTTCTTGGGCTCGTGCTCCATTTGGATGGGGTAACGGACAGGTCGACCGGGTCCCTGCATTTCAAGGTGGGGTTTTTTTTTACTATGTATACTGCTTTCCTGACAGTGCACTTGGGGGTAGAAATTAAAAATAAAGGCTTATGATCTTAATAGAGACAACCCAGAATGAAACGAGGATAGGGAGGGAAGAGGAAGAATGCTGCCAGACATGAGCTGAAGATTGTACCCTAGGACACAGCCGGCAGTTCCCTGTGGCTGTGCAATGGACGACTGAGGAGTAAAAGCCCAACCGTTTTCATGGGAGCTACTCCTTGAATCAACCGGTGAAAAGTTTGTGAGGTGCCCCAGAGCCCAGAAAAAGACAGATCTACAACACTAAGAGGGCACCCACCAAAATGTGATAGTGCATTGACAAATTCAGCTCGTTTTATCCAGTGGAATTAAGATCTTGTTTGGGGAATAGAAAGGAAAAATTTGGCTAGCAGTCCACATACACTCAGAACGGTATGCCATTGTATTCAGTGGAGATCACAGTCAAGAAAGGATGTACAGGATTGCTGCCTAACCTTCATGAAAAAGGAGGACAGGTGCAAGCCTTTTACAAAGTCAAAGACCAGGACACCCTTACAGATAAAAACGGGTGAAGTCTGGTGGTCCAGGGAGGAGCAAAATGGAAAAAGGAATCGGACCTCTTTACAGAACAGAGCGGTCAAGAGAAAACAATGTTAACAAATAGCTCTCCCAGCCATGGAAAGCAAGCCCACCATTTTAGCGCTGAAGCGGCCATGAGCAAGTTCACCAACAAAAGTCAGTCTCCTTGGTTGCGATTTCCGGAGAAGGTGCATCTTCACCCCCTCGACACCCTTCACGTAATCTTCCAAAAGCCTGACAATTATAAACACACACACACATCAGGAGGGCTTGGTTTTTTAAGCACTGTGGCTGCTGTCAGCAGAGGCAGACAAGATACCACCCAGAGCTCTTTCACACTTCCAGCCTGTGTGACATTCACATTTACCTTGTGTGTGTCAATTTGTGAATGAACTGTCACAGGTCATAGAGCAAAATGGCTTTTTCAGAACAGGGGGAAAAATTAGTTTAAGACAGCCTTATGCAAACTGGCACCCTTCCAGATGCTTTGGACTACAACTCCCATCAGCCCCAGCTACACTACTACCAGCTCTAGCATCATACAGTCATGCTGGCTGGGGATGATGGGAGCTGTAGTCCAAAGCATCCGAAGGGCACGAGGCTAGGGAAGTCTGGTTTAGGAGGATTATGAAATGCCTGGGGCAGTGGACAGATTTCCAACATGCTGTTGCATTTCCATCCAGGTCACTCAATAGTCTGCCTCCATACGGAGGGCACAGATCTTCAACAGGCCCCTTGATGCCCACCTATTCCCCACTTCCAGCAAGGTTCAATGTAATCTAGAGTTTAAAAAAAAGAAAGGAGGCGATGGGGGAAAGTAAAAAGGACTTACTCATTTTCTTTCTTCCCTCCCTGGATCCATTGCTTGAGCAGGTACTCATAGTAGCTGTCTGCTCGGGCTCCAAGAGTATAGACCCCCAAGTGGGTAAACTGCCCACTGTTGGTGTTGATGAACATAGGCACCAAGCCGTCGTTCTTGCCAGCAAGGGTGTGGACATGTTTCATCACCCCATCCACTGCTTTCTACATGTACAAACAAGGGAGACTCATTTGTACGCTTACACAACCCCCACCCCCCCAGGGAAAAGTACAAAAACAGATGGACTGAATTTCAAATTTTGATTTCTCAGAGACAAGCGAAAATGCAAGAACAGCCTTGCTGGACCAGGCCAAGTATCCATGCAGCCCAGCACCTTGCTTCCAATAGTGGCCAGCCAGGTGCCTCTCTCTCAGTGGCCGCAAGACTTCCTAGGCAACAGTTGCCTCCGGTTGCCCGTTCTCAGAATCCAATAGTTAGAGGTATACCAGATCTAAACAAGAAGGCCTGCATTTGCTAGCTGGGCTCATAGGCATGGACAAGCCTGTTCTCCATGCTCATTTATTTTCCTGGCATAAACAGTAACTATTACCCTGCCAAAAGAGAAACTACTTTACACTGCATTTTAATAGAACCTTAAATCCTGCTGCATTGGTTACTGGAAATACTGGGGGTGGTTTGGAATCGTTGGGATCATATCAGACAATTGTCTCTCCAACCCCTCCCTCCCACCTGTTCCATTCTGGGTGTCTTAGCTTAAGTGCCCGGGTCTATATAGCAAAGGAATGATATATGTCCCAGAAGATATTTATTCCCACTTCTGGCCTGCAAAAGTCAGGATGGCATGGATTGACATTCCCGTTTTCTGGCAAGAGATGGAAGGGGGTGGGACTAGATGGCCAACGGTCCCCCTCTGCATGCCATCAGGAAAGGAAGGAGAGAAGAGCTCACCAACAGCTATACCTGAAATTTCTCTTCCCCAGTAAGGCGCGAAAGCTCCCTGAACTCCAGCTGGATGCTGGTCACCTCTGCTACGGTGCTATCCGATGTCCAGCGAGGAGGATGCGCTGTGCCCCGACCAATGTTGACATCCGAAAATGGAATCTTAGATGGGGTGTTGAAGGCGGGCATGAGCCTGCTCCCAATATCTTTCTGAACAGTCGAGAATATGTGATATTGGCAGGGTGGGGTGGGGGAAGAGACAGGAGGAGGAGAGAGAACAGCCAATATCATTTTATTATTCACCGTGAGCAAAAACCACTTTGATGAATCACAGAACTGTAGGGTTGGAAAGGTCCCAAAGGGTCATCTAGCCCAACCCCATGCAACGCAGGAATAAGCTAAATTGGCAGCTAAATCAGTCTTGCAAGGCATTGCCATGTTGCTATTGGACTTGGGATTGCCACCTGGATCCGAGTGCTTCATTGAGTTTGTTTGCCTTGTGCAGGTTCTAACTTGCTATTCTACAAGCCACCTGAGTTGGTTTGCTGTATGTACCAAAGGGGAATATTTCCAGTCATGCATTCAGTTAATAGGGCTGTCATCAGCCAGGCCCACTGGACCTCACTGTCACACCTCACAAGGAAGGCACCTAATGCAATACAGAACTAGAGAGAGATAGTAGTCATGGGAGACTTCAACTTCCCTGATATCTGTTGGAACTCAAATTCTGCCACAAATGAAAGGTTCAACAAATTCCTCCATTGCCTCACTGACAATTTCATTTCCCAGAAGGTGGAAGAAGCAACAAATGGATCATCTGTTCTAGACCCGGTCCTCACCAACAGGAAGGAACTGATCAACAAAGTGGAAGTACTGGGAAACTTGGGAGGAAGTGATCATGTCCTCTTGGGTTTCATGATACAGAGGCAAGGGAAAGTTGAGTGTAGTTGGACATGCACTCTGGACTTTAAGAAGGCCAGTTTCGAAAAGCTGAAGGAGCTACTGGGTGAGATCCCATGGTCAGAAATACTCAAAGAGAAGGGAGACCAAGATGGATAGGAGTTTCTAAACGGAGAAATATTGAAGGCCCAAATACAGACAATACCAACAAGAAAGAAAAGTGGGAGGCATCTAAGGAAAGCAGTGTGGTTGCACAAGGAGCTTACAGATGAGCTGAGAGTTAAGAAATGGAAGAATTGGGCAATCACAAAGGAGGGGTAAACAAGAGTAGCCAACAGTTGCAGGGTGAAGGTCAGGCTGGCTAAAGCTCAGAATGAGCTCAGGCTTGTGAGAGAGATGATGATGATGATGATGATTAATGTTTATTCTGCTATGTCTGAAGCCAGAGGAAAACAAGCAAATTGTAGGTCCTCTACATAGGGAAGGTGGAGAAATGCTACTGGGTGACAAAGAGAAGGCGGAACTACTCAGTACCTACTTTGCCTCTGTCTTCACCCAAAAGGAAAGTGATGCCCAACCTGGTGATAACAGAATAAATGATGCAAGTAGAGAGCTGCAGCCCAAGATAGGAAGAGAGGTAGTAAGGGAACACCTAGGTACTTTAATTGATTTCAAATCTCCAAGGCCTGATGAGTTGCACCCAAGGGAACTAAAGGAGATTGCGGATGTAAATTCAGAGCCTTTGTTTATGATCTTTGAGAAATCTTGGAGAACAGGTGAGGTCCCTACAGAGTGGAGGAAGGCAAATGTCTCCATCTTCAAAAATGGGGGGAAATAAGACCTAGGTAACTACAGACCAAGAAGATCAAACCTATCCATTCCTAAGGAAATCAGCCCTGAGTGCTCACTGGAAGGACAGATCCTGAAGCTGAGGCTCCAATACTTTGGCCACCTCATGAGAAGAGAAGACTCCCTAGAAAAGACCCTGATGTTGGGAAAGATGGAGGGCACCAGGAGAAGGGGACGACAGAGGACGAGATGACTGGACAGTGTTCTTGAAGCTACCAGCATGAGTTTGACAAAACTGCGGGAGGCAGTGGAAGACAGGAGTGCCTGGTGTGCTCTGGTCCATGGGGTCACGAAGAGTCGGGCACGACTAAACAACAACAAAACTACCGACCGGTGAGCTTGACAATGATACCAGGAAAGGTCCTATAACAGATAATTCAACAGTTGGTCTGTGAGCATGTAGAAAAGGATGCTGTGATTACTAAGATTTTGCATGGGTTTCTCAAAACAAGTCATGCTAGATGAATCACATTTATTTGATGAGAGTCACAAGCTTGATGGATCAGAGGAACGCTGTGGACATAGTGTATCTTGATTTCAGTAAGAATGTTGACAAAGGTCCCCATGATATTCTTGCGAGCATGCTGATAAAATGTGGGTTGAATGAGGTAACTGTGAGGTGAATTTGTATCTGCTTGACTGACTGAATCCAAAGAGTTCTCATTAGTGCTTCCTCGTCATCCTGAAGAACAGGGACAGGAAGGGTGCTGCAGGGTTCTGTCCTGGGCTCATTGTTGTTCAGTGTCTTTATAAACAATGACCAGGACTAAGGAATTGAGGGGATGCTAATCAAATCTGCAGATGACACCAAGCTGGGAGGGGTAGCTAATTCTGCAGAATACAGGATTGTGATTCAAATGACCTTGTAACAGATTGGAGAACTGGGCCCAAACTAACAAAGTGAATTTCAATAAAGACAAATGAAAGGTTCTGCACTTAGGCAGGAAGAACAAGCTGCACTAATATAAGACGGGACACCTGGCTTGCTAGCAGTACACGTGAAAATGACCTAGGGATCATAAATTTAATGTGAGTCAACAGCATGATGCAGCAGCAGAAGAAGCCATCACGATTCTAGGCTGCATCAACAGAGGTAGTGTTCAGATGAAGGGAAGTACTAGTCCCACTCCATTCTGCCTTGGTCAGACCACACCTCGAATACTGTGTCCAGTTCTGGGCACCAAATATAAGGAGGATGTTGACAAGCTGGAACATGTGCAGAGGAGGGCAACCAAGATGATCAAGGGTCTGGAAACCAAACCTTATGAGGAACAGTTGAAGGAGCTGGGTAGGTTTAGCCTGGAAAATAGGAGACTGAGAGGAGGTATGACAATCATCTTCAAATATATTAAGAGCTGTCACATGGAAGAGGGAACAAGCTTGTTTTTTCCTGATCTGGAGAGTAGGACTCGAACCAATGGCTTTCAAGGAGGTCGGATGGCCATCTTTCATGGATGCTTTAGATGAGATTCCTGCATTGCAGGGGGTTGGCTAGATGACCCTAGGGGTCTCTTCCAACTCTACAATTCTATAATGCGGTCAGCAGCTATGTGCTCGCTGCCTTTCATGGAAAGCTATCTACCATCTCCTGTCTTGCCCTGGAGAATCCCCCACAATCCCTGTCATGCCATTTCAGAACTACTGAGCTAGCCAGCCTTAGAGGTCGGGCCCTCCATCACGAAGCCTGTTTTCTGAAGGGGGCAGGGGCATTCTGGGGCTGCCAAAGCCAGTACTGACGTGCTGGGGTCCAAAGAGCTACTTCAGAAGGGCCTAAGGGCTCATGCCTGACATTTTAGAACAGACCCACACCCCCGCTATATTACGCAATGCTACCAAGGGCTTTTGACATTTCCCTCAGTTTCAAACACAGCTTGCCTTTAAACATAGAGCGGGGCAAGGGGAGTAGGGGGAGAAGGTAGCCATTCAAGAAGCAAAATCAACAACTCTTTCAGGGATATCAAAAAAGCTAAGTGGTTTGCTGCATCCAAGCTCAGCAACCAAACAGAATGCCACTAATGCTCATCATTTGCTTGACAGCTAGATCTGCCACGGGTGGACTGCTCTGAAGTGTCACTGAGAGGAGAACAGGCAAAGCAGTATTCCCCAGACTCAGGTATTGGACTGCAGCTCCCATCGTGCCTGACCACTGGCCGTTTCAGTCCACAACATCTGGAGGGCACCAGGTTGGGGGAGGCTGCCCTTGAGGGTCTCCCTCATGACATCCACAGCACACAAAAGGGTTTCCCCAATCCTTGGATTTGCAGAGCCCTTTATCAGCAAGTGTCCTCCTGGCTCTCACTGGATTGAGAACTCGAACTCGGAGTGCAGTCTCTGCCAACATCTTCAATGCTCAAATCAGTGTGGTACAAAACAGGGTTCAAAGAAACAACAGGTGCTGTGTCTGGCTAAGCAAATGAAGACAAGCACAAACACAACCTGGGTCCCGTTATATGGGATTTTCATTGTTACGTTTTTCCCCCATTAACATACACCAAATACAATACATTAAACATTGACTTCCCTTCCCCGCTTTCCATGGCTCCTTTTAACTTTCACTTGCTGTTTCATATTCTATTTACTCTGTATCCTATTTTATCCATTTTATCTCAATGTAATTTATATTGCTGAAATTTACTCTAATCCTGCTAATGTTTGAATTTGTTTACAATGATTCTTCATATATTCAATTAACGTTTTCCAGTCTTCCTTGAATACCCTTTCTTCCTGATGAGTGCCTAACCTCTCCTAAGAGGATGAGCTGGAGTGGACTCTGGTGGTACAGCAGAGGTGTCAGGATCAGAGGTGAGACTGGCACTGGAGCTGGGGGTTGTGGAGTGGACGTAGCAATTCCAGGTGACGCGGGAAGGGGACAGAGCAGAGTGCTGGGAGGCTACACCACCGGGACCCTCCCCAAGATTGGATTCCAGCCTCTCAAGGCCCAGGCACAGCCTGTCTCCCCAGGGTCACCAGCAGGCAGCTCCTCCAACACCCCAACCCTCTCCTGGTCTGACTGCTCTCTCTACAATTTCTCTATGGGACTCATGACAAGGTGGCAGAGGTGGGTATGGAAAACATCCAATTAGCCACTGTAAACAGACACTTGTTTTAAACTGGCTTCCCTCAGTTTTCAGTTCCACAGGGCTGCTACTTTCTCAAGAGTGCCAGAAACGTTCAGACATTATTGTGGGAATTTGGCGGCGGCAGCGGTGGGTGGGGGACGTTGGTTGTTGTCGGACTGCAAGATCGCAGGGCTACTTACAGCTTTTTCTAGGAAGAGGTTGTCCCCCGTGAGGTGGTAAGTGCTCAACAGGCCCCCAAGGATCCGAATGGCGCTCTCAAATAGGTTGACGTCCACATTCTTGTTGAAGTTGAGGTCAGTGGCAACCCACTTCCTTGCTTCTTTGAACTCTGCATTGGGGAAGGGAGTCAAGAGATTGTCAACGGAAACCCTGCACCAAGGTATTCTGGGCTGCTGGGGAAGGGAAGACTCGGGAAATCCCCCTCCCTCATTCTTAAGGCCACATCTGGGAGTGGCTCCTGCCCACCTGGATGCCAGGTAAAAGAGCAGCCTCCCAAGCTGCTGAACACAGGTTTGCTTTGTTGGCCTAGGAGCAGGAGAAGCTGCCTTTACGCCCATTTAGGAAATGGGTCCATCTAGTCCAGTGCTGCCTACTCTAACTGGCAACAGCTGTCCAGCTTTTCATGCAGAAAAGTGTATTTGCCATCACTTGTCACCTGGACCCTTTTAACTGGAGATGATGCCAGAGCTCCGCGGCAGCTATGGCCCCTGCCCAATATAGCTCTCTACCATTCATGCCTGTGGAAGTGGGTGGGGGTAGGGGGCAGGCGATGCTCTCCACAGCAGACATGGTCAACCTGGGGCTGGGGGCCCAAACTAAATCCCCTCCCCCAAACAAAAGACAAAAAAGAAAATCTTCTGCAGCTACAGCAAAGTGTGCTAATATTCAAGGTAATGTGCCAGCTCTGGAAGAAAGGTTCTTGCTCCTCAGACAACACTGGCGGAGCAAGAGAAAACAATGGAAAGGAGGGCATTGCCTCGCTCCGCATGTGCCCATTTGACCACTCTGATCTGCAGATCTGCCACTGTTGCAGATGCCACGTAACACCTCTTCTGCAGCTGCAATAAATCATTCTTCTGGCACAGCAATACCTGCTCTTTGGAACTCCCAGTCTATTGGCATCGGGCAAGTGCCTTCACTGTTTTTTTTTCTGCTTAAAACATTTTTGTTTGAGCAAGCCTATGAAGGCACATAAAAGCAGGCATGTTTTAAATCTCTTCTTTTTGTTTACTGACTTTGCTTTTATAAATGCTTTTCATTATTTGCTTTTAATTGTCTTACTGGTGATTTCAACACTTCCCATAAACCACTCAAGAGGTTCTGCTACGATGAAGTGGTATAGACATTTGGTAAAATAAATCAAGTAAACGAGGCCAGGTGAAAAAGCTGGCATGGGAGAAACGGGGCAGACCTTCTTTCAAGCCCATGATCCACATGGTGTCCAGGGCATCAATGAGTGTTAGGCCAAGGCCAAACCATTCGCTGAATGACTTAGAGATGGGCTTCAGCTCGTCGTGGCCCCAGGCAAACTCCTTGTAGCCCTTCCAAGCGTGGCGGAATGCTTCTATCACTGCCATCTGGCGCTCATTGAGAGGTACTAAAATCAGAAAGCAAAAGAACTCAGCTGTAGGACACAGGAACTTAGCTGCTGGGACCAGCTCTCTGGATTCTGTTTAGGCAAGGGCCCCCTCTGACATTGCATGATTCGCCTACTCTAGTCAACTACCAAACCATTTTTTCCCCATTTATCAAACTTATTAGTTAATCGTATAGTTAACGCTGTTATTATTTATAAGGCAATTTAATTTTTTTGCTTTTTCATAAGTGTTTCGTTAGACAATATATTAATATATTATACAATCCCCTTATTTTTCCCCCCTTCCGTTATTGTTTTTTTTTTATTATAAAATATTTATTAGAATGTTACAATAAACATAGGTTTAAAAAAATTAAGAAAATTAAACCAAAGATTACACATAAACAGAAAAAGAAAAAAGATAACAAGGATAATACCAATAAAACAAGAACCTAAGATAATACCAAAAAAACAAGGACCTAAAAGAGAAAAAGGAAAATACAAAATACAAAAAACAGATGGCTTAAAAAGAAAAAAAGGAAAAAAAGGAAAAAAATTAAAAAGAAAAAATCCATTTTTCAATATCTTTAGGCTCATTTACTTATTTCCTTGACCTCCTCACACCTCCCCTTTTTGTATTCCCGTTTACAAAATCCTTTCAGCCAATCCTTACCCTCTTTCATTTATCTTTACTCTATATCTTAACCTATTATAACAATATATTTTCATCCATATAACAATCTATATTTGCATATTCTTATTAACCTTATTGTTGTGTGTGTATTTATTTATTTTTAGTGTAAGTTGTTTGGAGACCGTCAGGTGACAAGTGACTAATAAGTTTGATTTGGGGGGGGGAGGGGAAATTAACAATTCAGAATGTGAAACCATGGACTGAAGTTGGCTTACAAACAATGGCTTGTGCAACCATGATTTCCCATTACTTTTTGAATGCAATGTACTGGCATGAACCTGGTTTTTTTCCAGCACCCCTCCCCAGACGCTCACATGGCCAGAGATGTGAGGCAAGAGCCATTAGAAAAGTGAAATCAGCATTAGGCAAAATTAGGCATGGTTGCTTTGTTTATCCACAAGACTGATCCTAGTTTGTTCCAACAAACCACGGCTAAAACAAAACCATAAAGGTAAAGGGACCCCTGACCATTAGGTCCAGTCGTGGCCGATTCTGGGGTTGCGGCGCTCATCTCGCTTTATTGGCTGAGGGAGCCGGTATACAGCTTCCGGGTCATGTGGCCAGCATGACTAAGCCGCTTCTGGCGAACCAGAACAGCACACGGAAACGCCGTTTACCTTCCCGCCAGAGCGGTACCTATTTATCTACTTGCACTTTGATGTGCTTTCGAACTGCTAGGTTGGCAGGAGCAGGGACCGAGCAATGGGAGCTCACCCCGTCGCGGGGATTCGAACCGCCGACCTTCTGATCGGCAAGTCCTAGGCTCTGTGGTTTAACCCACAGCGCCATGAGCGTTAAAAAAGGTTAAAATAAACAACATTTGAATGTTACATGCAGCCATACTGTCTGAAACAAAGGGGAAATGGCAGGAAGAAAGCTTGGGGCCACATCTTCACTAATATGTCAGATAAATTAAAGAATGGAAATTGAAACGTGTTTGAGAAGGACTGAGCTAGTGAAGGTTGGAATGTGAAGGCTGTGTTCACAACAGAACCGTGAGAGAAGAACAAAGTAGCACATAAGCAGGAACTTGAAGAAGAAGAGTAGTTTGGATTTGATATCCCGCTTTATCACTACCCGAAGGAGTCTCAAAGCAGCTAACATTCTCCTTTCCCTTCCTCCCCCACAACAAACACTCTGTGAGGTGAGTGGGGCTGAGAGACTTCAGTGTGACTAGGCCAAGGTCACCCAGCAGCTGCATGTGGAGGAGCGGAGACACGAACCCGGTTCACCAGATTACGAGTCCACCGCTCTGAACCACTACACCACACTTGTTACTATAAACTGTTGTAGGAGAAGAGATAAGGAAGTTAGAAGCCTGTTGCCATCTCTTGTAGAAGCCGATAGAAGTTAGAAGGTGGAAGTTATTGCCATATATGGACAGACCTGACCCTTTGTTTGTAACTGTATATACCTGCTTGTGCTTTTTTCATATTTGGTGTGCCGCCCCTCATACTACTTGCTGGATGAGACTGTGATGCATCGGCCCTGCAACACCTAAATAAACATCCTATTTTACTGATGACTGGCATCTGGATTCTATTGGCCGTTCCAAGCAGCCCAGGGTATCAGGCTTGAACCTGGATATTTCCCCAACAGTCTCTGTACCCAACAGACATGTCTGTTTCTGACCTGTCTGTTTTGTGTAGCAGTAACCAGCAACTGCCTGCATGGCAGGAATAAGCTTTGACCTCACCAGAGATGGGGGTTCCCCTTGACTCATTACCTGGCTCTTTAGTATCTTCGGATTCCACAGGCAAGGGCCTGTCTGGTTCCTTTATTTTGTTGGAAGGAGGTTCTGTGCCCTGGTCCGGCTCAATAACTGCTCCTCTCCAGCTGCAAAAAGAGAACTATTCAAGGAAAACTGTCTGGGTTCTGCTGTCACAGCAACGTCAGAAAGATGCACAACAAAGGCTCAGTCAAGGAGTGGGGTGCTGCATACCCAAATATAGATGCTCCTCTTTTCCCGGGGGTGCAGATTTCTCCACACAAAAGTCTCTTAAATGGTTCTCCCTTACTGCCCCTTATGCCCAGAACACTCCCAGGTCCTCTGTGGTGCCAGCGTGTAGCTTCTCCTTAGTCTCAGAACTTAACCCCCAGCTGAACTGAAGCCCAGGCATCTGTTACTAGATGTTTTCCATGTTAGCTTCACATCTCCATTCCTGCTGCTCCTGCGGTTGCCTCTCCTAAAGGGTCGAAATGTGTGTTATAACTTTCTTGCAACCAAGCAATGCTCCTTCAGCCAACTACCTGATGACGGACTTCTCCGTTTTTTGTTCTTTACCAGCCTGGCCAGCTTCTCCCTCCTCCTTGGCTGCTTCATCTGGGAAGTTCAACCTCGAGTCTCTCCATGGTGGCCTGATCTGCAGGTTAGGAGGTCCCCGCCGGACAGGAAGCTGCTTCGGAGGTTTCTAAGGAAATGGAGCAGAGGAAGAAAACAATGACTTCCCACCTTCCCATACACACCTACACATACCTGTAAAAAGCCACTTGCTTTGTCACCTTTGGCAAGACTGGCAGGGAAGTAAGGGGAGACTTGGCTCTATGCCCATGTCTGTGACCATATCTGCAGGGCTGGGATAAACTAAAACTGCCCCTACCTTTCCCTTCCCCTTTCATCTGTTGACAGAGAACTGAATCCAGCTATTTCCTAGTTTCTCAGGACAGGAAGCCACACTGAGTCCTGGCCTCATTACTAGCCTCCATTTGCTTCTTTAAGATGAGAGGCTTCTCTCATCAGGTCAGAAGAAAACAGGCCAGTAATAGTGATGCCACTGTTGCAGGAATTTATGTATAGGTTGGGGGGGGGGGTTGCCCCTCCAGCAGATATCATGCACATGCAGCCCACTACCAAAATCAGCACAATAACTTTTGTGGCTTTTGTGATTTGTCCCCACAAAACACTTCATCACAGTTTCTTCCTCTCTATTCAAAGGGCCTCTGCAGCACAATACCAGATGTAATAATTCACTGATAAATGTATCTATGTACTGGCTCACTGGGAAAACTTCAGAAATTCATATAGACACGTGAGCTCAGCTACTCAGCAGACAGGCAGCTGTTCCAGAAATAACAAACCCAGATGAAGACAAAAGGGTGTGATTAACTTGGCTGGGAAACAGGGAAATGTAAATATCTCTTTTGTTACACTTGATGGGTGTTTGGTGGAGAGCAAGGGGAACCATGGGGCAGGGTCCAGGATGCTCAGATTACTGCCACCAGACCTCCCCTTTCATTATGTGACCGGGATGTATTAGTGATGTAGTTGGGGGGGGGGTGTAACATGGGGATTAGCAGCTAATAAAAGTTTGGGTTCTCTTTTGTTCGGGGCTTCCATCTTGTTCCAGCTTGTGGCAGGTGGGAGTCCTGTTGCGACAGTCTTCTATAAAGACCAAGCCTACTGGCTGCTGTTTTGCTCTGGTATTCCTGGCTGGTGTCCTTGTTTTTTGTCCAAGGGAGCCCTCAGATTTCTCCATTAACACCACCTACTACCATGAAAAGGATCTGAAGCTCTGTGAGGGTCCCCCTTGCCTGGAAATACAGGCAAGACTGGAAAATGGAATGTGCCTCCTATGAAAAGGGATGGCGCATGAAGCCATTTGCACAGCCCTGCCTCCAAAGCAAAAGAGAGTCATAATTGCACCACCCAATGAGACAGGATAGGGTGCTTGGCCCTCCCCCCCCCCCAGCAATCCTGCCAAACTTCAGACACAGGGAAAATTCAAGACATAGACCACTTCTCTTGCCCACTTTGCCAGAGAAGTTGTATCCCAAGTGGACCTGAGCTTCCTTCAGCAGCAACCTCTGACCACACCAGGTGACGCACCAGTGGCCCAGGGCTTGAGGGACAGGGCTGTCACCCAAAGAGTCTTGCTTACATGAGTGGTAAGCATGCAAGACTTCGTCAGCAGCCTGCAAAAGACACAAGGTGGAGTCCTGGGCTGGGAGTCAAAGATTAAAGATGTGAAGCAATCATACAGGGCCTTTCGTAAACCTCAGTCTCCTTTCTGAGAAAGGTGCTGGCAAAGAAGCCTAGTCACGAGTCTGGCATTTCCTCAGATTAATGGTTAATCAAGTTGTGCTCCAGACAGCCTTGAGAAGATAGGCAATGGTAGAAAACACAAATGAAAGCCACCCTCTCCTGTTCTTCCTTTGTGGTAAAGGTAAAGGGACCCCTGACCATTAGGTCCAGTCGTGGCCGACTCTGCGGTTGCGGCGCTCATTTCGCTTTACTGGCCTAGGGAGCCGGCGTACAGCTTCCGGGTCATGTGGCCAGCAGGACTAAACTGCTTCTGGCAAACCAGAGCAGCGGACGGAAACACTGTTTACCTTCCTGCCGGAGCGATACCTATTTATCTACTTGCACTTTGACATGCTTTCGAACTGCTAGGTGGGCAGGAGCAGGGACCGAGCAACAGGAGCTCACCCCGATGCGGGGATTCAAACCGCCGACCTTCTGATCGGCAAGTCCTAGGCTCTGTGGTTTAACCCACAGTGCCACCCGCGTCCCTTTCCTTTGTGGTAGGGTTGTTGTATTTTAGGTACTCATAAGAATCTAAGAAGAGCCCACTGGATCAAGCCAATTGCCCATCTAGTCCAGCATCCTGTTCTTACAGCAGCCAAGCAGGTGACCTAAAGGGAAACCAACATGCAGGATCTGGGCGCAAGAGAACTCTCCCCTTCTGCGGCATCTAGCAACTGGTATTCAGAAGAATTACTGCTTCACTGGATGACCCTCGAATTCTAGTGTCATGAGAAAAGGGAGAAAAACTTCTATCTGTGCATGATTTTGTAAACGTCTGCCGTGTCACCTCCACCCTCCTCCACCCTTGTAGCTTGCAGCAACCAGCATTTAGAAAAATTGTTGTATCCAACTGTGGAGGCAGAGCTTAGTTGTTGCAGCTAGTAGCTAATGATAGCCTTATCCTCCATGAATTTGTCTAATCCTCTTTTTAATCCATCCAAGCTCGCGGGAAGCACTTCCTCCTGTGGGAGATAGTTCCAAAGTTTAACTGCCAGTGGTGCATGCTCTAGTTATCTCCTGCTTGGTCTACTGCAATGCACTCTATGTGGGGCTACCTTTGAAGGAGACCCGGAAACTACAACTAATCCAGAATGCGGCAGCTAGACTGGTGACTGGGAGCGGCTGCCGAGACCATATAACACCAGTCTTGAAAGACCTACATTGCTGCCAGTACGTTTCTGAGCACAATTCAAAGTGTTGGTGCTGACCTTTAAAGTCCTAAACGGCCTCGGTCCAGTATATCTGAAGGAGCGTCTCCACCCCCATCGTTCAGCCCGGACACTGAGGTCCAGTGCCGAGGGCCTTCTGGCGGTTCCCTCATTGTGAGAAGCAAAGCTACAGGGAACCAGGCAGAGGGCCTTCTCGGTGGTGGCACCCACCCTGTGGAATGCCCTCCCATCAGATGTCAAAGAGAAGAACAACTACCTGACATTCAGAAGACATCTGAAGGCAGCCCTGTTCAGGGAAGTTTTTAGTGTGTGACATTTTAGTGTATTTTTGGTCTTTGTTGGAAGCGGCCCAGAGTGGCTGGGGAAACCCAGCCAGAAGGGCAGGGTACAAATAATAAATTATTATTATTATTATCATCATCATCATTTGCTGCGTGAAAAAGTACTTTATTTTCTCTTCCTCAATCTTCCAACATTCAGTTTCACTAGACGTCCATGAGTTCCAGCAGTATGGGAGAAATTAAACTTTTCTGTATCCCCTTTCTCCATGCCATGCATCGTTTTATAAATGTTCATCATGTCACCTCTTACTCACCTTTTCTAAAGGGAGAATTACTAAAGGAAGTCCGATATAAAATACACATTTTAAACAGCACAATTAGCCAAATAATAAAATAATATCATACGCTTAGATACAGAGGGTGCCTGCTGTGTGTTAGGCTGCTACCCCCCAACCCTCTAGATTCCAAAAAAGACATTGGGGAGAGAATTACTTGAAGTGAAAAATCCCCCTGATTGGCATCAGCATTTTGTGGAATTGGAAGAACTGCCTGATTTGCTGGCTTCAACCCAGGGACCTCCATATAAGTCTTTTGTTCCTCTGAAGCTCTGCTGGTTAGACCTGGAAAGAGAAATTAACTGCAGTGAATGCCACCTGATGCAACATAATGAAATGAACGTCCAAGACTCCTGGTAAGATCTCATCCAGTTAAACATGTTTACATGCTGGCTTCAGGCTTACCAGAACAATAAACAAAACCATGGAAACCAAATCATTGTGCCCTGTCCAATGTATCTTGCTCCCACAACAAAAATCACCCACCAAGAAGAACTAGCATAATTTCTTTTTTGATCTTTCGATTCATTCATTATTGCAGTCAGGGCTGATGACAGGGCAGCAGGTGCAGCTGGGGCCCGGCAGTCCAGAGGGGGTACTCACTAACTTGAACATGTTTTATGTAACATATTAACAAAATATGTATTTCATCTTCAATGCACGCACAATTCCAAAATAATAGCTTGCAAACTTTTGCTGTGAACTATGCATCAACAGCAAGTTAGCTCCGTCAGCAGAGCAAGAGACTCTTAATCTAATGGTTGTGAGTTCAAGCCTGCACTGCAGGGGGCTGGACTAGATGACCCTTGTGGCCCCTTCCAACTCTACGATTCCCCCCCCCCCATTGCCATTTCTATATATTCTATTAACTTTGTCTGCCATTCTTACTTCGTTGGTATTTTATCTTCCCTCTATCTCTGAGCATATACCATCCATGCAGCTGTAGTAAGCATACATAAAAAGAGATTTGTGGTCCCTGGGTATATTTTCATCTGTTATGCCTAAAAGAAAAGCTTCCGGGGTTTTAAACATTTTTTTCAATTCATCATTTCCCAGAAGTTTTTAACCTTTTTGCATGTCCACCATATATGATAAAATGTGCCTTCTTTTTTCTTTACATTTCCAACAACTATCAGTTTCAGTTTTATACATCTTAGCTAATTTACTTGGCGTTAAATACCACCTATAGATCATTTTCATATGGTTTTCCTTCAGTGTGTAAAATGCAGTAAATTTTAGATCTTTTTTCCATAATTTCTCCCAGGCACTCATTTCTATATCATGCCCTTTATCCCTTACCCAATGGATCATATATTTTTTAACCCATTTTACCAATTCATTTACCCAACGAATTTTACCAATTCATCTTTTGTCTCCCATTCTAATAGTAGTTTATACATTTTAGAAATTATTTTTCTTTACTATCAATAATCTCTCTTTCAAATTGTGAACTTTGGGTCGAAAAACCCCTTCTTTTGTCCAGTTTTAACACATCATTTATTTGATGATACTGTAACCAATCCATCACCACTTGTCCAAGTCCCTCCTTTTTAAAATCTTACTACTTCTGAAAAGTCCAAGAGTTCTCTATAAGTTGCCCAGTGTCCTTCCATGTTACACCAACTCTATAATTCTATGATTTCTGAGTATTTCCAACCGTCTACGAACATTCACTTCTACGCTTTGACAATATGATAGCACAGTCTCATCTTACGATGTGGGTTTTTGTAAGTGAACACCATGCGAATACAGTCATACCTCATGTTACGTTTGCTTCATGATACGTTTCTTCAGGTTGCGTCCCGCAGCGACCCGGAAGTACTGGAAAGGGTTACTTCCAGGTTTCGCTGCTCGCGCATGCATGCAAAATGACATCATGCGCATGCACAGAAGCAGCAAATCACGACCCGCATGTGCGCAGACGTGCAGACGCGGGTTGCGTTCTTTTCAGGTTGCGAACAGGCCTCCGGAACGGATCCCGTTTGCAACCAGAGGTACCACTGCACAATGAAGTACAAGTTGAATGTTTCAAGTGTTTGACTAGTTCAGCAATGATCGTGTAGATGCTTATATGCTTTTACTACTGATATAAGTCATTAGGATCTTAACATTCTCAGCAGGTACAAAACATCACATTTATTATTGACACCCAAATGAGATCATGAATTTGTTTTACATCCCATGTAAATACTTTTTAGCCAATTAGCCCTTGATTAGGGAGGCCTGGGGTGGGGTGGGGATTTTCACCGTGGTCTAAACTTGCATTCAGCACCGCTGATTACAGTAACACAAAAGAAGCAAAACAGCCTCTGAAAATAAGCAAAGATCCCCTTAATTTTTCTCCAGTGGTTGCTGCTTTAAAACTGGCCTCCCACCAATGAAGGGCCTCTTCCTTTTGCATACAGGACCCTCTCTTTGTATAGAACTTTCCAAACCTGTCCTGAGTTTAGGATGAAAGCTTTAGTTGCTTTTTAAAAATTACAAATTACAAATCTGCAACCTTGCTAAGCTGCAGAAAAGCTAAGTAAGTTAAATAGACCTACTTTTCCAGGGTTCGGACATGTTTGCGTAAGTGATGACTCCGCAGACAGCCAGAAAGGCGAACAGGAAGAGGATCAAGCTCCGCTGGAGGCGGGACAGCTGCTTCCATTTCTGAGATTGAAACAATAGAGAGAGAAATCAGAAATGCAAATATAATAACTGTGCTATTTATACAGCAATAAATAAATAATGCCAAAAACTCACGAGTCTAAATCAGAAATGAACGCTAGCTCATGACATGAATGCATTGACACCACAGGTCTCCATGTGAGTTTTCACAAGCTGCACTAAACACTTCCCAGTTTGTATCTCCCTTTTCACTCTACACAGAAAAGCAAGGATGAATCTCTGAAGCAATTATGTAGACAGTGTTCCTTTACCACATATGAAACTTTACAATAAGGGTGGGCAGACTTCAGCTTTGCTGGATCCACTTTGCTTTTTTACTGGAACCCCAAGATCGACCATATCAAGAAACAAAATCTTAGAATGAAAGACTTCTGAGCCCAGGAACTTTTTATGAGCACCAGAACTGAGCAGAGCACACAGCCCTTCTACATAAAATATCCACTCTGGTTTCCCGCCTCCCCAGTTTTCAGTATTTCAGCAGTATTTGGGGTAAATTTGTTGATGCCATTGTTAGGAACACAGGATCTTGCAACATTTAGTGAGTATTATAATAAAGGAAGAAAAACTTTTCTCTGTCCACTTTCTTCATACCAAGCATCATTTTATAAACTCCTATCTTGCCACCTCTTATTGGCTTTTTTTCTAAATTAAAAAGTCCCAAATGCTGCAAACTTCCCTCATCGGAAAGTCACTCCACCCCCAACCCCCCCCCCAACTGATAATTTTTGGTGGCCCTCCAACTCTACAATAACATTTTTGTGGTAAGGCAACCAGAACTGTATGCAGTAAATTTTAAGCAACTGGGAGTGAGAAATCATTCTTGGTGTTCTTCAGATTACCCAGAGATCTAGCAGTGGATCCCAATCTACCTACAGATCCTGACTTATTTTCTGCCCCACTCTGCTCTGTAGTATAATACAGTACATACACACACACCCTTCTAGAAGGACTTAAAATCTGAAATTTAACTGTTGGGAGGGAGGAGGGAAGGGGAAAGGAAGAAACTGCAAGCAAAAACAGTTAAACAACTTAAATTGGGCTGTGACTGTGGAGAAAAAGTTAGAGCAGATGACCAGTCCTGCTGGCTCACACTGACCAATCCAAGACTCGGTTCCAACAGAGGCCAGCCAGAAGCCTCCTGGAAAGCCCGAAACAGGAAATACAACAGCCTCCCTGGCCTCTCTCTGTTGTATGCCTCCAGCATCTCCTCCAGCTTCTGAACACAGATCCTAAATAAAAACCACTGATATAGTTCCATAAAGAAGTAAGAAGAATCCAGCTGAATGACACGAAAGGTCCACCTAGAGCGACATCCTGCTTCCAACAGCGGCCAGCCAGATATTTCCAGAAAGCCCACAAGCAGGGCAGGAGGGCAAGAACCCCCTTCCCTCTGGCACTCAAGATGCACACTGCCTCTGAACATGGAGGTTCTATGCAGCCACCATAGCTATTCCGCTACGGAGGGATTACAAAGGAGTTTATAAAGGGGAGCAACATGAACCTTCCTTGTCCCACGCGCCTCCACAACTGCCCTGATTTCACTGCACTTGGGCACCTCCCTCTCTTGTCAGCATCTTGCCTAAAACAAAAAACAAAAAATGCCAGAGATTCCTCTTACGTACAGCACAGCTCATGAGATCTGGATCAAGGCCGCTTCTTGACTTTTTCATGGCTTAACAGCAACAGCTGTCTGAGGAAAACACAGAGCCAGTTCTCTGTTCAAAGTTTCTTTCTCGAAAAGGAAGCTGCCAGGGCTAATGCCACCTCTCTGTTTCCTGTCGCACCCCAGAGGTCTGTCTTTTGTTGTTGTGATGATTCAGTGGGGAGAGAAAGGCACCCTGCCTACACCTTGAAGGTACAGCACCTGCTGCCAGCATCATGAACTGATGCAAGTTGCTTTGGAGAATAAATGTTGGTCTGAAAATCAAGGGGAGGGGGGAGAATAAATAGGAGAAAAGCCAATCAATGACTACCAATTGTGATGGCTGTATTGAGCCACCAGATTTCAGAGGCAGCATGGCTCTGAGTATCAGTTGCTAGGAAGCAACAATGGGAGAGGGGAGTTGTATTTATGCCTCACATGTGGACTTGGGTAAGTGGCTGGCTACTGGGGGAAGAGGATGCTTGACCTGACAGGCCCCCTCTGGACTGATTGAATTATCAGAAGAACATAGGAGCAGCTGGGCTGGAACACCTGTGTTCAGAATACTAGATACTAGCAGCATCAAACTTGGGGGGGGGGATGTGCCTTTAAGGCTTCCTCCAAGGCTTCTGGGGGGGCATCTGGTTGACCACTGAGGGAAGCAGGATCCTGGACTCCATGGACATTTGTTCATATACCTATATTTAAAAGCTGGAAGGAACCCAGCAGGGGCAGGAGTCTATTAATCTAAAATGAAAACTCCAGGTTTGTTTTCAAAACATGTTGGAATTGATATTCTTATAAATTGTTACTAATAGTCCAGTTTCCTGCACCTATGGGACTCTTCCTGTTCTTTTTATAACCCTGCCCTTTGAAGGAACAAAGGTAAACACACCAACATTTACTATCCATAATATTACCCTTAAAAAAATCCCCTTTCAATCAACCATTACAATACAGTGGTACCTCTGGATGCGAATGGGATCCATTCCGGAGCCCCGTTCACATCCTGAAGCGAACACAACCCACATCTGCGTGTGCGCGGGTTGTGATTTGCCGCTTCTGCGCATAACATCATTTTGAGCGTCTGCGCATGCACGAGTGGTGAAACCCGGAAGTAATGCATTCCGTTACTTTTGGGTTGCCGCGGAGCGCAACCCGAAAATGCTCAACCGGAAGCTGCTTCAACCCAACGTATGAATGTAACAACAACGGGAAGGAGAGCAAGCAGAATCCACCCCAGCACCTCCTCCAGCTGCACTCTCCCACACCCTTTCCCCACAAGGTGATTGACAGCTGGTGCTGATGTAGTGATTAGGAGATCAAGCTAGGACCTCAGAGACCAAGGTTCAAATCCACACTCACTCATGAAGCTCACTGGGTGGCTTTGGGACAGTCACTGCATCTTGGCCTAACCTACCCCACAGGGTTGCTGTGGGGATTAAATGAGGAAGTGGATCACACTGCATGCTTTATTATGGCACTCAGAACCATGTACCTTGAGCTCCTTGGAGGAGAAGGTGGGATATGAAAGCAATCAATCATTCAGTCATTCTACAACAGTACATATGATTCAGAAAAGTGAGACAGAAATCCAACCAGTGCAGCTAATGCAACCATTTCAGACTGCAGGGAAGGGGTCAGAGGAAGTTCCTGCATTCCTCACCTGGCCCTACAACTAAATCTAAAGGGCTGTCATATGGAAGAGGGAGCAAACTTGTTTTCCAGCTCCAGAGGGGAGTACTTGAACCCATGGATTCCAGTTACAAAAAGGGAGATTCCGACCAAAAATCAGGAAGAACTTTCCGTGACAGTAACAGCTGTTCGACAGTGGAACTGTCTCCCTCGGGAGGTGGTGGACTCTGTGTGGTCATCTGTCCTGGATGCTTTAGCCGAGATTCCCGCGCTGCAGGGGGCCCGGCTGGATAACCCTAGGGGTCCCTTCTATGACTCTTAGCTGCTCCATTTGGGTTGGACTGGTGAAGTTGGAGGGGGAGAGTCGTAACCACCCTAAGGACTATGGCTATGCAATGCCCACCCTGGGGGCTTCCTGGCTTGCCAAGGCTTGACGCATGCGCCCTGCGCGGCACTTCCCACCCCGGCCTGAGGAGGGCAGAGCGCTGCGGCCCTTATTGCCTCTCCGCGCACCCCACCACCAGCCCCGACTCTATGGCTTCTCCCCTCACCCGCCAGCAGGAGCGCCTCCGCCAGGCCTTGCTGTTGTTGTAGCCGCCGACGGCGGCCGCCGCTGCCTCGAGGGCTCCGCCGGGGCTGAGGGTCACGGTGATGAAGTCCCGCCTGGTGGAGGGTGGCAGCGGCGTCGAAGAGGAGGCGGCGGAGGAGTACATGGCGGCGCGGGCAATGGCCCCTCAGGAACCGCGAGCCGCTCCTCCGCCGGCTGCCATGTTTTGTTTTTTTTCTCTCGCGTCCGCCGAGCCCGTAGAGATGACGGCGCAGAGCGGCCGCTTCCGCGTCTGCGCTCTCCCTCCCTCGTCCGCGGGTGGGTGGGGACGAAAGCTCTATGGTTATCACCTTCGCAACAGCGCCCAGGGAGCGCCTGGGAACAAGGCCGCGGAGCCTTTCTCTATTATTCCCCTGTGGTGAAAGGGTTAAAAGCGGCCCCGCCAGCGAAAGACTGTTTGCCATAGCCAATAAATCACAAGCGCCTTCTTAAAAGGACATTGCTGTTTTGGGCCATGCCCGCTAGCGGCCTTGTTTTATTTATTGCCATTTTATATACCGCCCTCCGCTCCAAAGGATCTCAATGGTGTGGGGGCATGGGTCTCCCTGTTGCAGGAATTTATGTATAGGTTGGGGGGGGGGGTTGCCCCTCCAGCAGATATCATGCACATGCAGCCCACTACCAAAATCAGCACAATAACTTTTGTGATTTGTCCCCACAAAACACTTCATCACAGTTTCTTCCTATCTATCCCAAGGGCCTCTGCTGCACGATACTAAATGTAACAATTCAGTGATCAATGTATCTATGTACTGGCTCACTGGGAAAACTTCAGAAATTCATATACAGTGGTGCCTCGCAAGACAAATGCCTCGCAAGACGAAAAACTCGCTAGACGAAAGAGTTTTCCATTTTTTGAGTCGTTCCGCAAGACGAATTTCCCTATGGGCTTGCTTCGCAAGACAAAACGTCTTGCGAGTTCTTGCGCCGCTAAGCCGTTAATAGCCGCTAAGCCGCTAATAGCCGTGCTTCGCAAGACGAAAAAACCGCAAGACGAAGAGACTCGCAGAACAGATTAATTTCGTCTTGCGAGGCACCACTATAGACATGAGCTCACTCAGCAGCCCCTCTGCCTGAGTGATAATTCCTGGCATCTTAATACCTGAGTGCCAGACAGGTAAGGATTCCAGAAATAACAAACCCAGATGAAGACAAAAGGGTGTGATTAACTTGGCTGGGAAACAGGAAAATGTAAATATCTCTTTTGTTCCCTAGCCGGAATTAAGTTTGCCTGAAGAAATATCAACAACCTCAGATATGCAGATGACACAACCTTGATGGCAGAAAGTGAGGAGGAATTAAAGAACCTTTTATTGAGGGTGAAAGAGAAGAGCGCAAAATATGGTCTGAAGCTCAACATAAAAAAACCGAAGATCATGGCCACTAGTCCCATCACCTCCTGGCAAATAGAAGGGGAAGAAATGGAGGCAGTGAGAGATTTTACTTTCTTGGGATCCATGATCACTGCAGATGGTGACAACAGCCACGAAATTAAAAGACACTTCTTGGGAGAAAAGCAATGACAAACCTAGACAGCATCTTAAAAAGTAGAGACATCACCTTGCCAACAAAGGTCCGTATAGTAAAAGCTATGGTTTTCCGAGTAGTGATGTATGGAAGTGAGAGCTGGACCATAAAGAAGGCTGATCACCAAAGAATTGATGCTTTTGAATTATGGTGCTGGTGGAGACTCTTGAGAGTCCCATGGACTGCAAGAAGAATGGGCATATTTTTATTTACAACACTATCCATTCTGAAGGAAATCAGCCCTGAGTGCTCACTGGAAGGACAGATCGTGAAGCTGAGGCTCCAGTACTTTGGCCACCTCATGAGAAGAGAAGACTCCCTGGAAAAGACCCTGATGTTGGGAAAGATGGAGGGCACAAGGAGAAGGGGACGACAGAGGACGCGATGGTTGGATAGTCTTCTCGAAGCTACCAGCATGAGTTCGACCAAACTGCGGGAGGCAGTGGAAGACAGGAGTGCCTGGCGTGCTCTGGTCCAGGGGGTCATGAAGAGTCCTAAATGACTAAACAACAACAACAACACACTTGATGGGTGTTTGGTGGAGGGAAAGGGGAACCATGGGGCAGGGTCCAGGATGCTCAGATTACTGCCACCAGACCTCCCCTTTCATGATGTAACTGTGATGTAGTTTGGGGGGGATGTAACGTGGGGATTAGCAGCTAATAAAAGTTTGGGGGCTCTTTTGTTCGGGGCTTCCATCTTGTTTCACCTTGTGGCAGGTGTGAGTCCTGTCACGACAGTCTTCAATAAAGACCAAGCCTACTGGCTGCTGTTTTGCTCTGGTATTCTTGGGGGGTGTCCTTGTTTTTTGTCCAAGGGAGCCCTCAGATTTCTCCGTTAACATCCTTCTTGAGGCTTTGTCCTCACAACAACCCTGTGAGGTATACTACGAGAGATTCTGGCCTGAATGGGGAGCTGAGCCCTGGTCTCTCCCAGGTCTCTGCAGCCCACTCTGACCACTGCACCAAACTGGCTTATAGAGAGATGAAAGAGACGGGAATATTTTTAAAATAAAAATAAATGCAACAGAGATTCATCTGTTTGTCTTTTGCAACTTTTATTTCATGGAATTGTAGTGTTGGAAGGGATCCTGGGGGTCATCCAGTCCAACACCCTGCAATCTCAGCTATTGTGTTGTAAACAAAATAGCACCCTGTTGCAACAGTTTAATAAAGATCAGTCTCACTAGCTGCTTTGCTTCTCAATATTCTCTGGTTGGCCTCTGTTATTTTCTCCTACAGATGGAGAACCTACAAAGGACTCTATAAGGGCTCTTGTATACCCCATAAGAAATAAGGGCAGATTTTGTTTACACCTGCTAATAAGAAGTGTCTAAGGCAACTTGCAATATGAAAGTGCTTTTAATATTATTTACACACACACACACACACACACACACACACACACACACACACACATATATATCTATATATATGAAAACTTCCCACAACATGGAAATTTGCCATGTTGATAGAACTGCAAACCTTAAAAATGGGATTTTGGATCACACTGCTTGCTTTAATATGACACTGAGCACTTATGTTTAATATCTGTTAAGACACTTATCTATACCCAGTCTTTCATCATAAACCAGGAGTGACTTACTTGTGGCCCTCCACATGTTGGACTACAATGCTCATCAGCCTCAGCTGAACCTGACCCATCAGGGTTGAAAAGAGCTGTAGTCTATAACATCCGGAGGGTCACACATTAATCCTGACCTAAAGTATGTTATTATTGCCCATTCCGTCAAGCAGCCTTATGTTGACCAGAAAGCACGGGCATACTTATGCCCAGAATTTTTTTTCATCTTTGGCACTATGGTGGAATGCTGCTAATTAGCAGAATGCTGCTAATTGGCTCATGGAAAACATACTGCAAAAGAAATTGGACCACTAATGGACAGGAAGGGCTCTGGATCCGTGTCACAAATCGGTAACTCCTCAACTCTTCATATGGCACTGCAGTGTATGGCCTTTAAAGGACCTTAGTTTTCCATTTGCAGATCTTCTGATATTGCTCACATTTAAAAGCTTTTATTTTGGAAACTAAAACTTTAAACTTTAAAAAGTAATTATGGCTGCAAGCTTTTTTTAAAAAAAAAAAAGTTCTATAAATGTGGGCAGTATCAGCTGATATGTGAAGACAGAAGTGGCAGAGTAAGATTTTCAGTGGGCAAGAGCCATCAGAAGCCTTGCCCTTCTATTGTCTAGCAGGAAGAGAATAAGTTGCGCAAAAAACAAATACATTATGTAAGCTGTCATGATTTGCGTCATTTTCACAGCTGAGCCTTTGCTTGTCATCCAATCTGGGTTGCCTGTGTACCTGCTGGTTTTTAGTGCAGAAGGCAAGTGATCCTGTATATATATAGCTTACACCCACCCACCCTGCATCTATGTCTAGGGAAGGAAACTAGTAAACTATGGAAGGGCAACTGATTTGGGGGTTGCTAGGGCTGGGCATTGCAACTCCTCTTGTTGCGTTTTCTGTCTGTGTGGCAGGTCTCGGGAGTAGGGCCAGTTTTAAAAAAAGAAACACAAAAGGCAAGCTAGACTTTTTAAAGCACTTTTAATATGTGAAAATTACAAAACGGGCAATATAGGGTTTTCATCACTTTCTTCCAGAACATGTATAAAGCAGCTTTCCCCAATGTGGTGGCTTCAGCTATGGTTGGATTCCCTTTAGCCCCAGTCAGCATGGTCACAGATTAGAGAAACTGTAGTGTCCTAAAACAACTAGAGGGTCCCAGTTCAGGGAGGGCATTATCAGTATCAAAAGATGGTTTGGGGATAATTAAAAAGGAGAAAGAAAACAATGCACTCTGCTACACAAAGATTTGCGAAGAGGGAAGCTTTCAGCTCAAGCTGAAAACACCAGATTCAAAATGGCACTGCCAAAATAGATGCAATTCAGATCCTGTCTCTTCCGCAGTCAGGGCAGTACTTCCAAGATGAGGCAAGAGATTCTGGACACAGACAATGCCTTTAACTTTGAGTGTATAAAGTTCTTGCAAATGCAGATTTAGGTAAGCACTGTTTGCTCCTCACTGGAAGCTTATCTCCAAGGTCTGAAGCCCAGAGCTTTATCCAGACCTACCACCTAACATCCTTTTAAGTGGAGTTGTCCATAATCAAACATGGGTCCTCCTGTTTGTTCTGCCACTGAGTCATGCTCCTCCAAGATAATACAGAGCCCCTTCACCCAGCATTGGTAAATAATATCTATGGAATATGTGCAGCACTATTTAGAGGTTCCGCTCAGCTATCTGCTGCCTCTCTGGTTCCTTTGAGTGTTGACACCAGCAAAGAATCCCGTCCACCAGGGCTGCCTCCAATTTCAGCATTACACACAAGGGGCCTCTCAGCCATAGTAAGGATGGTGGGTCTTATTTCAGACAGCTCTTTGAAAGTTGCAGAGAATGCTATTGGGACAATCAAGGGCAGAAACCATCACTCTCCAGGCACAGTGTGACCTAACAACCCCACCCCAGAAGCAGAAAAGTTAGAAGATTTTGGCTTTATAGTATCATAAACACTGAGAGTTTCTCAAAATTATTCTTTTCTTAATTACAAAGCAATAGTCAAGCAAAAAGATGGTCGCAGAGGACAATCTTCCAAGTTGGGTCTTCATTCAAGCTCTTGTTAATGTTTCTGCTTTGGTTTCATCAAGTAGAAAAGGTGACTGGAGGTCTTTGGCTTTCAGGTACTTCTCTAGTCCCTGCAAAAGAAAACAATTTTGAGCCAAAGGCCACATTCCCTTATGGACAAGCTTTCAGAGTTTGCATGACAGTGATGGTCAGGGCCAGAGATGGAAGTGGATGGAGTAACAAATGAGGCTCTTGCTTTTGTAGCTTACTTCCACGGAATATGTCAAGAGGCATCGACACAGTTCAGCATACATTCAAGCCAAGGCAAAGCACTCACATCAGTGGGGCAAGTAGCTTGCAGAGAGTCCTAACGGCCAGAAAAACCTCATGGGTCTCATTAAATTCCCAGGCCTGAGGTTATCCACCCATTTGTAAATCTAAGCACGACTTTTACCCCTAAGTCAGGAGTATGAGGTATCTGTGGCCCTCTAGATGTCAGACGCCAACTCCCAGCAGCCTCAGCCAATGGTTGGAGATGATGCAAGCATGAGTTGAGTTGCTGCTGGAGAGCCAGAGGTTTCCTCTTGCTGCTGTAACCCATGGGTAGGCAAACTAAGTCCCGGGGGCCGGATCCAGCCCAATCGCCTTCTAAATCCGGCCCGCGGACAGTCCGGGAATCAGCGTGTTTCTACATGAGTAGAATGTGTCCTTTTATTTAAAATGCACCTCTGGGTTATTTGTGGGGCATAGGAATTCGTTCATTATTTTTTTCAAAATATAGTCCCACAAGGTCTGAGGGACAGTGGACCAGCCCCCTGCTGAAAAGGTTTGCTGACCCCTACTGTAACCCATCTTTCAGCCTTTATTTCCTGTCACATACTGATTCTCCCTTACGTCCCTGCTACCCATTCTGGATTTAAAACCTCTGGAGACCTGCCTAAGTTGTTAACTCTAAAAGTGACAGAGGTAAAGGGTAAAGGGACCCCTGACCATTAGGTCCAGTCGTGACTGACTCTGGGGTTGCGCGCTCATCTCGCTCTATAGGCCGAGGGAGCAGGCGTTTGTCCGCGGACAGCTTCGGGTCATGTGGCCAGCACGACTAAGCCGCTTCTGGCGAACCAGAGCAGTGCACAGAAACGCCGTTTACCTTCCCACCGGAGTGGTACCTATTTATCTACTTGCACTTGACGTGCTTTCGAATTGCTAGGTTGGCAGGAGCAGGGACCAAGCAATGGGAGCTCACCCCGTCGTGGGGATTCGAACCGCCAACCTTCTGATCGGCAAGTCCTAGGCTCTGTGGTTTAACCCACAGCACCACCCGCATCCCAAAAAGTGACATACATACACTTATAAAGCAATCAAAAAGATTTTAATAATAATAATAATAATAATAGGGAAGAAATTATTTTTAGCTGCTTTTCTTTTTTATTATTCTGACACAACAGTATTTTGTGTTTTTTGTAATTATATGTAACCAGCATCACCAATTCCAAATGGAGGAAAGCCTATATAGCTCTGCGGTTCCAGGCTATGGACTCTGCCACAGTTGAAAGACGCTACTGCCTGATCCCTTATGACGGGAGAGTTTGCTCATGGGGAGTTTTATCCCATATTTGCCATGTTGGGTGAACATTCTTCAATCTCAGGGCTCTTCAACAGGCATAGGCAAGCTCCGGCCCTCCAGATGTTTTGAGACTACAGTTTCCATCATCCCTGACCACTGGTCCTGTTACCTAGGGATGATGGGAATTGTAGTTCCAAAACATACGGAGGGCCGGAGTTTGCCTGTGCCTGCTCTACAACATCCCCAATATTCTTTGCACTGGCTCAGAAATAAGAACGTATTTCCTTAGAAGCAGATACTGAATCCTTAACAGGAGTTCACATAAAATGTTGCCCTCACCTCCCCAAAGTAAGAGACTAGAGGTGAAATCTCACATACAGCGGGTGGTTCGTCATCTCCTGATAAACTGAAAAGAGAGAAAAATGAAAATAATGTCTCTCTGCAAACATATGACAAGCCACAGAAAAGAGAGGCAGGCAGCCCAAGGCAACAACAGAAATTGCTCAACGCAGCCCGAGGCTAACTTCACATTTTATTTCATCTATTTGGTTTTGGTATTTTAAAACTGTAATCTACCATGGGTGCTTGGAAGACAAGTCACATATAAATGAAGTAAACAATAAACAGAAGCACCAGAGCATTAGCCGAGTGTTCTTCCCTTGCCACCCGAATAACTGCAACCAGAATGCATAACTGCAATGTACTTCTATATGCAGGAGATTGGACTAGATGACGCTTTGGGTCCCTTCCAACCATACAATTCTATTATTTTATCGCCTCACACACCTGGGACGGGGAGAAAGGCACCCCAGATTAGAGAGGATGACCTCAATAAGCTTTGAATCCTGAACCCTGTGTTTTATTATTATGCCCCACCTTTAAAATAAAACAAAATAAAACCTTCCCTGTGCCATATTAAGAGTTTGGTCACAGCATGTTAACACAACTTCTCCTAATCTAGTGCCTTCCAAATGCTGCTGGAATACAACATCCATCTTGGTGGTTGCAGCAGGTGGCTGGAATCCAGCCCCATCTTGGAGAAAGCTGCTTCATTGCACTCTTCCCCTCTCTGGTATAAACCCCAGAGGGCACAATTTATCTCCACAAGAAGATCTCATCTGCGCTATACACTTAAGGCACTATCATACTACAGTGGTACCTCGGGTTAAGAACTTAATTCGTTCCGGAGGTCCGTTCTTAACCTGAAACTGTTCTTAACCTGAGGTACCACTTTAGCTAATGGGGCCTCCCGCTGCCGCCTCATCCTGAGGTAAAGTTCTTAACCCAAGGTACTATTTCTGGGTTAGCAGAGTCCGTAACCTGAAGCGTCTGTAACCCGAGGTACCACTGTACTTTGAACAGCCATGAAACCTGGGAGCTGTGGTTTGCTGAAGCTGCTGAGAGGTGTTAGGAGACAACCCCCCACCCCAATTCCCCTCCAAAAGCACCAATTCCCAGAGTGGTTTAGCAATCGCCAGGGAACTCTGGGAATTGTAGCTCTGGGAGCAGGGAGGGTCTTCTCTGAGAATCCTTAACAAATTACAGCTCCCAGAATCCTTTGGGAGAAGCCATACCTGTTTAAAGTAGTATCATAGTGCTTCAAGTGTATGGTGTGGATGAGGCCAAAAATCTGTTGCAAGGATGTTAAACAGATACTTAACGGTTAGTCCTGACCAGACCCCCAGCTATTCCCCACTCAGAACTACAGCTCCCAGAGTTTCCTGGGAAGAGGGCTTGACTGCTAAACCACTCCACGAATTGTAGCCCTGTAAGAGGAGTAGGGGGTCTTCTAACAACTCTCAGGACCCTTAAATAATTCCCAGGATTCTTTGCAGGAAGCCATGACTGCTTAAAGTGGTGTGATAACTGCTTTACGCATACTGCCGATGGGGCCACACGCACACAGTGTTTCACTGTGGCAGCATTCCATGTCACAAATTCATCTAGTGCTCCCTGGCCCCTTGGGGTAAACTACGGTTCCCACAATCCCTTGGGGGAGGATAAATCGGAGAAGCCTTCACAGACCTTGGTTCTTCAGGTATCCTCTGGCCATTGCCATTGACAAATCTAGCTCCTGCCTTCACAGCCCAACGGTAGTGTTGGGAGAGGAGTGACCGGCGAGCTGTGATGGGAGTGTCTTTGTCGGCCGCATCGGAGTTCTTCAAAGGCGAGAACTCCTCTTCCCTCGGGACCTCAAAGGCTACGAACTTCCTGTTAACAGAAGGGAGAAACTGGAGGCTTAAAATGGGAGTTTCAGTTGTAGTCGTGCCCTCCTGTATGTGCATGGAGCCATTGAGGCCATGGCACGTTCCAGAATCCAGGAAAACGTAACTTGCCATATCCATGAAAGGAATGCATTTGGAGGCAAACAGCGAGACCTTGCAGCTGTTCTCCAAGCTGCCAATTCCAGTTGGACTTGACTGCAAAAGCAAACTAAAGCCACATCCACACCAGACATTTAAAAGCACTCTTATACCATAGGAACCAGTCTGCACCCTGCGGTCATCATCCGAGGCCCAGGAGGTCTGGAGAGGGGCAAAAGGAGAACAGGGACTTTTCTGTGGTGGCTTTCCGCTTGTAGAAAGCTCTCCCCAGCAAGGCTCACCTGGTGCCATCGTTACGTATCTTCAGGCACCAGGCAAAAACCTTCCTTTTTAACCGCGGCTTTGGCTTTTAACCACCTATGGCCTTTTAGAGTGGGTAGGATGTTTTAATGTATCTCTTCTTCCCCCCTCCTCGGGTTTTAATGTATGTACGGTGTGGACTTTTAAAGTTGCCATGCCCCCCCCCATGTGACTAATAAATTTAATTAATAAACAGATAATTTAGCCACCATGCCTTCCACACCCCAAAAGTAGTCTAAGGGTGCTGACTTCACAGGGTGCCTATAATTCCCAGCACTCTTAACAAAATACAGTCCCCATGACTGTTAAAGCAGAACAATATAAGGGTGCTTTTAATTTATGGTGTGGATGTGAACTAAATATTTCTAGATAGGTGATCTGAAAAACATGATGCATTCAAGCTGGGTCTCTGGATTCTAGCAGAATGCAATCAATATCTATCTATCTATCTATCTATCTATCTATCTATCTATCTATCTATCTACACACATACCTGTACAGCACATTTGGTGTAAAGCACTGCTCAGACAGCTTCTAATAAAGAAGCTTAAAATTTCATTGTTGTTGGTGGAGCCATCATTGTTATTAGGAGCACAGGTGGGGTGCGGGTGGCACTGTGGGTTAAACCACAGAGCCTAGGACTTGCCGATCAGAAGGTCAGTGGTTCAAATCCCCGCGACGGGGTGAGCTCCTGTTGCTCGGTCCCAGCTCCTGCCAACCTAGCAGTTCGAAAGTACGTCAATGTGCAAGTAGATCAATAGGTACCGCTCCGGCGGGAAGGTAAACGGCATTTCCGTGCACTGCTCTGGTTCGCCAGAAGCGGCTTAGTCCTGCTGGCCACATGACCCGGAAGCTGTACGCCGGCTCCCTCTGCCAATAAAGCGAGATGAGCGCCGCAACCCCAGAGTCGGCCACGACTAGACCAAATGGTCAGGGGTCCCTTTACCTTAATGCAGCCAGGCATATAAATTCCAAACGGCTTTCATAGGCAGCCCCACATATAACTCATGGTAGTAATCTAGAGGCTACCAGGGCACACCATTCTGCCCTGTTACAGCAGCTGCAGCTGCACATGTAATGTTCTCATCTACTGACTGCAATAATCAATCCCTCAAAAAAAGAAAATGCTCTAGGGTGCAGCAGGTAAGTGTGCCTGCCATTTTGATTCAGAAAACAAAACCAGAAGCTATCAGAAGTTTGGGAGACACCCTGTGTTGTCACAACTCCTTACCCCGTAGCAGCTGGTTCCATTATCATTTAGCAACCTGGTGCGCTCCAAATGTTTTGGACTGTGCCCCCATCAGGCCCAGCAGAGGCTGATGGGAGGTGTAGTCCAAAATGTTTGGCAGGCACCAGTTTGGCCAAGTCTCCCCAACTCCTGCCCCAAAGAACAGGATACACTGAAAGAGAAAAGAGACACATTTGGTACTAACTTAGAAAACTGGAACACATCAAACACAAACTTCTCCAGCTTTATCCCGTTGGGTTTTAGAGGCGTCACCCGATTGCCCTCCTGGTCGACGAAAGGGACTTTCTTGACAGCCACATGGCGTTTCAAGCGGGGCTCAAACTTCCTGGTAGACAGGAAAGGACAGACACATAAGCACACAGGAGACTTCCTCAAACTCTGCTCTGCTAAAAAATGTTGTTGTGCAGCAAGATCGCTCAGGGCTGCCCCAGGTCATTCCTTGCACTGCACAGCTGTAAGGGGAAGGAGAGGCGCGTTCTGCCTTTTCACTTGCCTGAAATCTACTGCCACAATCAGTTTGATGATCCAGGGTTTCAGTGTTCCATCAAACTATCTCCATGCTTCTTTCTGCATTTCAAAGGGTTATACCTGGTGGCCCTCTCAACTCTACAATTCTATGATTCTATGGACAAGTTTAATTTAAATGGGGGGTGCGGGAAAGTGGGAGGAAAGCTTCATCCCCCTGATTATTTTGTTCCCCCACTTTTCTGCAGGAGGGGTGGTGTGTTTGACAAACTGCTGGTGGGGAACTTTCTGCTGAGCTGTTTTCATGGAGGGGGGGGGACTCTGCATAAGTTATTTTTGGCAATTCGCCGGACACTTCCTGGAAATCTTTGGATAATGATTCACTGGTATATTGGAGTTGTTTCTGTGGGTTTTCTGAAATCTGCCTTTCAAACAGAAAAACAGGTTGCGTTTTTCCGAGTTAAGGACCGCTGAAACCCGGAAGTACCAGAATGGGTTACTTCTGGGTTTCGGCAGTCGCGCATACGCAGAAGTGCTAAATTGCGCTTTGTGAATGCGCAGAAGCACCGAATCGCAACTCGTGCGTGAACAGACGTGCAGCTGCAGGTTGCAAACGCTGCGGGTTGCGAACGTGCATCCCGCACAGATCACATTTGCAACCTGAGCGTTCACTGTACTTCCTTTGCGTTAGAGTTTCTTCAAAATAAGAACCTAAGAAGAGCCCTGCTGGATCAGGCCAACGGGTCCTCCAGTCCTGTTCTCACAGCGGCCGACCAGATGCCTGTGGAAAAGGGCAGGATCTGAGCACTGTCCACTGCTGTGTATTTTCAAGCAACTGATATTCAGAAACATTAATGTGGAGGCAGAGCATAGTCATTGTGGCTGGCAGCCGTTCCAAGCTTTATCCTCCATGAAATAGTGTTCATTATAGATTTTATCTTCTGCATGCAGTATTGCTGAATAAAGTGAGTTTAAAAGCCTACTGAAGCTGCCTGCTATAAAAATGGAAACGCATAGCTTTAAGAGCTATAGAACGGGCAACCTCTGAAGGTGGTAGACGCTCCTTCGCTGGAGGTTTCCACACAGAGTTTGGATGGCCATCTGTCAGGGATTCCTCAGCTCTGATTCCTGCATTGCAGGGGGTTGGACTAGATGACCCTTGGGAGTCCTCTACCAAGTCTAAAGCACTATGATTCTACAGCTTCTAACCAGAAAACTATGTAATAGAATTTTAAGGTCATATGTATGTATATATATATGTCTGGAGCAGCACAGGAAGACCTTCCTGAAACCAATTTGACTCCCTGAAACCATTTTGACTCCCAGACTGACCAAATGTTTTCTCTGCAAGGAGGGAGGGGGTGAGGGAACCTTCCCATTGTCTCAGGAATTGGGTAATCACCATCTCAAAGGAATGGCCAGACTACCAGGAAAGGCAATCAGATAAGGCATTATCAGACAACCTGGCAGACAGGAAAAACAACAACATTCAAATTTCTGTTGCAGACCGCCTTTTCTGTGATGTATATATGATGTATGGAGGGGTGGTCTTGAGCTCCAAGGCAGGGAATTTAAAATGTAAATATAAGGGCAGGCACACCTTGGTTCTGGGTTCCTCCTCTCTCCTACGTGTGAGGGGAGCACCCTGTTGCAACAGTTTTAATAAAGATCAGGCTTATGAGCTGCTTTGCTTCTCAATATTTTCTGGTTGGCCTCTGCTATTTTCTCCTACCAATAGGGAACCTACATAAGGACTCTATATGGGCTCTTGGATACCCCATAAGGGAAAAAGGGCAGATTTTGTTTACAACAACTAGGAGCTCAGTTTGTCACAATCCTGATACAATGCTCAGAAATGCATGCATCCCTTCCCACCCCACTGATTTCCAGGATGCAGATCCCACACTCATAAACTCTGGAACAGGTCATGGGAAAGTGAGCATGCACAACTGCAGGACTTACTCTGTGACAGCCTTCAGGAAGTCAAGACTAAAGAAGTGATTGCAGATATTTCCAGCGCTGTATGTCAACCGGCCATCCGTGTTTCTCCTCTGTGCCGTTTCCAAGGAGATCTCGCTGTATTCCACCACCTGATATACTCCGTCCACAGAGCAAACCACCCCAACTGGCTCTGTGGGGTAGGCTTTTTCCACTACCTTAACAAACAAACAAACAAAATTTTTGGGCCAGAGTCAGGTAGCAAGTTAAATAACCGCAAAGAGTGGATTGAGCAGGTGGAGGGGCTGGGTAATTCTTTTTTCTTTTTTAAAATATTTTTTATTGGAATTTTATTTACAACATAACATAACCTCCCCCAATATACAATCCACCCTCATTAAATGTGAACATAACATACAACGAGCATAACATGCAACAATACAAACAACAAATAAAAGACTTCCTTTATCCTTTATATGGCCTCCTTATTTACTGTATTTTTCGCTCTATAGGACGCACCCGACCATAGGACACACCTTGTTTTAGAGGGGGGGAACATTTCTTCCATTTCTCCTGCCGCTTCGCTGAAGGGGCACTGCGCAGAGGGGGAGAAATTTTTTTTCTTGTTCTCCCCCTCTAAAACAAGGTGTGTTCTGTGCGTTCAAGGTGCGTTCACCCAAAGCCTCCGGAGCGCAGCGGGAGTTCCTGCTGCGCTCTGGAGGCTTCAGGCAGCTACCTTGGAAGCCTGGAGAGCGAGAGGGGTCGCTGCGCACTGACCCCTCTCGCTCTTCAGGCTTCAGTGAAGGCAACCCGAAGCCTCTGGAGCACGGCGGAAGTGCTCCCTCTGCGCTTCGGAGGCTTCGCATTCCTATTGCTGAAGCCAAGGAGCCTGCATTCGCTCCATAGGACGCACATACATTTCCCCTTAATTTTGGAATTTAAAAAAAAAAAACCAAATATGGGGGGGGGGGGCACATGTGGAAGGACCAAACTCCCCGCCCCCAATCCACAACAGTTTTATTACCATATTTTTCCGTGTAAAAGACAATGCTTTTTGCTTTAAAAAAATTAGGCAAAAATTGGGTGTTGTCTTATACACGGATAGTGAATGCAGAGGGGGGACGTGTGATTAATGGCAGCAGCAAGCAGGAGATTGGCAGTGGCGATTGGGCGGGTGATTGGTGGCTGTGGCAAGGCCTGCTGGCGATTGGCTGTGGCTGAGGCAATTGGGCAGGCGATTGGTGGCTGTGGGAAGCGGGCAGGTGGGCTGTTGGTGGTGGCAAGCAGACAGACAATTGGTGGCAAGGTGTGCGATTGCCAGTGGCTGTGGCAAGTGATCAGCAGTGGCGAGCAGGCACGTGAGCGATTGGCAAAGTGACCTCCCCCACCCGCCACAGCTAAACAACTTAATTTCTTAATTTTGGGTTGAAAAAAAGGGAGGGTTGTCTTATACATGGGCATGTCTTATACACGGAAAAATACTGTAGTTTAACAAGCAGTACGACTGCATCTTGTGTTGGGGGTACATTCTGGGGATGGCGCATACGCACAAAAATATGTATACCCGAAGTGCCCCCTTGGAATCACCACTGCACGACCATCCTTACCATCCAAGCAAGGAAAACAGCTTTGAAGCTGGGCTCTGGGAAGCTCCTGCAAAATCCTACAAAACCTCACAAGAGCCTTCCAGCACCCAGTAAGTAAGTACTTAAAAGCTCTTTCCGTACCCCCGATGCAAAATCAACTTTTAGACTCTTTTAAGCCTTGCATGCGATTAATTTGGGGGATTTCAGCCAGCTGGCTTTCAACCACGTAAGGTTTAAACTGCACAACTTAATCAAGCATAAGATGCAATTGTCCTTTACTTACACCCCAGCTGTGGGTCCTGGGGTACCACAGGGCATAACCATGATGAGCAATGTAATTGTCATTTGGATGTTGAAAGGACCATCAGAAGATGAGTCACCTCTAGCAGAGATGGAGATCTTATCTTTGCTCCTCCTTGCTCATTCTTAACCATGACAGCCCTCCGCCCTGCACACAAGGGAATTGTGCGATCATCCCTGCCCAATGTTTTTTTCTCTGTCACCTTAGCACCACAATCAGCTCCTTTCGAGACACAGAAACCAATGAAGACGGGATCTGCCATTTTGACAAGGATGTTGTCCACACAGTAGACATGGACGTACTGGACACCACACCGCTCCATGTGCTCCAGGATCTTGTTGTCCATCAGGGCGCGGTACAAACCACCGTTGCCATCTGCAACACACAAGGAATGAGTTAACTACCAAACAGAAACTGGGTTAGGACCAGCACCAACTGGCCAGCATCCATGCTATCAACCACCCACCTTTGCCTCTCACCCGCAATCTCTGTAACCAGTTTTACCACTGCTTGTAAATGGTGGTGGAGGAATGTATAACCAAACAAATGCACATGTAGCACTTGCAATTTTAAAAATATAGGCAGCCCACCTTCAGGGGTGCAGGTCAAAGGGAAAGATGGTTCCCTGATCTTTCAGGCTGATAAAATACGGCCTTACTCTGGCCTTTGAAAGCTGAGATATATATTTTAGGACACATCCTATCCTATCCTATTGATTGTAATATTCTGTCTTTTATTTTTGGATTGTAAGCCTGCAGGTAGGGACTATCTTGTTTTGACTATGTAACCCGCTCTGGGAGTCTTTAAGGCTGAAGAGCAGGGTACAAATACCATAAACAAACAATTTTTAAAATAAATAAATAAAATGAAACCCATCCTAGAACTTCACAGTGAAGGGCAGATAAGAGACCTAATAAATAATTATTTTAATAGTATTTATTATATGGCATGATTGTATTCTCTATACAATTGTATACAATTGTATTCCCTATACAGTACAAACATTGAGGGACATGGTCACTCAGTGCAATCAGTATATGTAAATGTCTGGCTCACTTAAAGCTATATAGAACCTTTACTCTCAATAACAATGCAACTCACAGGCGGATAATACTTTTATTTTTATAAATCTTCATTATTTGTAAAGGGAATCTTTGTATGAGTTAATACTGTATCATCCCTTTGGACCTGTACTTTAACTCTGTACTTTTGTCCTTCCAAGGTATGGTGCTTTCGATCTATTGTTCCCTTTCCTTTTGTTGTGGTTGCATTTAAAAAAATAATAAATCAATTCTGAAAAAGAAAAATGATACAGCTGTGCTGCTACGAGAAAGCTCTGCACCTGCCACATGTGAAGGATTTGCTACATACAATGCCCCTTTTCACTCGAATATTCAAAACGGTGCCAGTGAGAGGCCTTCAGAAGCTCCCAAGCAAGACGTAACACTTTCCCAACTTTAGGAAAGCTGATGTATACCTGGCGCCATGGCAATCTTCCCTTTCTCTTCCAAGATTGCTTTCCCATCAAATGCCACGGCTGGGAGCATCCTCTGCTCAAACATGATGATGTTGGACTTCTCCAGGTTAAAGTAGTTGTGCTCCTGGAAGAATTTCTCTGTTGGTCCCAAAGTGAACTCACTGGTCATAATGTACCTGCCGGGAAGGCAGACAGGGCACTGCAGTTAGAAGCACTGGACAAGGAAACCAGCAGGGTTGGATTCACACAAACAAAGCAAGCAGAGAACGTTTCTTTGAGACTGACCCAGAAACTCCAGCGGGTGCAGAATGCCGCGGCAAGACTCCTAATGGGGTCCTTGCCGCGGGATCAGATTCAGCCGGTGCTATACCAGCTGCACTGGCTCCCGGTGGAGTACAGGGTCAGGTTTAAGGTGCTGGTTTTAACCTTTGAAGCCCTATGTGGCCTAGGACCCACGTACCTACGGGACCGCCTCTCCTGGTATGTCCCACAGAGGACCTTACGGTCTGCAAACAAAAACATCTTGGAGATCCCGGGCCACAGACAGGTTAGGCTGGCCTCAACCAGAGCCAGGGCCTTTTCAGCACTGGCCCCGATCTGGTGGAACGCTCTGTCACAAGAGACTAGGGCCCTGCAGGACTTGACATCTTTCCGCAGGGCCTGCAAGACAGAGCTGTTCCACCAGGCCTTTGGCCAAGGCACAGTCTGACTCCCTTCTTTGGCAATCTTCACAGAACTTTAGCCTAATGGTGGCCATTAATTTGATTCTGAATTGATTTTAGAATGAATTGATTGTAGAATGTATTTCAATTAATAGATTGTGATTTATGTAAACTGTGTTACTTTTACTGTTGTTAGCCGCTCTGGGCCTGGCTTTGGCTGGGGAGGGCGGGATATAAATAAAAATTTAGTAGTAGTAGTAGTAGTAGTAGTAGTAGTATTTTTGCAGTTGGGCACACCCAGGGCATGACAAGCGAGCATGACAAGGACAGGAACATGCCTTTATTTTGAAGATTCAAAAACACAGAAGTGAACAGCAATGCCATGCAAAGATCACAACGCAGGGGGAGGGGGGGGAATCTGTGAAGCCAACCAATGCTTCTACATAGCTCTATCTTTATTTCAGCTATTGTGATATACCGTATTTTTCGCTCTATAAGACGCACCGGACCACAAGACGCACCAAGTTTTTGGAGGAGGAAAACAAGAAAAAAAATATTCTGAATCTCAAAAGCCAGAACAGCAAGAGGGATCACTGCGCAGTGAAAGCAGCAATCCCTCTTGCTGTTCCGGCTTCTGGGATAGCTGCGCAGCCTGCATTCGCTCCATAAGATGCACACACATTTCCCCTTACTTTTTGGGAGGGAAAATTGAGTCTTAATAGAGCAAAAAATACGGTATTTACACATTGTGATGTTTAGGTGGTGATATATGACCATGCTAAAAACCAGGTATCGCCCAGCCCCAAACAGAGCCCTGTTTTCACAGGGCCCAGCCACATGCCTGTGGGAAAACCCCAAACAGGACTGAGAGCCCAAGAACCCTCTTCCCTCTTGTAGCTTCCAGCAACTGGTTCAGCACTGTTGCTGCCTCTGACTGTGGAGGCAGAGCAGAGCCACTGGGGCTAGGAGCCACTGATGGCTCTCTCCTCTAACACAAATTTGTCCAGTCCCCTTTTAAAGCCACCCAGGTTGGTGACCATCACTGCCTCCTGTGGGAGGGAGTTCCACAGTTTAACTATGCGCTGAGTGAATAAGTCATTCCAGCATTCAGGTTCATTGGATGTCCATGAATTCTAGTATTATGAGGGAGGGAGGGAAACTTTCCCCACACCATGAATATGTCATTTTATAAACTTATATTGTGTCACCCCTTAAAGGTAAAGGGACCCCTGACCATTAGGTCCAGTTGTGGACAACTCTGGGGTTGCGGCGCTCATTTCGCTTTATTGGCTGAGGGAGCTGGCGTACAGCTTCCCGGTCAGGGGCCAGCATGACTAAGCCGCTTCTGGCAAACCAGAGCAGCGCACGGAAACGCTGTTTACCTTCCCGCCAGAGCGGTACTTATTTATCTACTTGCACTTTGACGCGCTTTCTAACTGCTAGGTTGGCAGGAGCAGGGACCGAGCAACGGGCGCTCACCCCGTCACGGGGATTCGAACCGCCAACCTTCTGATCGGCAAGTCCTAGGCTCTGTGGTTTAACCCACAGCGCTACCCGCGTCCTGTGTCACCCCTTACTCACCTCTTAAAGTGAAAAGTCCCGAATATGCTTCTCCCCCTCTCTGGAGGTACTGTTTCAGTTACATGCAAATTTATGTATGTTTAACCAACTGATTAACATTCAGCTGATTATCTGACAAAGATTTCAGGGGACAGTCCTGATATTTTTGGAGCTTTGGAAATATCCTAGTTAAATGTTTAACCAGGGGCCGGCAAGGTTTACCTCGCCTGGGCCAGTTCACTCCAGCGGAGATCCCTCCGTGGGCCGGATCGCCCGCCCGCAATTTTCGGCGTCTGCGCATGCGCAGATGTGATTTCCGGCGTTACAGAAGCGAGTCCCAGCTCGGTACTGCACTGGTTTAGCACAGCAGGCGGGGACTCACCAAGTGGCCAGCTCAGCTCGGGGGCGGCTCAGGGGCCAGTTAAATGACCCCCGTGGGCTGCTTGTGGCCCATGGGCCAAAGGTTGCCAACCCCTGGTCTAAACAGACTTTGCCAATGGGAGTCACACTGCAAACCAAGAAGAAGAAGAAGAAGAAGAGTTTGGATTTGATATCCTGCTTTATCACTACCCTAAGGAGTCTCAAAGTGGCTAACATTCTCCTTTCCCTTCCTCCCCCACAACAAACACTCTGTGAGGTGAGTGGGGCTGAGAGACTTCAGAGAAGTGTGACTGGCCCAAGGTCACCCAGCAGCTGCATCTGGAGGAGTGAGGAAGCGAACCCGGTTCACCAGATTACGAGTCCACCGCTCTTAACCACTACACCACACTGGCTCCAAGAAGAGTGCATCAGATTGGCGTAAAACCTCCCTACCACTCAGCAAAAGGAACAACAGCAAAGAATTTTGGGACACCATGTGACCACAAGAGCCACTGGCCAGTGCCTTAAGACCCCAGGAGCCAGCTACCCACCAAGGGACTGTGCAGCGAGTTCCAAACTTATCACCAGCCAGCTGCTCCACTCTGCGGATCCGCTCCGCCTGGATCTGATAGAGGGTCTTATGGCTCGGCAGCCCCACATCATACATGCCCTTCGGGTAAGGCACCCCGAGGCGTGTCCCTTGCCCTCCAGCCAGAAGGAGCACGGCCACCTTGTTCTGGGAGATCTTACGGAGCCCTTGAAGGAGACAAGAGAAAGATCACCGGAGGAAATATATATCTCGTTCAAATCACGGTTGGAAAGGACCACGAGGGCCGTCAAGTGCAATGCAGGTATCTTTTGCCCAATCTTTTGTCAAACCCACGACCCTGAGATTAAGACCCTGAGATTAAGAGATTATCAACTGCAGTCCGGGGGGCTGCCCTTGGAGACAGTGCACAGGGTGAGAGGCTCCTTTGGGGGCCTGGAAGCCCCCTACCCGCACCCCAAGCAAGAATCATCTGAAAGAGGCACAGGTGTGATTGTGCAATTTCTGTGGACCCAGCTGCCTTCTTTCCCCTCATCGCTGAACAGGTCTGACAGCTCCAGAAGAAGCTTTAAAAACTGAGGCAATGCCTGGGAATTTAAATTATTTGAAGTACTTTTACTCCAACTCGTAAGCGCCCAGAGCAGCTTATGATGACAGTTAAGTCGGTTTCTTCCCTCAGACTTTCCACCAAAAATATACAACACAAAAGGAAAAGGAACTGGGAAGGAGAAGGTAAAAAGCAATCCCAGACAGTATTACAGCGGTACCTCGGGTTAAGTAATTAATTCATTCCGGAGGTCCATTCTTAAACTGAAACTGTTCTTAACCTCAAGCACCACTTTAGCTAATGGGGCCTCCTTCCGCCGCCGCGCTGCCGGAGCACGATTTCTGTTCTCATCCTGAAGCAAAGTTCTTAACCCGAGGTAATACTTCTGGGTTAGCGAAGTCTGTAATCTGAAGCATATGTAACCTGAAGCGTATGTAACCCGAGGTACCACTGTACTTAGTACTTAGAGGCGGGGGACAAAGCCTCTAGTAGCCCTAGGTCCTGATGATGTCAGAGTGTGCTTTACTTCAGCTCTATCTACACATGCCCAGTGGTTCTTTGGTCTTCTAGGCAGTTGGTTGGAATCCTCAGTCCCAAGTCTCTTTGTAAACTGCTCAGAGGTTTTCTGTCAAATAACCAAACAGTATATAAATTTTGTTAAAGGTATTAAAATTATGTAACACAGGTGCAGAAGTACTCTTAACGCAGAACTGGTGTTTGCACAGCACCCAAGGCAAGTTTTGACCCACCCCAAAGCACACAGCAAACGGACACCCAGGCAGGCCAAATTGTATTTTGCAAACACTGAAGGCTTTGCCAACATGGCGCCCTTCATAAACAGGTGGACTACAACTCCCAACAGCCCCTAGCCAAATATTGCCACCAATGGCAACGGGAGATTATCAAGATGGAGGAAGAAGGCTGGCTTACAGGGGGCATCACTCCTTAAAATGTTTTACTCAACAACAGCATTTTGGGCCACAGACAACGCAAGGGAACAGTTTCCTGGTGTCTAAATGTACAATTTTAGGTGGCACAAAACTTATTTTACTGTGTGCGAAAGTTGTGCAATCTTCCTTTCTTCATTCAGGTTGTTTCTACATGGAACAATGAAGAAGAAAAATATGCCGGTTTATATGTCGTCCACTACAGTACTGTATTCCGAAACGGCCTTTGCCGAGGAAGGTGCGACCAAAGGGGTAGGTGGGTGTGTCTGTGGGTATGTCTGATTAAGTGGGCGTGACCGACCAAGGAAAGGCGGCGTTACAAGAACAGAACCAATAATGTACAGTAGTCCGTTCTCCACACGCCCACTCTCCGAAAATTAAAGCACTAATGGATCGGACCAAAGGTCCATCATTATCCAACCAGGTGCCTCTGGGAAGCGCACGTAGGCAGGCAGGTACAACCACATGCACCCGACCTCCGGCAGTCTCAGGTAGACTACCTTTGCGCCGAGGTTCTACAGCGAAAAGTTAACACCGTAACCCACAACGTTCCAACTGCTTGTTCATCCTCCACCTGCAACCCCCAGAGGTCAAAAGGGCTACCAAAAGCCAGGTCTCTCCTGGCCTTACCCTCTTCCTCCCACTGCTCCAAAGTCCGCGGGTCGCTCCTGCAGACGCTGCCGAAAAACTCTGGAGGGATGGGCTCTATCCGGCAGCCCAGTCTCTCCTGGCGCGGCTCTTCCTCCCGCGCGCAGGCCTCCGCCGCCCTCCGGCAATGTTCGCCCAGCTCCTCGGCGTCCAGTTTCGCCAGCGACTCCAGGAGCGAGTCTCGCTGCGCCGGGTCCAGCTCGCCCCAGAAGCGCATCAAGTGGGACTGGCCGGCACACTCCAGCCGCGCCCGGATCTCCTCTTCCAGGCACGCCATCACCTCCTCTTTCTGCGCTGCTTGCTGAGCTTTTGCAAAGGGGAAAGAGAGTCTTTTTTTGCAATTTGCAACAGCTACAAAACTGTCCCTGGGGAGCGCGCGCCAAAGTTTGTGGAACGTTCCCCGGGAAGAAACGGAACGTCGCCTCCACCTCGTTCCCCCTGTGAAGGTCGGTTACTTGCAAGATCCTCTCTTGCAACCACAGCACGGAAACCCGTGTCACTTCCAAATTCCCGCCCCGCCCCCCTTCGCCTGAGTGGACTGATTTCAGGCGTGCGCTCGTCCAACCAGGCAGGGTTCCCCTTCCATTAGCAAGAGGGGGCGGGGAATAAAACAAAATTGCAACTGGTCAAACTTTAAAAAAGCAACTGGTGGGGGTCAGGCCTCAGGAGGAAGGAGAGGAAATTGCAGCCAGCACACAGTCCCGCCCCCAGGCATAAGGAACGCCCCCCGCTTCTACGTCCTGTTTCCCGCGAGGATGCAAAACTGTTAGCTGTCTATACTGGGCGCTCGCTTCGAACTTGTTTGTCTGATCCGAAGCGATTCCGCTTACTTGCAGCGTAACGCTGTGCATGTTTATGCATAAGTCCTCCTTCAGCTCGAAGCGGGTTGGGGATACTTCCAGGCTTGCAGCTGGGTCCTTTTAACCGAACATGCCAAGGACTGATCCTGGAGTCTTTGGAGGCAAAACGCCCGCTCTGCCCGCTGGAAGTTCCCGGAACGTTTCCAGCCATCTGTCAGAGATGCTTTAGTTGTGAATCCTGCATTGCCACCCTTTAGAGCCCCTTCTCTACCAATCTATGATTCCACGCCTGCCCCCAACGCGGTGAATATCCGTGACTCTCTCCTTTAACCTCCTGCAGAAACCGGAGGCCCTAGCGGAATGGTCTTAGTAACGCCAATCCCCGCCCTTCCCTGGCAGACCCACCTGCGGGCTCCACCACAAGATGTTCAAACACAGCACGGCGTGTACTGTGCAAGAGAACGGCCTTGTTCGAGCAGGTTGTCCTCTTTCATAGCAAAGGAACACTGTCTTCCAAAGCCGCCGTCTATGGAAACAGCACTATTTGTCTTTCAGATACCTTTATGCTTGTTTACCAGGTATAATGGGCCCGAAAGGAAAAATCTGTTCCCTGAATTGACCCCAGTGCCTCTTCCTGCTATGTAGTTTACATTACTGTACAAAGGATATTGTAGAGTTGGGAATTGGAAAAGTTCAGAGAAGGGCAACCAAAATGATCAAAGGGGTGGAGCAACTCCTCTTTGAGGAAATGTTGCATTATTTGGGACTTTTTGGTGTATTATTATATTATTATTATTATTATTATTATTACTACTACTACTACTTTTTATACCACCCCAAATCTGGAGGTCTCAGGGCAGTTCACAGAAAAGAGAAGTGTAGAGAAAAGTTTACCAAAGACTGGGAAAAGTTTGTGGAATATCTGAAAAATGTGTGTGATGTGCAAACAACGCTAGTGGGGTTTCAAGAAGCACTGTAAAAGTTAAGATGTATTGTCAAAAAGAAATAGAAGGGGGAGGGAAGATAAATGGCAATACAATGAAGGGAATGCGTACTGAAGAATAACTATGGATGATTACCAGAGAAGCTGAAGGAAGTCCAAAATGTTTTTTATTTGTTAAAATTTGGATAAAATTGTATAATTTTGTTGGAAAATTAATAAAAATTTATTTTTTAAAAAAAGAGAGAAGTGTAGAGAAAAGGCAAGTAAACAGGAGACATGATAGAAGTTTTTGGATGGTATGGACTGGAGAAAGTGGACAGAGAAAAGATTTTGGAGGAAGTCGGAGGCAGGAATGTTCCTGAATACCAGTTGTTTGAAGCCAGAGGAGGGGAGAGGACTCTGGTGCTCTCAGTGCTAGAAACTCAAGATATATCAGCTAAGTGCAAAATGGCACCTTAGCTCCAGGTTGCAGTTTACCAGGGGGTTGGACTAGAGGACCCTCAGGGTCCCTTCCAACGCTACAATTCTATGACTCTATAATCTCAGCTACATTGCTTGACTGTATCTTGCTCTTGGAACAAATCACTTGTTCCAGTATGCCAGAAGGAGAAACACACACAGTGGAAATGGAATAAACCATGGACTAAGATATGGTTACCAGATTATTTCAAATGAATCCAGGGACACTTTTTTCTTTTTTTTTGAAGCTGAGTAGCAACAGGGAGTCAGTAGTGAGGATGGTGAGACCAAAGACCCTGGGCTGAAGCACACATGCATATTGTATAAAGGTGCAAAGCCTTTCTTTCGCACCCTGTGAAACATAAATGTGCAGAGTTTTTTTTTAAAAACCGGGCAATGGCCATCCGCCCGCAACGCCCAAGCCTCCCCTGATCAGTCAAAACAAAGGGGGAAGGGGGCCGGAGATCTGTACCACCAGACATCCCTGGTTCCCCTTTGGCAGTGGTGTCAGCAGCAGCACTCAGCAGCCTGGAGCCAGCCTGGTAGTGCAGTTGGCTCTGGCAGTTGGCTCTGGCTGGCTTCAGGAGCTGTTCGCTGCCGTGGCGCCCGCCATTTTTCCTCTCCGGAAGTCCCTGTATGATGGGTTGCGCACAAGACACATCATATGGGGACTTCCAGAGAGGAAAAATGGCAGGCGCCACAGCAGTGAGCAGCTCCTGAAGCCAGCCAGAGCCAACTATACTAACAGGCTGGCTCCGGGCTGCTGAGGCTGCCGCTGCCACATTTCCCGGGAACAGATTTGCAGATCTGGGGACTGTCCCCGGGAACCAGGGATGTCTGGTAGCCCTAGACTAAGACGGAGGTTTTTAAACTGTGGTCAACAACATGATGCCCAGAAATCTCAGCATAGTCGCAAAACCAGTAGCAAAATGCGCCTGGTGCATGGGGAATTTTAAACACTGGTTCAGATCCTGCTTGAGGATTTTGCAGTGGGGCATCTGGTTGGCCACTGTGAGAACAGGATGCTGGACTAAATCGGCCATTGACTTGCCTGAACAGGCTCTTCTTATGTGCCTGTTGAATTGTAAGTTGCTGTTTGATTGCACTGGCAGAAAGTTAGTTCAGTAACCTAATAAAAATAATTTTATTATTTTAAATTATTTATTAAATTTATATACCACCCTGTCTATACCTAGAGGTCTCTGGGCCATTCACAGAATAAAATCAGAATACAAAACCACAAAATACATCATCAAAACACACACACACAAACCCAATACCCCCCCCCCTATTTTAAAAGGGCATAAAAGAATAATTATTACCAATGGTAATTATTGTTTATACAGCAGCATCAATGTAGGAGATAAATTGTTTTGTAGGAGTCAACAGAGACAAAATGAAAACCAGGTCCCTTGAGGTGCTTACACAACTGCATGGTGCCTCATTAAGAGTGATGAGGAGGGAGAGAGGTAGAAAAAATTCCACAGCTGTGTTTTTTTCCTGTAATTACTCCCCACCTCCACCATTTTCTAGAACCAATGCAACCACCAACCCAGTGGAATTGGACAGCCAGGGGAGGAGTGTCCAGTAATGGCTACCATACATTGAAATTGGAAAGGTATAAGGGAGGAGGTCAACAGTAGGTGGGCTAGAACCAATGGCAGGTATAGCCAAAGTCTGCTTTTCAAACCATTTTGCTTCCTGCTGAGTTCTGCAAGGGCCACACTGAGATCAGGGAGGAGGAAGGTGGTAGCCAGGGTCTTCCCCTGCATTGACGTTGGTGGGACAGGGCCCCATTTGCCTAGTGGACCAGCCTCCCCTGAGCAGGGAACTGCCGGGAGGTGACCTTTTCGGTGACAGTTCCCCCAGGATGGCTGCCTTGGATCTCAGTAAGGGGCACCCTGTCTCACAGGCAAGAGATTCCAGGGTGGAGCAGTGAAGAGTGAACTGGCATTACAGACCTCCCTCGGTTAGATTTCCAGCACAACACAAGTCTCCAGCAAAAAATTATGCTAACACCTTAAAGACTAGCACGTCTATGATAGTGTAAACTTTAGTGGACCACAGTTGAACTCTGTACAGTTCTGGTGGCCTCACTGCAAAAAGAATACAGTGGTACCTCAGATTAAGAACTTAATTCCTTCTGGAGGTCTGTTCTTAACCCGAAACCATTCTTAATAGTTAAAGCTATGGTTTTCCCATTAGTGATGTATGGAAGTGAGAGCTGGACCATAAAGAAGGCTGATCGCTGAAGAATTGATGCTTTTGAATTATGGTGCTGGAGGAGACTCTTGAGAGTCCCATGGACTGCAAGAAGATCAAACCTATCCATTCTGAAGGAAATCAGCCCTGAATGCTCACTGGAAGGACAGATCCTTTAAGCTAAGGCTCCAAGACTTTGGCCACCTCATGAGAAGAGAAGACTCCCTGGAAAAGACCCTGATGCTGGGAAAGATGGAGGGCACAAGGAGAAGGGGACGACAGAGGACGAGATGGTGGGACAGTGTTCTCGAAGCTACCAGCATGAGTTTGACCAAACTGCAGGAGGCAGTGGAAGACAGGAGTGCCTGGCATGCTCTGGTCCAGGGGGTCATGAAGAGTCGGACACGACTAAACAACAACAACATTCTTAACCTGAAGCACCACTTTAGCTAGTGGGCCCTCCCACTGCCGCCGCGCCGCCAGAGCACGATTTCTGTTCTCATCCTGAAGCAAAGTTCTTAACCTGAGGTAGTATTTCTGGGTTAGTGGAGTCTGTAACCTGAAGCGTCTGTAACCTGAAGCGTATGTAACCCGAGGTACCACTGTATTGTAGAGTTGGGAAACAGTCAGAAAAGGGCAACTGGAATTGTCAAGCGGGTGGAGTGACTCCCCAATGAGGAAATGTAGCAGCGCTAGGGACTTCTTTGATCCAACAAAAGGCAAGTAAGAGGTGGCGTGAAAGAGGCATATAAAATTATGCATAGTGTGGAGAAAGTGGAAATAAAAAAGGTTTTTCTCACTCTCTCTTGTGGATATCCAATGAAGCTGAATGTTGGAAAATTTAGCACAGATAAAAGTATTTCTTCACACAGAGATATACTCCAGAACTCATTCACCCAAGTGATAGTAATGGCCTCCAACCTGAATGGCTTTAAAAGTGAGTTGGACACATTCATGGAGGAGGAGAGGCTTATCAGTGGCTGCTAGTCATAACAACTATGCCCAGACTCCACAGCTGGAGGCAGCGACGCTTCAGAATACCAGTGCTGGAAGCCACAGGGACAGAGGGCTCTTGTTGTGTTCGATTCAGATTGCAGGTTTCCCACAGGCGTCTGATCCGCTACTGTGAGAACAGGATGTGGGCTAGATGGGCCACTGGCCTGATCAAATCAAATATCTTTAATACGGTCAATGACCAGCAAGCAATTTATAAAGTAAAATATGGCAATATAAGTACTATTGTACTACAGATAACAGTGGAGATATGGCCAAATCACAAAATTGGTACTTATGTTTATGACCAGGTTTCGACTTTTAAGGTTTTAAGGATTCAATTCAAATGTCACTACTGTTTATTATCGTTCCTTCGATGTTTGCAATTTGAACTCCGTTGCTGTCATCATTGCTCGTCTTATTCTTGTTGCAATGTAACAGTACTTCACCACAGGCCTGTTGATTTCGGGGTCTTTGTCAGCTAAGAGGTGTCTGATATAGGTGTCGTCTGTACTACGAGGTATTTTCCTCAGAATCGGCTCGATCAGCTCTTTTCTTGAGTCTCGATATAATGGGCAATATAAGATAACATGCCCGATGGTTTCAATTTCGTTGCTGTTGCAGGGACATAATCTTTGTTCAATCGGTATTTTGTTGTATCTTCCCTCTAGAAGAGCTGAAGGGAGAGCGTTAAAGCGGGCCCTGGTAAATGCCCATCGGTGTTTAGCATTATGTAGAACTTTGAGATAGTTTGCTAGATGGGGGCTTTGGGAATCGAATAGGAGTTTATGAGTTATCGGAAGTTGACTAAAATCATTTTGGGCTTCAATGTCTCTAAGTCTTTCTTTGATTATATTCTTGGCCCTTCCCCTTTCTAAACTTAATAAATACTCTGGGGAGAGACCATATGTGGCCAATTTTCTGAGAGTGCCCTTCAACCAACTAGATTGGAATTTGTCAAGAAGCATCAGGGAAAGTAGTCCAACCGCCGAGTTGTTAAGTCTTAGCCAAGTGCATAAGGTTCTTATCCATACTTTAGTTTTGATGCTGTATAAGCCCGCTTCCAGTCGTAGGGCGGCGTTTGGGACGCATTTAGGTGTTTGCAGGAGTGATCTAAGGAAACCTGATTGTATCTTTTCGTATGGGTCTAGATTGGAGAGGGAGACGAGTGGTGCGCCGTATAGTATTTGTGCTGTTGGTTTTGCAGCGAATAGTTTAATTGTAGCAGGAATAAAATTTCCTCCCATTGTACGATGGTATCTTAGAATTGCTGTTGTACTTTTTTGTGCTGTAGAGGAATTGTAATTTATGTGGGCAGTCTTCTTCCTTGATGCTTGGAATATAACTCCTAGGTATTTAAAGCATGTCACTTGTTCAATCTCCTGATTGTCTAATTTCCATCTATATATTTTTCTTTTGTTCGAGAAAACCATGATTTTTGTTTTTTGGTAGTTCACTACTAGTTTCCCTTCTCTACAATATTGAGATAAGCTGACTGGCCTGATCCAGTAGGCTCTTCTTTAGGTACTTTGAGAGCCCTTTCCCACCCAGCAGTGGCGCAACAACTATCCATCCCCTTTTGCAGAGAGAACTCTGGGACCCTCATTTGTATGGCAGGGCTTGTTCTTTTCATTCTTCTTGTATGAACACATTTAGCAATTTTTATGCTTTATTATGTGCTTGTTCTATGCATCTGATTCTTAAATGTTTGATACGTAAGTCAGTATTTTTAAATGATCTGTTAGCAGTCGCTTTGAGGATCGGGAGCAGGAGAGGTTTCTTAAGCCATGCGTCTGAGTGTCCCGATCACTCAGCCGGGGCTAGTCCTGGGGGAGCTAAGGGGCCATTTCTGCTTCTTTGTAGAGAATGTAGAAAAAGGGAGAAAAGTATCGTTTTAAAGCTGTTTGAGGGAGGGGGGCATCGAACGCGTGGAGGCAAAGAAATCAAACCAGCTCGCGAAGCGCCTCAGCCAATCCCCTTCCAGGGCGCTGAGCCGCCGGCCAATGAGCGGGAAGATTTGGTGCCAGTGTCGTTGACGTCACAGACCGGAGTCCCAGCCAACTCTTTGGAACGTTCGGAAGGTAACTTTTGTGTTCCTTCGGAACTTTGTGTAGCAATTTCGGGGGCAGCGATGGCGCCTGAGCGCGGAAGTGATGGGCGCTCGCAGCCCGGCGGCAGCGCTACCGAGGGTCTGCCTCAGGCTTTCTTGCACAGCCTGCGGACCCTCTTCGACATCTTGGACGACCGTCGTCGAGGCTACGTGCACTTGCGGGAGATCGAGTCCCGGTGGCTGCAGCAAGGGAGCGAAGCTGGGGAGCTGCCCCGGGGCGTCTTGGAAGGGCTGCGGCGAGCCGCCCCGGCCAGCGGCTACCTCACCTTCGAGCGGTTCGTGCTGGGCTTGAGATCCTCGCTCCTCAGCCCAGACAAAGGAGGCACCTCACCGGGCCCCGCGAACAAAGGCCCCAGGCGCCCCGGCGCCCCTGCTCCGAAAAGCAGAGGAGAAGCGGAGAGGGGGTCCGGACGCGGCGCCGGCGAGTGCGCCTATCGGTCCCAGGAGAAGATCGCCAGCGCGCCGGCGGAATGCAAGAGAGCAGGTGAGGCGCAGGAGGCTAAAGGGTCTCGCCCCCCCCCCCCCGCAAAGACTGAGAACCCATGACTTTTAATTCGCGGGCACAGAAGTGCCTCTGAGCATGTGAGGAATCCCTTTCCCTCTTCACGTTGAGTAACTGCCCTAACAGAGAGCCGGTGTGGGTGTTGCGGTGGTAACAGACGGGCCATGGAGAAGAGCCCAGTTCAAATCCCCGGTTGGCTATGGGTGACTCTGGCGGGCGCGATATCTCAGCCTAGCGTACCTTGCAGGGCTGTTGTGAGGAGGGTAGGATTGAGGTAGCAGGGAGAGTTCTGTGTGCCACTTTGGGCTCCGTAGAGGAAAGATGGGAGAAGAATGTAGATTAATAAAGGAGGATAATGCATGTTTACCTTGCAGAATGTATACATGGGTCCAATGATACTTACCTGCTAGTATAGCTTTTTGGTGGATCGCAGCCTAACTGCACAACCCTGTGCTTCTTGCCTACTGAGAAAAGCATTTCCTGGAGCCTAAGGCACAGTCTACCTACTACCTTCATTTTATATTCACAAAAGCCCTGTGAGGTGAGCTAGGCGGAGAGATAGTGATTTGCCCCAAAGTGGGCAACTTTGAGGTTAGTGCATGGGTAGGCAAACTAAGGCCCCGGTGGCCAGATCCGACCCCAATCGCCTTCTCAATCCAGCCCGCGGACGGTCCGGGAATCGGCATGTTTTTACATGAGTAGAATGTGTATTTTTATTTAAAATGCCTCTCTGGGTTATTTGTGGGGCCTTCCTGGTGTTTTTACATGAGTAGAATGTGTGCTTTTATTTAAAACGCATCTCTGGGTTATTTGTGGGGCATAGGAATTCGTTCAGTCTTTTTTTTCCCAAAATATAGTACGGCCCCCCACAAGGTCTGAGGGACAATGAACCAGCCCCCTGCTGAAAATGTTTCCTGACCCTGGGTTAGTGGGTATGGGTTTGCAGCCTAAGCCCCCTCCCCACACATTTACCAAACTGCTCTCTGTAGCACCTTCCTTTAAGCATCACACCTATTTCAGCTGCTCACCTAGGCTGCCTGCCACCTGCATTCCTTCCTCACCTGCCTGCTGCTCCATCCTCATGCTGCGGTTACTGTGGCCATACTGTTGGAAAATACAGTACAGTGGTACCTCGGGTTACATACGCTTCAGGTTAAAGACTCCGCTAACCCAGAAATAGTACCTCAGGTTTAGAACTTTGCTTCAGGATGAGAACAGAAATCGTGCTCCGGCGGTGCGGCGGCAGCGGGAGGCCCCATTAGCTAAAGTGGTGCTTCAGGTTAAGAACAGTTTCAGGTTAAGAACAGACCTCCGGAACCAATTAAGGTACTACTGTATAGAGAGAAATAAATGATAAAAAAATAGCTATAGGGTTGCAGACATACTTTCCTAAATTTTAGAGAAGGTTTGAGGGAGGCAGAAATACAGTAGAAGCAGTTTTTCCTTGGTAATTCCCCCTTCTCTCCTCCTGGTCTGGGGAGCAGGGGAGGGGAGACCCAGGATGGCTTTAATAGGATCACTTCCCCTTTCACACTTCTCTCCAATCTACAGCAACTAAAGGTGGCAGTGGTGGTATCCGAAAGCTGGTAGGACAGGCTCAGTACGAGAGCACCTCCAAGCTGGTAGCAGAAGTGCGGAGGCAGCCAAGAGGCCGTGGTGAGCACAGAAGACACACCATCACCAACGGGGTGGACTACAGCATGGTAAGAGAGCCCTTTCTTTTCACGCATTGGTTGGACGCAGAAGTATGGTGGGAGGCACCAGCTGGGAAACCCCCAAGGAAAGAAGGCTCAGGGCCTGGAGGTTGTGGGTGGGACAATGACGAGTGGTCACAGGGACAGGAAGAAGGAGACTGGGTGTTGGAAGCTGAAGAGGTAGCAGGGTTTAGTGAGCAAGGTGAGTCTGTGGCAGAAGGAAGTCTAGAAGCAGAGGCTGGAGAGGAGGGAAGCCAAGAAACCAGGTGGGTGAAGAAGCCAGGGGGTCTCCCCCTCCTGCTGTGACAAGCTCCCCTCCCCTCTGGTCTCCTAGACCCAGAGGAGACATGAAAAGGGCAGAGCAGAGGTTGGCTGCACACAGGTGCAATCTCAGATTGCTGGGGGGAAGCCCCTGAGAGGAGGGGACTCAGAAGGCTGTGGGAAGGGAGGGATTTTCAGACATGGCACCTGATCCAGGGGGCAGGACCTACAGGGGATGAGATGCTCTGCTTGTTAGACCTGACACTCTGCCATGTCTGTGAAGGTTGTGTTTTTGGCAACTCCAGTTTGCATGATGTGATTACTGCCGGCTCGCTCTTGTCACCTGGAGGAGCTCTGAAAACGCTGGAAGCAGTGACTTACTGGATGGGGGCCAGTACATTGAGACTGAATCCTGATAAGATGGAAGTGCTGTAGGTGGGAGGTTCCTATGTCCTGACATTAGGCGCATGGCCTGTTCTGGGAAGGGTTGCAGCACCCTGGAAGAACACATTCACAATCTGAGAATGCTTTTGGATTCCATCTTGTCCCTTGAGTCTCAAGTGGTATCTTTGACTAGGAGTGCTTGTGCCTGGCTTAGGCTGACTTGCAGCTGTGGCTGTTCCTGGGATGGGATAGCCTGACCGCTTCTGTCTGGACTACTGCACTGTGCTGTATGCTGGGCTGCCTTTGAAGACAGTCCAGAGGCTGCAGCTTGTGCAAAATGCAGTTGCTAGGCTGGTAAGTTGGACCGCCTGATGGCGCTGTGCGTAACTGGTCCTCAAAGTACTGTGTTTGCTTCCAGTGAGCTACCAGACCCAATTCAAAATTTAGTGCAAGCATATAAAGTCCTAAATGGCTTGAGGCCTGGTTTTTATCTTACTACTGACTTCAATTAGAGATAGCTGTGCTGACTGGCGAGAACGAAATCTACTGCAGAAAGATAATGAGGCTGCTGGCTGAGAAAGGTTCCCCCTCCCCGCCACCCCAACCTTTTGGCCTAAAGCCTTGTCCTTCTCACTGGTATGCTGAGCCCCCTGGTCAACAAACCTCATGGCAGCCTCAGATCTGTGGAACTCTCTTCCACTGGAGAATTGTCAGAACCCGGACTTTGAATTAAGGATTAGTTTGGGGCTGACATATAAACTGGAGTAGGAGATAATCTCAGTTATAGGGTTTTCTGTTCAAATTTCTCTCTGTTTCTCTCTTTGCTCTCTAGTTGAATACATGTGTGGATTTTAAAAGGGGGCAATGTTGACCTCATGAGGAGGGCTGGGAATGAAAATAAGACTGGAGACCTGTCTTTGCCCCAGAATCTGAAGGGGGTTCCCTCTCACCCCTCCTCCATCAAATCGCCCCATCTGGAGAGCGCCTCCTGCGTGTTTAATGGCTGTCTGTTTGCTTTCAAGGAGCAGGAGGCTTACATACACATCCCTTGCTCTGATCCGCATTGATCTCCCTCGTGGGGTCCCTCATAGCTCATTGCAGCTAGGCTGATTGGGTGAGGGGGGGGGAGAGACAGCTTCGCTCGCTGGCTTGTTTAGGTGGCTGGTTCTCCTTCCCTGCCCCCATCTTCTCTTCCCTTCCACCCCCCCGGGGAACCTTCGATCAGCTGCAGGCTCGATGCTCCCTTGCCAGCTTTGGGGATGCTGGCCTTTTCTACCCCCCTCCCCCCGTCGCCATGGCAATCACCCCCACCTCCACCCGAGGAGGCCATTCCGCTGCCGGTGGCTGACCAAGCTGGATGAGGGCTCTGGCTGCGTACAGCACCCTCGTTGTGCCTCTGGCCAGCAGCCTCCACAGTCCCAAAGCTCTGGACTTTTTCCTGTGGGTATGTCCTACCTCACATGGGCTTGGGAAGGCGGGTGCTTCACCCTAGGTGCATGCAAATCATTTGAAAATAATTGCATGCCTTGAGGGTTTTCTGGTATCGGTTCTGGATTTGGGGGACAGGATGGCAGAAGGAGGGAGGGAGGGGGTTTATGGGTAAAGGATCAGGAGCGCAGGAGGCTGCCTTATTCTGAGTCAGGCTATTGGTCCACCTACCTCAGTATTACCTACACTGACTGGCAGCAGATCTGAAACTGCAGTCTCTTGCATGCAAGGCAGACACTCCACCCCCGAGCTATGACCCTTTATGATCTGCATTATGCGAGTCGTGCACCATTCAGGCACCCAGCTCCGGGTGCCCTTGCTGGCACCGACTTTCCAGGGTTCCTCTAAAAATAAAGGCTGCTAGATATCATGGTATATGCATGCATGTGATGTGAGGGAACAGAGCAGCACAGTGTTCAGTGCAGTACTTCATGGGGCGGGGGGAAGTCTGCTTTTTTGTTTTCATTTAAAAACCAAGCTTGTAGTCCCCATGTTTGTAAATTTGTTTCAAGCTGAATATGTGGAAGGCAGGTGACAGTGAGTGGTGGGAGAAAAGCACTTTAGAGCAAGTTCGGAGGTATGGTTTTCCTGCGCTAGACACAGGCTCTGCTCAACTTGAGTCTTTGGAACATGATTGGAAGTCAAGAATAGGGGCTGTGAAATGTGGAACCCGTGGCCCCACAGAGTTTTTAGCTGAAAAAGATGGGACTTGGAGTGGCGGCTGCTGTTTGTGTGTTGTTGCGTTTCTCTTTCCCCCCAGAATGGAAACTCAACGTGGAAAACAAAATATGAAAAGGCTAGGGATCACTGTGGGGTGATTGCTGGTGCAGGAAAATCCCCCAGAAGTAACAAACTAGGACCTGTTACCAAGTTCTGAGATGTGTGGCTCAGAGTCCACCTCTGAAATTATTCTGGAACGGGAATAAGAGGGGAGAGAGAAATCGGAAATGAACCCCTTTTAATTAATTTTAATTTTAATGTATTTATATCCCAACTTTTTTTCCAAGGACTCAAGGCAGCATGCATGGACTAGGATAAGCCACCTGAGAAACAGTTTCTATCCAAATGCGATTTTGGTTTTAAACGCAGTGTAAGGGATGCGAGTGGTGCTGTGGGTTAAACCACAGAGCCCAGGACTTGCCGATCAGAAGGTTGGTGGTTTGAATCCCCGTGATGGGGTGAGCTCCCGTTGTTCGGTCCCTGCTCCTGCCAACCTAGCAGTTCCAAAGCACGTCAAACTGCAAGTAGATAAATAGGTACCGCTCCGGCGGGAAAGTAAACAGTGTTTCCGTGCGCTGCTCTGGTTCGCCAGAAGCGGCTTAGTCATGCTAGCCACATGACCCGGAAGCTGTACGCCGCCTCCCTCGGCCAGTAAAGCGAGATGAGCGACGCAACCCCAGAGTCATCCGCGACTGGACCTAATGGTCAGGGGTCCCTTTACCTTTTATGGTAGTCTCTGTGGGTGTATTTAATTATGGGGTATCAGAGTTTTTAGGGAGTTAACCAGGCTGGGATAGGAGGCTTGTTGGTTTTTGAAAGTCTGATGTAGATTTTTTCAATTTCGTTGTTCTGTATGGGACAATGACAATAAAGATTATTGTATCGTATTGTGGTTCCTCCCATTTAATGTAATCCCCGTGACAAGCCTGTGAGGTAGGTTAGGCTGAGAGGCAGTGACGGGCCAAAGGTCACACCCAGTAGGGACTATGTACAAGATGTTTCCTCCCCCCTCCCCCCGCTGGTCCTATTGTGGTGGCCTTTTTTGTGAGCAAGGACTCACGGACTGTGCCTGGGGTTTGTTTCTTGGCAGCTTAAGCAGCTGAAGGAGCTGGAGAAGGAGAAGGACTTACTGCTGCAAGGGTTGGAGTTGGTGGAGAAGGTGCGCGAGTGGTACCACCAGCAGATCCATGCTCTCCAGGAACGCCAGAAGCAGCTGGGCAGCGGCAGAGTTCACATTGTGAGTAACAGGTTGCCGCTGGTTGTTTTTGTTTTTCTAAGCGAGTTTCCTCGCTTGCTGTCCAAGGAAGGAGAGCACAACCTCCAGACCATGTGGAACAGTCACACAGCTCTTACTGTCAGAAAATTCTTCCTGATGTATCCTCTCTTGCATTTCTCTTTGTGGCTTAGGGCCCTCGTATCTACGAGACCGCCTCTCCTGGTCTGCCCCGCAGAGGACCTTAAGGTCCATGAATAACCATAGTTTAGAGGTCCCGGGCCCTAAGGAAGTCAGAATATCCTCCACCAGGGCCAGGGCCTTCTCAGTGATGGCTCTGACCTGGTGGAATGCTCTGTCCCAAGAGGCCAGGGCCCTGCAGGATTTAACCTCCTTCCATCGGGCCTGTAAGACAGAGCTATTCTGCCTGGCCTTCAATTTGAATTAAGCCTGATCTTTTATTTCTCTTCTCTTCCCTCCCCCTCCCCTTTTATGAAGATCACCCGCTCTGGGACCCCACAGCTAATTCTCCCCTGGCCTCCTCGCTGGCCCAAGTAGGACCAATTCAGCCAGCTAGCTCTGGGGATTATCTAATTGATTTTTGAATTTTATTGTTATTTATGTTTTTATACTGTATTTTATGTATTTTATGCTGCTTTTATAATTAAGCGTTTTAAATTTGTTGTTAGCCGCCCTGAGCCCAGTTTTCTGAACTGGAAAGGGCAGGGTATAAATAAAAAATTATTATTATTATTATTAATATTATTATTATTATTATTATTATTTGCTATCTGGGGCTGCTGGCTTCTGGCATGAAGGAGCTATGGTGGAGTGCTCCTGTGGATTGACAGCTGGCCTGGCTGCTCTCTTATATTGCTTTCTCCCCCCCCCATCCCCCCCCGGCTTTGTCTCACACAGGACTTGTTCGCAGAGGGCACTCTGAGCCACCATCTCCTGCTCAAACTGCAAGCGCTGAATCACTACCTCAGTGAGCTATTGTCTCTCTCAGCAAAGGTGAGAGCTTCGGTACCGACAAGGGCCAAGGAAGTGGGAGTGGTGGGAGTTGTTAGATCCTGAGTGGGCTAGCAGAGGCTACTAGCCATGAGGGCTATACTCTGCCTTCATACTCAGAGGCCGCAATTTTTCTGAACACCAGAAGCTGCAGGAGAGGAGAAGCTCTTGTGCTCAGGTCCTCCTTGCAGGTTTCCCATGGGGGGGGGCATCTGGTTGGCCACTGTGAGAACAGGGTGCTGGACCAGATGGGCCATTGGCCTGACCCAGCAGGGCTCTTTAATTAATTAATATCATTTATTAGGCATAGCAAACCACACATTATCAAACAGACACCGTATACAAATTGTGTAAAATACAAGCTCAACAAAACAAGGTTTATCCCAGCCAGATCTTTAACTCCAGAGAGAATCATTTCACAAATAATACAATACAACGCTAACACATCACCGATCAATTAAGAACCACTAAATCTCTTTATAATGGCCCAGTCTTTCTACATGGACAGCACTCAGAAATCCAGCCACTACTAAAGTAATTTGATCATTCCTGTCCGAGAGCAGGTCCTGAACCACTGGTGGTATACAGGTGAAACTCAAAAAAATGGAAAATCGTGGAAAAGTTCCTTTCTTTCACTAATTCTGCTTCAAAGGTGAAAGTAATATATGAGATAGACTCATGACATGCAAAGCAAGATATGTCAAGCGAGGGTAAATGACCCTCTATATTTGGGTATTTGTAATTCTGACAAATAATTTGCTGGGGTAAATCCTCTCCCATTAACTTTTATTGCTGGGTGTTTATTCATCTCGCTCACATGGCATTGCAGTTCCACATCCCAAATTCATTGGCGGATTAATGCTCTAGCAAACATCACTGGGGGCATTCAGAGTGCTCGCCACCGGGTGACAACAAAGGAGAGGGCCTTTTCTGTTGTGGGAACCCTCAATCTGGACCCAAGCATAAGAGCAACCTCTGGGCCCTGTGGCTTCCAGTGACTGTGGAATCAGAGCATAGCTGCTGTGGTTAGTAGCCATCAATAGCTCAATCTCATCCATTCATTTGTCCAATCCTCTTTTAAAGCAATCTAGGTTGGTAGCCATCACTGCCTTTTGTGGGAGGGAGTTCCACAGTTTAACTGTGCTCTGTGTTAGTTAGTTAGCTATGTGTTAGTTAGACACGGGTGGCGCAGTGGTCTAAACCACGGAGCCTAGGGTTTGCTGATCAGAAGGTTGGCGGTTTGAATCCCTGCGACGGGGTGAGCTTCCGTTGCTCAGTCCCTGCTCCTGCCCACCTGGCAGTTCGAAAGCACATCCAAGTGCAAGTAGATAAATAGGTACCGCTCCGGCGGGAAGGTAAACGGCGTTTCCGTGTGCTGCTCTGGTTCGCCAGAAGCGGCTTAGTCATGCTGGCCACATGACCCGGAAGCTGTACGCCGGCTCCCTCGGCCAATAAAGCAAGATGAGCGCCGCAACCCCAGAGTCGGTCACGACTGGACCTAATGGTCAGGAGTCCTTTGGTCAGGTGTTAGTCATAGAATTGTAGAGTTGGAAGGGACCCAAGAGGACATGTAGTCCAACCCTCCGCAATGCAGGAATCACAGCTAAATAATCCCTGACAGGTCGAGGAGTCACCGAAAGACTTTCTCGTGTGTGAGAATGAGGGATGACGTTCATTAAGAAGATGGTGGTGGTTTGTCTTTTTGAGAGAGAGTGTGAAGCACGTGCAGCCCTGGAACAAACCGTTTTTCTTTGTCTCTAGCCACTGAACCCCAGTTCTGCAATGGGGCATGCTCCACCCTCTGCGCTCACAACCTCCCCTCCTCTCGTCGGACCTCAGCAGGCCTTCAACATGTTGAAGGAGCAGAACCGTCTGCTCACCATGGTGAGTCTTCTATTAAGTGCCAGTCCGTTTGAGTCACTGCCAGCCCACCTGTCCCCAGCCATGTTTTTTTCCCCTTCAAAAATTTTTATTCATTTTATAACACAAATAAACAACACAAACAGAAAAACAATCAATACAAACAAATTCTTGTCTTATCCTTATTTTTTCTAAACGTTGTTAGGTGACCTTCCCCAAGTCCCCCTATCTGATTTTCATTTTACCTCATCTTTAGCAGTTTACCTATATCATAATTTTTAACCATTTTTTATCACACTTACTTTTACCATAAAAATCTTCAAATTTTATCCCTTACATATAACACTATTTTCAAATACACTATCTTCTACTAACCCTACAGCCTATATCAACTTCCAAAGCTATTCTATGATTTAAATATTAACATATTTTTTCAACTTTAAACTTCTTCCAATCTTCTTCCACTGTCTCTTCTCTCTGGTCTCGGAGTCTCCCAGTCAGTTCGGCAAGTTCCATCATCTTCATTTGCCATTCTTTGATAGTTGGTAAATCTTGTTTCTTCCAATTCTTCGCTAGTAATATTCTCATAGCTGTTGTGACATGCAGAAAAAAAGTAACATCCTTTTGGGGGATTTCACCCCCCACTATACCAAGTAAAAAGGCTTCTGGTTTCTTAATAAATGTGTTTTTCAAGAAGTCTTTTACCTTGGGGCACGTCCACCACATGTGGTAAAAGGTTCCTTCTTTTTCCTTACATTTCCAGCATTTATTATCATCAGTATGATACATTTTTGCCAACTTCGCTGGTGTTAAGTACCATCTATACATCATTTTCATCAATTTTTTTCTTAATACACTACATGCTGTGAATTTAATTCCTTTCCCCCACAATTTCTCCCAGTCCACCATCGTAATATTGTGCCCCACATCCCTGGCCCATTCAGTTATTACAGATTTCACCTGTCCCCAGCCATGTGGTGGTCTTAACTCTGCCTTTACCCCGCAGGAGGTGACAGACAAAAGCGAGCGGATCACCCAGCTGGAGCTAGAGAAGTCTGCTCTGATCAAGCAGCTGTTTGAAGCACGTGCCCACAGCCACCACGAAAGCAACCTGCTGGACTCCACCTTCATCTAAGACCATCTTTGGACATTGTGCAGGGCTGCAGAGAGCCACCAGCCCTGGCTGCAAGCAGCTTGCAGGATCCTGTGCAGCCGCAAACAAGGTGGCGACTTGCACCTTGCCCTCACCCCTGCACCATCTGCCCTTGGATCCCTTTTACCTTGTGGCTGAGGCCTGAAATCATGAGATTGGGTGCAATTTACTCTCCTGACGGTTGGGAAAAGGAGCGTTGATGTGCAGGCCTGCATTGCTCCAGCCCAACCCATTCCAGGATCCAGATTTGGATTAGCTGCTGTTCCCACCCCACCTCACCCCCCCGGAAATGCCGGCGGTGTTTGGTGTTTTTATTTTAACTCCTGCCCTACGACGCCATTCCACTGAGTGTGGATGTGGAATTGGGGCTTTCACTCCAGTATTGATGGTCCGACCCGTTTCCCATGGTTAGAAGTCTCTTCCTTGACGTGAGAAAGGAGATTAATGGTATTTATCTTTAGGGTACCTGCAACTCATTGACAAGCATTCCACATTGAGGGAACGGCATGTACTCCATGCTGGACCCAGCAGCAGAATGTATGCATTCACACACACCCCAGGGTGTTTGTGTGGGGCACCCCCCCAAGGGGGCCTGGGATGAAGGAAGCCTGCTGCGGCTTGCTGATTCTTCTCTTCTCCACCCCGGGTCAGTCCTGACCTGGGAGCAGAGCTTCAAGCTGGGTGCACACTGGAGCCAGGCTCCAGTGGGAGCCTGTTGTGGGGGCACCTGGTCATGCCCTCTCCCAAAAATGTGCCTGGGGAAACAGCCCCCCCACCACCTCGCTACACCAGTGGCTGAACCCTGGAAACTGTTCCAAAAGTGAGATTCAGGCCCAGAAATGAAGTCCCTCTTTTTGGCTCAGTTGTCAGGAGTGATATTTCTCTTTGGCTTAAGAGGAGAGTACTTCTGAGTTCATGCAGAGTGCTGTTTCCTCCTTTGCTGTGGCAAAGGGCAAACCTGAACCCCCTTGCTTTGGGCAAACCTGAACCCCTTCCTAAACCTGTGCCTGTTTTCTTAAGAGCATCTCTGCTGAGTCACAGCAAAGGCCAAGCAGACGACATTGGGGATTATACTGCCTCTTATGCGAGAGGATTGTTTGAGCTGTTGCAGCTAATAGACTTCTCATTTCATATCAGGTGGTTGGAGGTTTTCAAGCAAGCCTAGATTTCTCCAGGGCATAGATGGAGTAGGCTCATTTTATGTTGCTAGTTATTTTAACCAACTCTTTGCAGGGGGTTGGACCAAATGACTCTATAATTTTGTGAACAAAACACAGCCATCTTTCAAAACTCTTAAATTCTCCCAATTTTGCAAAGCACAGTTCTCCAGCTGAGGACTGCCTACAAAGATGCACAAAGCGAGAAGAAGTATACATAGAAATGCACTTATTAGTGAAAATAACATACAAAAGATGCATTATATTGGGGGGGAATTGCTCTGTGAAAACATGTGGATATTAAGTAAAATTGCATAAGAGCATCTGTAGAATACTAAGGGTTGGGAGGGATCCCAAAGGTCATCTAGCTCAACCCCCTGCAATGCAAGAATCTCAACTGAAGCATCCAGGACAGAGGGTCATCCAACCTCTGCTTAAAAACCTCCGAAGAAGGAGAGCCCACCAGTTCTTGTGGGAGTCTGTTCCACTGTCAAACAGCTCTTTCCGTCAAAAAGTTATTACTGATGTTGAGTCAGAATCTCATTTCTTCTCGTTTGAATCCATAGTGGGAGACACTCAAACTGAAAGGCAGGTGAGTTTCCATGATAACCTTTTCTTTAAATTGCTAGCTAATGTGGAATGGAAGCCTGGCAAAACGAGAAGCTGAATATAGGCAGACTTACCCAATATCCATCACACTCCAAATAGAATGTCCACAGACATGCTGTGACATCACTGATCGTCCACCAATGGCAGAAAACCAATGGCAGCTACAGTGGGTTTTGTGGACATGTAACGCTGGGGGAGGGACGTGGGTGGCGCTATGGGTTAAACCACAGAGCCTAGAACATGCCGATCAGAAGGTTGACGGTTCGAATCCCCGCGAGGCAGTAAGCTCCCGTTGCTTGGTCCCTGCTCCTGCCAAACTAGCAGTTCGAAAGCACATCAAAGTGCAAGTAGATAAATAGGTACTGCTCCGGCGGGAAGGTAAACGGCATTTCCGTGCGCTGCTCTAGTTCACCAGAAGTGGCTTAGTCATGCTGGCCACATGACCCGGAAGCTGTATGCAGACAAATGCTGGCTCTCTCGGCCAATAACGTGAGATGAGCACCGCAACCCCAGAGTCGGTCACGACTGGACCTAATGGTCAGGGATCCCTTTACCTTTACTAACGCTGAGGGAATCCCATCCACTTTTCACCACTGCTGTTTTGACTTGGGATGTCTCTGCAAAGAGCATCCCTCCCCCCCACCCCCGTAATCAGAATTGTAGAGTTGGTAGGGACCTTGAGGATCATCTAATCCAGCCCCCTGCAATTCAGGAATATGCTGTTGTCTCATACAGGGATCAAGCCTGCAACCTTGGCATTATCACCACCATGTTCTAAGCACCCGAGCTATCCAGGCTGTGGTTAAGATGCTATGTGACTCCCCTCTTCAAATATGTTTACCCTCCCCAAATAGGTTTACATCTGAACACTTGTATGCCATTTTTGTATGTAGCATTTTTTTACCGGTAACTTGTTTGAAGTTCTTTATGTATGTACATGTATACTTGTTTAAATGTTCTGTGACCATGGAGGATTGTTGGTTCCTTTTTCCTCCCAAATAAAAGCTGAAATGAGCCTGAAACCATTACTGCGGTTGTTGTTGTGACTGATGTTGTTACTGTTATTTATCATGCTAATGGATGCTTTTGAATGATGGTGCTGGAGGAGACTCTAGAGAGTCCCATGGACTGCAAGAAGATCAAAGCTATCCATTCTGAAGGAAATCAGCCCTGAGTGCTCACTGGAAGGACAGATCCTGAAGCTGAGGCTCCAATACTTTGGCCACCTCATGAGAAGAGAAGACCCCCTGGAAAAGACCCTGATGTTGGGAAAGATGGAGGGCACAAGAAGAAGAGGAGGGCAGAGGATGAGATGGTTGGACAGTGTTCTCGAAGCAGTTTGACCAAACTGCGGGAGGCAGTGGAAGACAGGAGGGCCTGGCGTTCATGGGGTCATGAAGAGTCGGACATGACTAAGAAGAAGAAGAAGAAGAAGAAGAAGAGTTTGGATTTGATATCCCGCTTTATCACTACCCGAAGGAGTCTCAAAGCGGCTAACATTCTCCTTTCCCTTCCTCCCCCACAACAAACACTCTGTGAGGTGAGTGGGGCTGAGAGACTTCAGAGAAGTGTGACTGGCCCAAGGTCACCCAGCAGCTGCATGTGGAGGAGCGAGGAAGCGAACCCGGTTCCCCAGATTACGAGTCTACCGCTCTGAACCACTACACCACACTGGCTCTCGACTAAACTAAATGACTAAACGACTAAACAACAAAAATCACATGCAGGGCGCCTTACAAATAATAATGATAGTGCAGGTCTCTGTCCCAAGGGCCTTACAATCTACAAATGGTCCCAAGGCAGCAAGAGTGGGCTATGTGACTTCTCACCTAAGAGCATTAATTATTATTTATTAATAAAAGTATATACTGCTAAATCACAAAGCATATCAAAGTGGTTTACAACACTGAAAAGATTAAAACCATACACAATAAAAGCTTTAGGAAAAAATTAAAGGCCATTTTAAAGCAAAAATGTGTGTTAAAAACACACATCAGTCAACTATTTTGGGAGTGGTATTTCCTGCATAAGCCTGATGGAATTAAAAAAAGTTTTCCTCAGGCTTTTAAAACTTGATACAGAGGGCACCTGCTTTGATGTGGCCAAAGTTTCTGCAGAAATGTCCTGCTTTGGTCCACAAGAGGGCCCTGCTGTCCCACTTAGAATACAGAAGGTTTTAAAGAGCAGCATTAGCACACAGGCCACATGGGGTTGATTAATCTTTTTAGATTTATTTCACATATTTATAAACTGATTCACAGACTGAAGCCATTGAAGCAGTGTACAACAATATAAACATGAGGGGGTGGGAGAGATTCCCTAGGTGGAGACGGAGGCAATGAATTTTACAGATCTGCCTCTGAGTCAGTCTTTGGCCTCCCAGGAGGACACAGTACAGTAAGATCACATCTTGTGTGCAGTTAGCTTGCATTCTTTCAGCCAGGTTGGAAGATAGCCTGTTGAAACTTAGCAAATTAAATGTATGCAAGCCGGAGAGCTTAAAAGTTTGGGGTTTTTGTGTGTGCCAGGTTTTCCCCGCAAAGCCCCTTCACTGTTCCTTGTTCACTTGTGTGCAAGCTCTGGAATGATGCAAGCATGGGAGCAGTTTGAGTAAACACATTTATGTGCCATCCCTGGAACATACCCCACCCCATGCAAGATGCAATCATACCTTACTGGGACACACACACACACACACACACACACACACACACACACCAAGTTTGGCTGAAGGTTTTAATGCATGGGTAGGCAAACTAAGGCCTGGGGGCCAGGTCCGTCCCAATCGCCTTCTAAATCTGGCCCGTGGACGGTCCGGGAATTAGTGTGTTTTTACATAAGTAGAATATGTGCTTTTATTTAAAATCCATCTCTGGGTTATTTGTGGGGCCTGCCTGGCGTTTTTACATGAGTAGAATGTATCCTTTTATTTAAAATGCATCTCTGGGTTCTTTGTGGAGCCTGCCTGGTGTTTTTACATGAGTAGAATGTGTCATTTTATTTAAAATGCATTTCTGGGTTATTTGTGGGGCACAGGAATTCGTTCATTTTTTCCCTTCAAAATATAGTCCAGTCCACCCCCCACCCCCAGGTCTGAGGGACAGTGCTGGAAAAAAGTTTGCTGACCCCTGTTTTGATGCATAAGTCACTTGGGTACATAAGTCGGGTGACAAAGCTCTCAGGTCAATGGGTGCAGCAACCAATGAGGTACATGGC